GAACTCCGCCTACACACGAGACCGCTGACGAAAAGCCTCGGGGGTTCTTCACCGAGATGTTACCACACAGGGGAGATGATGACACCTGGAATCCGTCGGAAACTCACAGATCGGCGAGCGTAAAGCGATTCCAAGAAAAATGTGCTGATACTCTTCCCAAAATGTCGAAGGAATGGTGGGGTGCGAAGCAGCGGGTGCAATCCAAAAGGAAAATGACACCCTTGCCGATGTTCGAGTTTGACATACCGGAGCATCCCCCAAACAGTCCAATGTGTCCTACGAACTCCAGACATCCTTCGGGCGGCAAAGGGCTATGCGTTTATCACGGCAGGAGGAAAGCGGGATCTACAGTCAAGGTTGAACAACAGATTGTGAGCGACAGACGCCAAGGGTCGGAAGTATCTATCACCTCACAGACCGAGGAGCGATGGAGAGAGGATATCAGATCGACTATTTGAAGTCAACCATGCATAGAGAATCCATAGATATACAGGAACTGATCCTAGAAACGCTCTTGTACTCTGTGGACTGACATCATGCTCATGCTTATTACCAGCGTCGGTATAAGATGGAAGGTCAAGTTGGATCAAGGGGGTGGGTAATGTGGCGCAGCTAGCTCTACTCGATTGACAGGGGCTGTTGTGGCGGGTGCACCCAGCAACTGAGGCTGAACCTCCCGTCTCCAAATTTCGAGGCTGCCAAACTCCCGATCGTAGGTGCTTCGTCGTCAATTCTCGCCGCGCTCAATTCGTCTCATTGCGTCCTTTGGCTATCTCTGCAGGCTTTCGGAAGCTCCAGACACTCAAAAAAGAGCTCCTTGGCACCGCATTTTCAAACTTCCACGATGGCTGCTGTTGAGCAGGATCCCTTGTTCCTGCTGCGGCAATCCATCGCATCCAAGCGACCTGCAGTCCCGACAGCGTCAGCCGACGCTTCTGCACCAGAGGTGCCCCTCTCGAAAGCTACCCATCTGCTTTTCTCCCACCCAGCTCCTGTCTCAGTATCGCTTTCCACGCCCACGCGCTTCATTTCTAGCGACCGCCCCGTCGACCTGCGATCCATTTACTTCGCTTGGTTGAACAAGGATGTCGCCATTCCCGAGTACAATGCGAGCGCGACCCGTCTCAACGAGGAGCTGGGCAGCCTCGGCACGGTCCAGAACCTTGCCTTCGTCGAACGTTTAGATCTGTTCACTTGGCTGGAAGGCGCTAGTGAGGAGAGTGAACACATCAAGCCGTTGGCTGGCGATAAGGAAGGCAAGGAGGGAGCTGGCGCGAGCGCGTCCAAGACTGCTCCGGCGACCGCGGCGAGCCGAGCTGGACGTGGCGCGTTGGACCCTCGACTGGCGGTTATCTACAACGGCGAGCGTAAGATGGGCGACCGTAACTCTGTGTTGCGTGGTGTAAAACCTACGGTAAGTAGCGCAAATCGCCAGATCTTAACTTACGTGCGACTTGTGCGACTAACGCGAGATTTCCCAGGACTTCTCCCATGTCCGTAAGCTCGCCGTTCCCTTTATCCAGAAGAAGCCTCATGGTGCATCGAGCATCGGAACAAACCCGTCGCTCCCTATCAACCAGAAGCCCCCGACGCGTCGGCCGGACCCCATCATCCTCCTGTCGCCTTCCGCGTCGTCCTTGCTTCGCCTGTCCAATATTCGATCCTTCCTCGAGGGGGGCCGTTACGTGCAACCTGATGGCAGCGCCGCCGCCAGCATGCTGCACGTCTCCCGTGTCATGAAGGACATCGACCCTTCACGACCTATGCGCTTCATCCTCGTGGAGGGCCCTGAACAGTTCAAGCCCGAGTATTGGAACCGCGTCGTCGCCGTGTTCACCACGGGCCAGTCGTGGCAGTTCAAGAACTACAAGTGGAGCTCTCCTCCGGACCTGTTCCGCCGCATTCTGGGCATCTTCATCGGCTGGCGTGGTGAGCAACCACCTGACAGCGTTAAGGAGTGGGGCCACCGTGTGTTGCAGCTCGGTGTCGACAGGTGGCGCGACGGTACCGGAGCTCAGGAGGCGGCGAAATTCAGAGACAAGGAGGCTGCGGAGGCGATTTGGAGGGCTATCGAGGCGAACATGAAGAACAAGGGATGGACGAAGACCACCGCGCCTAGCCAGCTCTGAGGGGGACGGGACAGGGGGAAGACCAAGGGGTTATGCTCAGAGCAAAGACGACAAAAGGTCTCTAGGCACTCATGAAGACGGCAACAAACTTACAATGTGTGTATCAACAAATGGGGCTGGAAAATAATTCACAGCGAAGGCGTTCAAGGGCTATATTTGCGCAAGGTGGGTGACGGGAGACTGCGCTCTCGTGTGGTTGGCAAGACTTAGGAGCTAGACTGGTTACCATGATATCAAGACCTTTTCCAAGGCGGAGGAAGTTGAAAAGAACATGAGACCTGTACCATCTCTTTAACGACCGAAATACTGGCCACTAGGTACACAGACAATGTTCAGCCGAGGACCCCAACTTCCACCCAGCAAAGAAGCGTCGAAGACTTCCTCCAAGCGAACGTAATCCATCTGGCGCCAGACCCAACTAGTTGGTAATGTTGAAGGCTATTGGCTCACTGGACCGGCCAAATCAAGTTGCCCCGGGGTCCTGGTTCAGACACAGCGGGGGCGGGGCCGGGGTCTGACGTCGTCTAAGTAGATTCTGGACCCTGTGGTCGATCACCTGGTTGAACATTTTGGTTTGTACCACCCGAACAAGAGTTGACAAGTTGTTGACCGATTTTGGCGCGAGACGCATGTCGGCCTAGCCGTCGGGGAGAGGTTTACGTACGTTCGGCCGGCGCAGCAGTTGTTTGCGGGCTGGGTTCATGCGGGGGAGACGACCAGGCAGGGGTGATCAGACTCACGCTAAGGGGCAAAATGAAGTTGAGAGGGCAACATCAGTTGAAACGGATTCAAGAGAACCTGTACTGACTGGGCTGGGCTGCTGGGACCCAGGAGGCAGCTCAGACACATACAGCAACTCCATGAACCATGAAGAGCCATTAGAACCCTCTTGTATATGATGCCCTGTATCTTACCGTAAAACCTGTTTGCTAAACTCATAGGCCGGCTCTTCGATTCCTTGGCCTCTCCCGGAGGTTTGCAGCTACTGTAGCTAGCTGGCTAGTGCTAGCTTGGACCGGCTTAGGCCGCCGAAGATCGGGTTTTGTCTCCAACGACTTAAGACATGACATGTTGGAATGCAACGACGTCAGACATTGTTTAGCCATGGCAGTATACGTCGAGGGCAAAGTAAAGCAGGAGTAAACATGCCAGAACCAGCGGGTGGCTTGCCTGGCTTCGTTTGGTTCGAGGCGTTGCGTATCACGCCTCCCGAGATCCCCCACTAGAACGGTGGCTTAGCATGGGCGTGGACAGCTCGGCAGGCTGACTAAAGGAGCTCTAGGCAAATAGGCAAATCGGGCGAGGCTTCAGGCAGCCAAGGACCCCACCGTCGGGAGGTTCAGGCGAGGAAAAGAGCTTGGGGAAGCACGCGCCGCGCGTGTTGTGAGGGATGGTCGGAGCAGAGAAAACAGACGACGCTCTGGGAAGGGAAAGGCCCTCGAGGAGCTGAGGCGTCCCGTTTTGGAGGGGCAACACGAAGAACAGTGGTCGAGCTAGCCGGGGAGTCCCTGGAATCCCTTCTAAAAATTTAGACCCTTACCCCATTCATCCCTCCTGCTGCCCGCGCAACCGAACAGAGTGAACGGGCCGTCAACAATAACGGTGCAATTAATATTTGCTTCTTCCCTATCAGGCTCGCACCCAGCGCATGCGGCTCTTGCTCCCCTTCCTTCCTTCTCACCTTGCTGAACGACCTTTCCCCCTTGGATCACCGTCGCATCACGTCTGCATCTCCCCGGACTTACGTCTCGGCCGTCCACTTCTTTCGTCCAAACATTCGCGAAACGAACAACCTCTAGCTTTGGTTCTGCCGCAGCTGCAATTTGACGTCATCTCGGTGAGTTGCTTTCCATGAACACATGCCGCAGCACATCTACCCAATCATCACCGCGTCTTTCGCCCTTTTGCGAACGGCCGAGGAAAGACGGTGAAGGACCAACCGCACTGCCGGCGTGTTGCTTTGCTGCTTTGCCCACCTCCGACTGGCTGCTGCCACCATCTCAGCCCGGGCTACCTAGGTAGTCTGCCTATGCACTCACTGCATCTTCGGGTCGCTACTCTTCCTTCCCCCGCGGTGCCTGCTTCCGTCATTCAGCATCGACACACGCCTATCCTTGCTTTGCAGTAGTCGCCTGTTCGACCCAAATGCTGCGAGTTGCGAGTGACAACAGAGCGGAACCCCACCAGATTCGCGGGTGTCAACTGCCAGCCTTCTTCCGTCTGCCTTCAACTGGGCAACTACTTTGCTCTACCCGCGTGTTACCTACCTACCTACTCAACTGTTTACCCTCCATCTGACACCACTGCTGCTGTGCCCTTCACCACGATATTTCCCGCTGGCGATCGCCTTTGCTGCTTTGTTCCTACTTCCTTGTGACATTGCTGCTGACACCTTCGTTACCTCTAGCCCTTCACTCTTTTGCTTCTCTCCCTCTTCATTCGAACAACAATCGTTTTCGACCAAACCTTCCGACAGCGACCTTCTGTCTGGTACTTTGACAAAGGTGCGACACTATTGATTGGGACAGTTGTGCGGCCTGCTTCCCCCAAGGCAATCGCGCTGCTTGAGAAACGTCGAATAGTTTCTCAGATTTCGACGTCACATCACCTGCTCTGCCACCGTTGACACAGCTTTGGGCTCTGCCGAGAGATACGCCACACGACGACTTGCCGACATCTATCCAACGTTCCCGATAAACTCGACCGGCGAGGACGGCTTGACGGCCTCGCGCGCTTCCTGGCTCGGCGATTCTTATACAGTTCAATAACCCGGACCACTGAGGAGTATCTGCAGCTTGGCATGCGTTTTGGACAAAACAGACAGCAATCAAACATTTGATAGCCTATTGACTGCGCCTGTCCACCTTCAGGATGGGAGGAGTTGATATGAGCCGCGATTACTACGCGGACCTGGAGCTTCCCGTGGACGCTGACACCAACGAGATCAAGAAGCAGTTCCGAAAGCTTGGTACGACAAGATCACTCTTTTCTATGTTGGCTCGCTTTATTAACCCACGACAGCTCTCAAATACCACCCCGATCGTAATCCAGGCCGAGAAGCCGAAGTCAACTCCAGATTCCAGATCATTCAGTCGGCCCACGAAATCCTTACAGACCCTCAGCAGAGAGCCAAATACGATGCAGGACGGACACGATCGAGATACCCCACGGCCTCCGGAGTGAGAGGCAACCCCTGGCAGAATGCTGGCGCCAACTTCCCACCCCCTCCCCGTCGTAACGCAACAGCTCGTAACCCTCCTCCGCCTCCCCCAGCCTCGGGAGCGAGCAGATATCGCAACTTTGCGTCGGGCGCTGCCCCCACGGCCAAAGCACAGCAGGCGAGAGACGACACGGAAGCAAAGCGGAACGCGTGGCATGCGTTCGAGAATATGAAGGGTGGTCGCGCCAGCCAGTCCCAACCAAAGCCCAAGCCCGAGACCCCAAAGAGACCTGTACCAAGAACGCCTTCCCAGAAACAGAGAGCCGAGGCTTCGTTCGGGCGCAAGGGTGGTTACACTCCTCACTCACCAGTGCCTGGAGATGAGCCTCCAGTAAACACATCCAACTACTCTACCTCTTCCCGGCACACCAACATCTTCGCAGACAATGCCCGTAGACAACAGGAGGCAGGCGTACCGGACCCTCTCGCCCAATTTCGCGAGGCGTACACGGACACTCGCCAGAGCACTCCGTACACCTCCAATGGCGGAGAGAAGACCAATCCCTTTGACGGAATTCCCATAGGACGAGCCAAGAGCACTCGGGAGAATCCTCGGCCACCCCAGGAAGGCTATGGCCCCAATCTTTCACCTGGTAGCGCTCGAACACGCGCTCAAAGTGTCCCACGCCAAGCAAGGACTGAACCCTCGAGCCCGAGAACGTCAACATCGACACCGCACGATGACCGCCCGAACTCATCAAGTGCCACCGCGTCTCACTCGCCTAAGGACCCTTTCCGATCCCGCGCAAGTGCGAGATACACTCCGCCAAACACTGCTGCCGGCCCTCCTCCTGACAACAGTCAGCCCAAGCCAGCGACTTCGCACAACCCCAACGGTGAGTCTCTCCGTGCTCGGTGTTAAGCTATAGCTGACGTCAACGTTAGGAACTGGTCACAGCCAGGCAACAGGAACGCCCAAAGGGTCTTCAATGTACGACTCCTTTTATTCCTCAGCTTCTTTCTCTGCTTTCGCATTTCCTCAGTCAAACTTCGCGTCTACGCAAGGCAACCATGGAGTATCTATGACTCGGAGGCAACATGCTTCGCAGCATCACGTAGCGGAGCGCACAAGTGATGCCATGGTGTTCGATTCGCCGTCTCCTAGTGGAGACAGCTCGAAAAGCCACTCACTCACGCCGTTTGAGCGGAAGCAGGGTGAACTTTTAAGCAAGCTTGTCAAGAGGCAGGCCCCAGATCTGACACCGCTGGGGCGCGATAAGCGCCATACCACTGGCCCTGACCATGATATTGTTGTGAACCAAGCTGACAAGAGAACCAACAACAGCTTCAACTTCCCTATCGACGACGACACTTTCACGCGCACCGCGCCACAGCATCCGAATTTCAGCCAACGGAGCACTGACGATATTAACACCAGTTTTGTTAACGGCGATGGCTCAGAGGCCTATAAGTTCAGTGCTGGCAGCCCTATCCAGGATCCAGCCACCAAGGTTCGCTCACAGTCCGGGAGTCGTGTAGGTCGTCGATCACCGATCAAGCGCCCGAGCTTGAGGCACCAGAAAGACCCGTCTGGTCAGCCGGCAGGTTCACCCACTGCAGATAGCAGGTTTGACGCACAGGACTGGACTCAACAGATTGGAGCACAGAACTTCGTGCCAACACAATCGGCGTCGACTTCCCCAACTCGCATCTCCCGAGTGAATTCCAGGAAGACTAAGGTTAAGCCAACGGCGGGGGTAACGCGGGTTTGGTGAATGAAGAATATGACAGCGAAGAGGAGAGCGAGTGGCGTGGCCGCAAGTCGAACGCTGAGTCAATTGGAGCGAAGAGCCCGAATGCGATGGACATTGATCCCCCGCATACAGGGGCCGCACCACGAAGAGATCAGTCAAACGGTGTGAGGAACATCCCTGTTGAGCCATCTCGTCCGGAATGGAGGCCTGGCAATGTAAACGGAATGCAGGAGACCGGTCCCAAGCTCCCTGCCAGGCTACCAGAGTTCAACCCTAATGCTGCTGGTTCCGAGGACAGCGAAGAATTCAGGGCCAGCCTCGCTGACCTCAAGAACGTGGCGCCTTTCACACAGAACTCTGGCCTGGGTTCTCTGGGCGATCTAAAGATGAACCTCCCGTTCGAGAGCCAGCCTTCGAGCCGAGCACCCATCGAAAAGGAGAAGAAGCCATCGCTCGATTTCCCAGTAATTCCCCAGGCACCTCGCCCTCCGCCGACGTTCGCAGTCAACCTCAAGCCCACAGGCGGGGCCTGGCAGAAGTACACGCAGGATTTCCAAAGCTATGTTATGAGATGGGAAATCTTCAACGCTCAAGTCATCGAGCACTTCAACGCACGCAAGGCGAACATTGCTGATCTTCGAGCTCGAAAGAGTTATTCTTTCCTCGTCTCTCGTGGCGACGATGAAATTCAAGAGTATCTGGAATGGATGGCACAGGACAAGGAGGTTCGAAGAAAGTGGGCTGTTGCGTGCGAGGACCACGAAGCCCGCATTCGAGAGTTCATGGTGTACAAGGGCAAGATGGCAGCTTGATGAAGCGACATTTTGCTCTGGCGCAAGCTTCCCTTTTCCTAGAAGGATCTCACTACCTTCTTGATTTATTGTTCCTCGCCTTGCGGGGTGTTTCACAACTTTGACGACAGCTTGGACTGGATGGGACACGACACGGAACGATACCTGGTATTTGGGAGGGTTTTAATCACACTTCGACTTGTCTCTCACGACCTGCGGTTGTTCAACCCGCGTTGCACATAAAACTTTGTCGTCGACTTCTCACATAGCGGCGGCAATCCATTACGACGTAGATGAGAGGAGGAAGGCGCGTGTACACCTCATATATGGGCTACATTTTTTTGCAGGTTTCCCTTTCGCATTCAGTTTGGGGGTTCTTCGGTTCGGTCTTCAACACTGGTCGCGCTCCCCTAGAAACAGTTCACATGTCCTTGAGGAAACGGGTCTTGGTTGTTTCTTGCCTTGGCTAGGATGAATGGGGTGTGTTATGTAACACGTGCTAGACTCTTGGTCGTCTTCGAGGCATTGGTATCTTTGAAATCCTGACGAGAGACGGAGAGATGAGATAGATAATCGACACCATTAGAATTTGATTTCATCTCAGGTGATACATGTATGTTTCCGCGTAGCCCGAAGTCCTGGCAGTGGCGCAACGTTCGATGTTTTCTGTCACACTTCTTTGCTCTCTTAGGATATGTGGAACCAGTCATTACGTCGCCGTAGCCGAGCAGCGGATGATGGTTTACCAGAGAGCTTGCCCTTGGTTATCAACACCAGACGAGGCAAGCGATTGGATAGTTTTAGAGAGACTCCAAGGGTTCTGATAATTGAAAAGCAAACGAGAACTGCCTGTTCCAATCTTGCCATTTTGTGTTGCCCTTCTGCCTTTGCGTCCACATCCAGATCACACTTCTTCGAAGAAGAGGCCATTACTAAGTAGCACCGCTTTGGAGATAGACCAGTGATAGTAACGATATGTTTATTTCTACTGTTGACAAGGGTGGATGATGTATTGGCCCCATCCTCAGGTAGTGAAAACAAGCATAAAAGACTGGTATCATGACATACCTTAAGCCCACCTTGCCAAATTTATACCGTCCTCTACAGCCCTCATTAACTTGATATTGTCTACGCTATTCTCTGTTTTTCGAAAAAGATGGTGGGCGCCAGGATTGCCACAAATGCCATACTATACCGTCCTTATCATTGTCCTGCTTTGCTGTTCTCTTTTCTGTTTTTCGCATGTTCACAATCATGTCAACGGATTTTGGCGTGGCGGAACGTTTGACGCTTTTCTCCCTGAGACCGTCGGAGGCCACGCCTAAAATCACATTATTTCATGACTTCCGGAAAGTTCTGGGAGCTGTATATGTTCTGGAATCAGAACGAGTACGCTGGAGTGGGCTACTCAAGCATGGGTGTTGCAATATGTAAGTTGAGTAGCTTTCTCTGGTTACTGCCTCCTTCTGCGTCATTGGAAAAGGAGAAGTCACAAGCGCTCTCTTCGATGGTGGCTGCCTGTTCTACTCTCAGATTCATAATCATTCTGCTACCTTTGAGGCCTGTAGATTGCGAAGGGAGTTCCGTTATCGGAAGTCTCATTCTCGCCCTAAAAGCATCGGCCAGACTTTGTCTGAAAAGGTGAAGCACAACAGGAAGGGCCCTTCCTTCTCTTGCCTTCCTTTCCAGCTCCTCGAGTAGCTTCCTTCCACTCTCAGCCTCCCCTCGCATAAACCCCCTTCGGCCCGCTACTTCATCTCTTCTCTCATTCCCATCTCTCATCCTCAACAGCTACCACTTCCATTGATCATCATATCCATCTCACTCTAGGCACCTCGAGCTGTGTGATACTCTTCCATCTACTACCCAACTTACAAAGTATGTGGAAACCCCTCTTCCCGTTGCCCTTCCCACACATCCTTCCCCATCCCACTCATTCTCATTTGTCTCATTTTGCTCTCCATCCTTTTCATGCCTACCACTTCCCCCGCTTCACCCCTAACTCACTTCGGCTCCTGACTAATTCACTTTTGAATACTCGGTTGACTTTCCTGCAGACCTCAACGTTACCATACGCTCAAGATGGCCGATGCCAAGGGTAGTGCTTCTACCTCTCTCAATGCCACCGAAGGCGCTCCTGCCGGTGGCCGTGTCGGCGCCTGGACCGACACCGAGCGCGTAAGTATCTCTTCCCCTTCCCTCTCGTTCATTCTGGACCATCTTTGGCTTACTTCATGTCGAACAGTTCCAGCTCGTGCTCCGCGTCCTCGCGACTCACCTCCCCGATGGTAAAGGCGTCGATTGGAAGAGCATCAACATGCCTAACCGCACCCTGAAGGCCATGCAAGGTCAGTGGACCTCGATTACCGCCATGATGCGTGAGATCAACGCAGGTGACGGAGGTGACGCCTCCACCCCCAAGGCCAAGACTCGTAAGTTACTATTCCCTTTCTTGAACCTGCTACTTCATGCTAACGTTTGCGAAGCTCGCAAGAAGGCCGCGCCCAAGAAGAAGGCTGCCGCTACCGAGACTAGCGAGAATGACAATGAGGACATTGGTGACGATCAGAACGATGGGGAGAACAAGAAGACAGTTACTCCGAAGAAGCGCGCTGCTGCCACCGACGCTGGTAAGTGTTGATTCACCCCTTCCTCTACAAAGCACTGTCACTGACCTGCCCCTGAATAGACGGCACTCCCAAGAAGCGTCGCTCCCCTGCCAAGAAGTCAGCCCTTAAGGCCGAGCCCGAGCTTGAGGCCGGTACTGAGGATACCGATCTGAAGGAGGATAACGGTGTTTAGCAGTAATTCGGAGGAGCGTGAAGTCGCTGCTACATCTCGCCAGGGGCACATTAAGGTACCTTGCTCGGTTGGGAATTCTTCGACTACATCGCAGAGCTGCTCACAGTTCCTGCAACATCCTTTCATTGTTTATGCATTGCGAATCGATCTGGCTTCGGGGACGAATACTCGCAGGTATGGCTTGGTTCATGGACACAATTAGTGGTGGCCGTTGCTCTGGTTTTAATTGGATGAGCCTTCTTCTCTTTGAAAAAGCATACAATGGATACTGGACACATGTCCCCTCAAGCATACACGTTCTATTAGGTAGCCAAAGCCAGCAGTATCGAAACCAGATACTCTACTCTCTTTCCTACCTCGTATTGAGAACGTGCTGGACCGCCGTGTTGGGTGGTGGTGAGGGCTCGAAATGTCCGCCGGTCAGTGATGGACGTGTTGTCGAGCGAATCAGGTTGCTGGACGCAGACTCCGAAGCAAGGTGCATCTCAGCCGGTCATTCGAGCAGAACATTGTGAGACCTGCATATTGATACAGTCTGGAATCTCGGTGATGGTGGTGTGCAGCGTGAGAGCATGATCCATATCGTCCCATCTAAAGCTGCGGACCAGGCACACACCCGTTGACGTCTGCCTGTCAAGACTGTTAGGTGGACTTTGCCATGCTACCAGACTGGCTTAGCGAAGGCTACAGGCTCTAACACGACGCTAGTGTCACATTACATCAGCAGCCGGGGACAATAGTGGGAGTGAAGCAGGGATGGACACCCACCCGGGACATGCACCCATATAAGCGGGCTCTTATGCATCTAGCCTGGTGATCTGGTCTGGGTGACCCCCATATTGGACAGATCCTGTTTGTTTGCCATCGTTCCGCACCTGAAATTTTCGACGACGGACGACGTCAAACCGGAGAAAAAAAGGTAATTGGTTTTGGGATAGCTATTTTTTTTGTTATTACCATCACATTTTTCAGGAGATCTCGTGCCGCAGCTTCAGGTCCAGTCCATAGCTACCCTGATAGCCAAACCTCCTGATTTCCCGCCGTTCGTTTCCAGAGACCTTGTTCTTGTTGTCGGAGGGTTAGGTTGCTGCCATCCCGCCCTTTTCCCACACTGGATGCGCTCCGTCTTCGTACGCAGAGGGACTTGCTTGAGCCTTGCATCCACCCCGGTAGCAGCACCGCGACCTCAGACAACCACCACCAACACCACCACCACCATCAACGCCACCCTCACCTTCCCTCAGCTTTTCAGACGCCAGCACGAGCTTGTCCCGTTCGCACAACGCGGCCGCTCCCGCACTTCCCTTGTCATTCTTTCTCAAGACACAAGCTATAAGACCACGCAACGGTCCGTCTTCGCCCAGAACCGCCGTCTCTTTTCTTCTACCACCGCCGTCGCACCTAAACCGCCGTCAACAGCGCAACAAAATCACACCTCTCCCCAGACCACCACACCCGAGGCCGCGAACATGAACGGCAACAGCACATCGCCGCGCACCAAACGCAAGGCCCCGCCGAGCCCCCAGGGCTTGCGACCTCATAAGCAGCACCGTGCCCTGAACGGAAAGCTGTCCGCTGGCGACAATACCCCCGAGGTCGAGCTCGAGCATGGCGCTTTTGTCGAGGAGGAAGAGTCCGATTTTGAGGACGCCGCAAGGCTGAACAGCATGTTTCCCATTGCCCAGGAGCCCGAGGCCTGGCAGAAGACCATTGAGAACGTCGTCAGCAACGTTGTCTCCATTCGCTTTTGCCAAACGTGCTCCTTCGACACGGACGCGGCGTTGACAAGCGAGGCGACTGGCTTTGTGGTGGACGCTCAGAAGGGGTATGTCACGCTTGGCGCCGATACAGATGCAAGGGAGACACCCGTGCTGACATCATTGTGTTACAGATACATCTTGACAAACCGACACGTCGTTGGAGCTGGACCGTTCTGGGGATACGTCGTTTTCGACAACCATGAGGAGGTCGATGCGTACCCTGTTTACCGTGATCCCGTCCACGACTTCGGTATTCTGCGATTCGATCCGAAGGCTGTCAAGTACATGAAGTTGAACGCGCTGGTTCTTCGTCCGGACCTTGCGAAGGGTAGGCAAACACCTTGATGGCCAAAATACTAGAGTGGATCCGCTAACGCTTCGACAGTCGGTGTTGAGATCAGAGTCGTCGGTAACGATGCCGGAGAGAAGCTCAGTATCCTGTCTGGCTTCATTAGTCGTCTCGACCGAAACGCGCCAGAGTACGGAGACGGATACAGCGATTTCAATACGTGCTACTACCAAGCCAACGCTGCCGCGAGTGGCGGTAGTTCTGGCAGTCCTGTTGTGAACATTGACGGCTTCGCTGTTGCGTTGCAAGCAGGTGGACGATCCGACGGCGCCTCGACAGACTACTTCCTTCCCCTCGACCGACCGCTACGAGCCCTAGAATGCATTCGTCAGGGCAAGCCCGTCACGAGAGGCGACATCCAGTGCCAATTCCTCCTCAAGCCTTTTGACGAGTGCAGACGTCTTGGTTTGACGCCAGAGGAGGAGGCTGCAGCCCGGCAAGCTTTCCCCAAGGACAACAACATGCTCGTTGCCGAAATTGTTCTACCCAAGGGCCAGTCTGACCAGAAGATCGAGGAGGGTGATATCCTCATCAAGGTGAATGGCGAACGCGTTGGGCAGTTCATCCGGTTGGATGACCTGCTTGACTCGAACGTCGGCAAGACCATTCGCCTTCAACTGCAACGAGGTGGTGAGGATATCGAGGTCGATGTTGACGTCGGTGACCTGCACCAGATCACCCCTGACCGCTTCGTATCCGTTGCAGGTGCCAGTTTCCACAGCTTGTCCTACCAGCAAGCCCGTCTGCACGGCGTTGCATGCCAAGGCGTTTTCGTTTGCGAGGCCACTGGTTCCTTCAGATTCGACAGCGCGGACAATGGCTGGTTGATTCAGACCGTGGACCACAAGAAGACCCCTGATTTGGAGACCTTCATCGAGGTGATGAAGGCAATCCCGGACAAATCTCGCGTGGTTGTCACTTACAAGCACCTGCGTGATCTGCACACCCTGAACACCACAGTCATCTATGTCGACCGACATTGGTCGGCTAAGATGAAGATGGCGGTCAGAAACGATGAGACGGGTCTGTGGGACTTTACGGACCTTGCTGATCCCCTCCCCCCCACGCCGCCTGTCGCCCGCTCTGCTTCCTTCATCGAGCTAGAGAACGTGAAGCACAAGGCTATCGCTGACCTAGTGCGAAGCTTCGTCCATGTCAACTGCACCATGCCCGTCAAGCTTGATGGCTTCCCCAAGAACAGGAAGTGGGGCATGGGCTTGGTCATTGACGCGGAAAAGGGTCTTGTTGTCATCTCGAGAGCCATTGTACCCTACGATTTGTGTGATGTGACCATCACTATTGCGGATTCGATCATTGTCGAAGGCAAAGTTGTCTTCCTTCACCCCCTGCAAAACTACGCCATCGTGCAGTACGACCCCAAGCTGGTCAATGCTCCCGTCCAAAGTGCGAGATTGAGCACGGACAACATCACCCAGGGAGCTTCCACCAACTTCATGGGTTACAATAGGATTGGCAAGATCGTCCATGCCACGACAACGGTTACCGAAGTCACTGCTGTAGCCATTCCGGCCAACTCTGGTGCACCTAGATACCGAGCCATCAATGTCGATGCTATTACGGTTGACACAAGTCTCAGCAATCAGTGTGGAAGCGGTGTTTTGGTCGCCGACGATGGCACTGTCCAGGCTTTATGGCTCACGTACCTTGGTGAGCGTTCGCCTTGCAGCAACCGGGATGAGGAATACCACCTTGGTCTGGCGACGCCCACCCTGTTGCCTGTCGTCTCTCAGATTCAACAGGGTATCGTCCCCAAGTTGCGAATGTTGTCCGTTGAGTTCAGAGCCATTGCTATGGCTCAGGCCAGAGTCATGGGAGTCTCTGACGAGTGGATTCGTAAGGTCACCGAGGCCAACAAGACGCACCACCAGCTGTTCATGGTCAGCAAGCGGACCTTTGAGCGCGGCGAGCAGTCGGGCGCTCTGCTCGAGGGCGACATCTTGCTCACTCTCAACGGCAAGGTCATCACGAAGGTATCCGAATTAGACATCATGTACTCCCACCAGGCTCTCGACGCTGTCATCGTCCGCGACTGCGAGGAGATCCACATCAAGGCCCACACCGTCGCCGCCGATGATGTCGAAACTGACCACGCCATCTCTTTCTGCGGAGCCATCCTGCACCGACCTCATCATGCCGTTAGGCAGCAGATTAGCAAGCTGCACAGCGAGGTGTACGTTTCGGCCCGCACCCGCGGTTCGCCGTCATACCAGTACGGCCTTGCGCCTACCAACTTCATCACCCACGTCAACGGCAAGCCGACGCCTGACCTGGAGACTTTCCTCGCCACTGTCCAGGGAATCCCAGACAACACCTGTAAGCTACTTTGTTGCGGCCTAACTTACACATAAGCTAATCGTTCTACCCAGACTTCCGACTCAAGGCTGTCACGTTTGACAGTGTTCCGTGGGTCATCACCATGAAGAAGAACGAGCACTACTTCCCAACGACGGAGTGGATCAAGGATCCCGCCGAACCCTGCGGCTGGAGAAGGAAGACGTATGAGGGCGGCAAGGTGTTTGAGGGCGAGGGCCCTGACGGCGTGCTCCCCGTTTCCGAAGACACCGAGATGGTGGAGGAGCCTGCTGCCTCCATCTAAGCCACGGAGCACAGGACGAGAGGCAGGCACCGTTCGCGACCAAGAGACTCGGCCTGGCGTTTTTCAAGCTAGGCAATTTTAATGACAACAACACTTGGGGGATTCCAGGACATGATAAGGTGTAAAGGCTGAGGGATTCAAGGGCATGGGCAGGCGAGCGCACGGCCGTGAGGACAGCATCTTCACTGGATGTTCTGTATACATATGTAAAATCAGGAGCCAGAGAGGCACGTTCTTTGGAGGAACGCGCTTCTTCTTCTCTAGGCTTTCGTCTTTTTTCTTTTCTTTCTCGCTCTCTGTTCAATACCCGTTAGACTTCAAGAGGAAGTTCATGTGCTTTCAAAGCTGTTTGATAATCTTAAATGACCTAGCATGCACCCAGCAGAAGCAGGCAGCAATACCTACTTGCTGACATACGGTAACTCCGCGACCTTGTTATTTCCTACGGTAACAGTAACCGTCCAATACAATTTCTCTTATGTCTGCCTCACTACTCTTCTCGAAAGGATCTCGAAGTACTGCCTGAACCACACAAGCGAGCCTGAAATACAGGATGAAGACAGACCAGGGAAGATGGTATGTAAATTGACTCTGCTTGGGCCCGAAACCGTTGTACATCAGTTTTTTCTTTCGTTTACAGGGGAATCACTCCGAGAGCAAAGATCTGTGAAGGACAATTACTTGCCAGAGCTCGAGGAAAAGCAACGCGAATATTGTGATCATTTCGAAAATGTGTTGACATTCAAACTCACCCAGAAGACTCGACAGCTCACCGAAATATGCCCTTCCTTTGAGGTTGTTGTTGTTGTTGTTGTTGTTGTTGTTGTTTAGCATGGTTTTCCCTGGCATCTAACAATGCAAAGCAAAAGAATCCAATTCATTAACGCAAACGAGCCCTTGTATACATGCGACGTTGAGTTGAACTGTCCGAACCAAAGAAATAGGCGCAAGCAATCACCCTGCTCATCGCAATGACACCGGCAGCTACTACACGCCCTCGGAGGTTGGAGCAAAGAGTGCCAAATCAGTATGAGGGTTGAAATAAGACAGGTTTCGTAGCAACCTGTCCTAGCATTCCTAGCATTCCACCATTGAAGATTCATGTCGAGTGAGCCTTGGGAGTTTGTTCGTTCCACAATTGTTGTTGTCTGAGTGGCTGATGATAAATGCGAAGCTGAGCTTTAGTTAACGCTTTGTATAACCACCCGTATAGCTTGAAGATGGAGCATTGGCCTCATAACCAGATTGATGTCTGTTGATAACAGTCACTCCTGGCACAGTGTATTTCTTGCTGGATTGGTCTCCAGAACTGCGATATGTTTGCAGGTACGCATGCTTATCTTCTTCGCTGATTGAACTTCGTTGAAGGGAATTTGGGGTCGAAGAACGTTCCTGAGACTCTTCGAATGAATCCCGCTGGTGGCAGTCTCTGGCTAGGAACGGCTGTTGCGACTCTGCAACATGAGGGTCTTGAGATGTGTCTTCAGTAGAAAGACCTTGCTTCGGAGTGAAAGCACATCCCATAGTATTTGATAAGTCTTGGGAATAAGTCGAGTTTGACGAAGAGTCCAGTTTGTGTTTGATATCCTCAGAGGCATAGCCTGAGTCCCCAGAGAAAGTAGATGCAGCTGATGGAACTGGAAATGCCTGGGAGGTACCTTGGTGAATCACTGTTTTTGAATACTTCGACTTGGATTTAAGCCTTCTGGAGGTCATCGTTCTCGGACAAGTTTCCAGGTCTCTTGTAATAGAGGGCGGTGCGCTGGAATCGGGTTCTTGCTGGGTTTCATCATCTTCTTGAATAGATGGTAAGGGGTCATCTGAGCTAACTTCAGGTGCGCTGCTAGAGTTGTGGGACAAGTCGTGCTCCGAGGGTAAGAGAACAGACTTGGCACCAAGATAACATTTGATCTCATCGAAAGTGCCACGGATCGGAACCACGTAGGCATCACCAGTTATGTCGTCAGCGACCAAATGGCCATACGTGTCATATGTTGAAGAACCGATAACCCAGGATCCAGAATCGCCGTCAAAAACTTGAGATCCGTCAGCTTTCGTGTAATGCCTATTATCCGGCCAATCATGACTCACTTTCACCATCTTCCAATGTTAAAATGTATGCCTTGATGAAGCATTTTGCCGTGCCGAGCATGATTCTAGTTGGCACATTGGAAAGCAGGCCAACTCTTGGCTCTCTGCCCCTTCTGGGAATCAGGACACTTTGACGTCTCAAACCTTTTGGGAACTGAGCCGTTTCTGTCACAATGATACTCTGGCCAGGAGTACCTTTATTCCATTTTGAGAAGATCATATTAGGTGATTTCCTTCTGTTCCTGTCCAAATCAATCAAAGCCCAGTCGAAACTTTGACCCAGATCGAGGAATTTCTCGTCCGAGACCGCTCTGATGTTCCCAAGTCTTTTCCATTGGCCATTCTCAACAACACTCTCAACCACTGTATCCTCTGTATGATTCACAACATCTAAGGAACCAGTAGAAATTGTAGACTTGCGGTTTGGATCGAGATTAGAGCCTCTACTGCTGGATCCCGCGGGGGGTAGGAGATCGATGAGACAGTGGCTCACTGTTATACCATACAAAGCAGTTGTATCGTCGTGATATACTATTTTGATGATACCGCCGCATGTAGCATATGCTGTTTTGTCGCTGGCAGTCTCGAACCTTAGAGGTTTCCCGCACAGGGTCCGGACTTCGTCTTGGCTGTCGTCCTCCTCTGGTTTTGCCAGCTCATAGACACTAATCGATCTCTTTCGGGGTGCTCTCCCTTCGATTAGAACTTTCAATTGGGGCAGTTCTGGACCAGACGTCTCGCAAAGCTCCTTAATTAGCCCTCCCTTGAAAAATTGCCGAATAGCGTCAACCACAGTGGCAGCACAGAACACTACTAAACAACCTTCAGCAGTCTCTTCTGTTTTACCAAGAACCATCAAACGGATTGATACAAACCCGGTACGAGGGCAGTGCTTTCTCAAATTAAGGCGTAGAAGAGGCTCTATCTGGCTGACGGTGTCCTCGAAACGCTCCACTATCAACTGGTCGGGGTCTTTGTTGAAACGCCAGAGGCTCTGACCGTCCAATGTGATAGGAGCTGCTTGAGATGGCAAGTATTCTGGTTCTTTCCCTTTGCCACCTAAAGCGTAAACACTCGAATCTTTAGGTGCAGAAAGATAGCCACAGTTTTCTAATATGTGGGACACTTCCGTCAACGTTGTTTCTGGCGGTAAGGAGGAGTCGGTAGTCTTCTCAATGTGCTCCTTTGAAAGCGCACCAGAGGAACAGTGTCGTCCATCTGTCCTTGGGAGTGGCCTTAGTGGTATTGATGCCATGGAAGTGTAGTGGAACTTAGAGCAAGGTGATGCTAGGAGATCGATGTTTGAGAGTTGATTAGAAGGCGGCTTTATGGCTCATTGTGATGATTTCTCGAGGCCTTCGTAGAACCGTAATAAGTCACAACAGCGCAACAGAATCATTTTTGAGGGGTCTGGTCAGGTGAGATTCCCGGGGGGGCTATTCTCCAATCATGAGTCTTGAATTCTCAGCCTGGTCTGCCTACCAAAGCATGTTGAGTAGTGGGCATGACGTGTAGGTTGCCGCACGCTAGCATAAGGCTTCCAAAAGACGCATTTCCCCTCTTTCAACCATCTACCAAATGTGCCTGACGAGCATGACTGATGATAATGTTGATCTTTCCATGGTTCCGCTGGACCTTGTTGACGACGTTCATCTACGAAAACTATGTGGAAGTCTTTGGCATTGGAAACCATGCCAGGACTGCACTTCAGTGCAGTCTTGTACCAAAGACGGATGTCCATGGCCGCGATTGAAGAGGCTTGAGCCCTTCTTCCAGAACTATAAAGACACGGTAGTTTCGTACGTATCAGAAGCCTTTCCGCCGCACCAGACGCCGGCGTTAAAATCCCATGAAGACCTATTCGCTATTATTTGCCTCATCAAAGCAAGACCCCACATCCGAAGAGGTGCCTTGGTCAATGACTACTTCTCAAGTCGTGATGGAGACGGCGTGACGCTATTCAAAGACAGACAAAGAGCTTTCAATCTCGCAATTAGGATCATGTTGATGGTCAGCTGCTCGTTCGAAGGACAGGTAGGGGATGTTTTCGACGGGGGAGTCGAACCCACTGTTTGGAAGGAGGCACAATCACTGCATGAATTCATTGCTGGTACATTTCCTACCTTAGAGCACCCGAGTCTAGACGAAGCATCGGGCATAAAACCTCAGTTGAGGGCTGCGAATCTCAAAAAGACCGCCAATTTGTCTTTCAAAGGGACGGATGACCTCCGCAACCATCTTCGGCTAGATCAAGAAACAGGCGTAGTTGAGCTTTACCATCACACTTCATTCTTGAAGGAATGTCTGAAATCATCAACGAACAAGTCTGGTCAAGAAATAGCGTAAGTACATTGCTTGAATCAATGGAACTTGCGTTAACATAAGACAAGCCAACCACTGCCCCGTCAACTCATTTTGGAAACGCTGGATTCTTTTCAAAGGATTCTTTTTCCACTCGACCAAGATTCACGCGTCATGCTGAAAAGTTTAGTGGCGAAAGAGTTATTCGACCCAGACTGCATGAGTCCAAGCTCGCTGACAGACCGATTTCCGAACGAGAGAATCATCAGCTACCATTACTGGGGCTCACGACTTCTGGATCTATATGACGAAATAGAAAATCCTACTCCTAGGACACTTTTAGAGGTGTGGCTGGAACAACGGAGCAAAGCGAGGCATGTGATGTTGGCAACGTTGGTGGGAGTAATCATCGCGGTCATTCTGGGCATTATGGGATTGGCAGTCGGTATCTTCCAAGCTTGGGTGGCGTATGAAGCCTGGAAACATCCTGTGAATTCCTAGGTCGAGTTAATATTTATCAAGATTATGCTCTTTCAGCCTTTAAAACATAAACCAATATTTTGCCAGCAGTCGAGTGAAACTCCCATACCAACTTGGCGTAACTACAACATACGTGCAACACAAAGCTATTTTAAGCCTGTGGATATTTAAAAGCCGTCTAGGTTCTTCCCGTTTCTTCTTTCAGGCCAAGGGGCAAGTGCAAGGTGCGAGTGCAAAATAACGCGTGACTACGAACGTAGATCTGCTGACGTGATGTCTATGGTTTTGTACCAATGCCTCACTATCACTACGTCAACTTACAAGGTGTCCACTTGTCATTTCGTATTCAGTTAAATGCTATTTCAAACTTGGATCTTTCATGAAGTCCCATCAGAGAGGGTTAACTCAGCAAGTGCCACATGATGAGGTCAATACATCTCTTTACGCGGCAGAACCAGCGGCCGGTTGATAAATATTATAGGAGTCTCGAGGAGATGTAAAAGACTGATCTTGAGCCTCTCATAGTAGTAGCTCTAAGCCGGTTCTTAGTTGACAATAGGTGACTATCGTTGCATATCTATTTCCTCCATTTCCTCCACCAACTTCTTCTTGGCTGCATTACCCTTAACTATCTCAAAATTTTCCCAGTCACTCGTACCCTCTTTGCAGGCCTTTATGTATTCCGGAATATCGCCGAGATAGTTGAGCTGCTCCGTCTTCTTGCCCGGGATATTAACACCCATGTACCACGAGGACTCATTCTTACTGAACAGCGATGCCTCATTCATGTCCAAGACCTTCTTCTTCTTCCAGTCTTCCATGGCTGACTGCCGCGACTCGATAGATCTTACCTGTTTCTTACTGAGTCTGGCCAGGACCTCGGCTATAAGCTTGACTTGCTGGTCGAAGAATGAGACAAAAACGAAACTGTGTCTAGACTTTCCTTTGGACTGTGTACGATGAACATGTTGGGACATCCTCGAGCCATAAGGCCGAGATATGTCCACACAATGTCTTTCCACCTCCCCTTCATGTCAACGCCATCTTTGCTACATAGATCCATGCTTTTCAAGGCGTCTGTCACACTGTAATATCCAGTTACAAGGACAATTATGTCATGCTCTCTCTCTTTTCCATCCTCTGTAGTAATGCCCGCGATGTCCACTCATAGATACTCATCTTCTTCGCGTTCACAACCTCAACATTATCCTAGTCCATAAACTAGTAATAGTCCTATTCAAGGCTGCTTCGTTTATAGAAAACAGGAAAGGCTGCTTATCAGGGACCAGAATAGCGCTCTTCTCCAGATTTTACATCCTCGCCCTTGTCTTGGCCCAAAACTCGTAGACTAGACGGTTTGCCTCCAGATCCACTGAGAAATACAGTGTTGGCCTGACCAGAAGTTTCATGAACCTGACATTATAGCAACTGCTCTTGGTAAACCATGCTTAGTCGTGAGTTTCGACCTGGGAGGAGCTCCGCTTGCTTTATGAATCCCAACCAATACATAGCGTTTCAGTTGGTAACCCGCTATAACTGATTAGTATTTTAACAATCATGTAAGTCCATTGCCATCTGGCTGTAATCTCGGGGCGAGCAAGTTGGGGACAGCTTTTGCTGTATGGAAGAGGCGTAGCGGTAGGTCTTCTTGCTTCTTCCACTTTCGGGAGGTACTGCCTACTAAACATAAAGAATGTACGAAGAACGACGATTCAGTCGTGTTATCTTTGGTAAATAAGTAACTATACAATGCAGATGGTATTCCCAGTACATGAATCAACAGGGCAATAGAAGGGCCAAGGGGACTAATGGGGCCGAGGGGGCCGAGAGGGCCAAGGGGGCCAAGGGGGGTTAAGGGGCTAGGGGCCGGGGGCTGGGGGCTGGGGGCTTGGAGCTCCTTCACATACGTGTAACTGTGGCACGGTAGTCGCTGGAATACGCATGCCTCAACAACAGATTTCAAGACCAATCCAAAGAAAGTAAGACAGATACTATTGGAGGATAAGAGGGAAAGGGTATCAGCGCCAAGAGCCTTGAAGGCTAGAAAGTGCAGGACGGGGGCTGCATTTACAAAGCAGTAAATGGAGGCGCTTTGGGGTCTTTTGCGGCTGCCATGATATGTAAGAGGATCCCATATGCTCCGAATCTGCCATTTCTTATTAAATACGACGTGTTCTTAGTCTGATAGATCTCAAAGGATACGAGTGGCAAATAAGCAAAAGAATCCCGAGTTTCTTCACATCATGAATAACCATGCTGCTTACAACTTTGGCATCTCCCGGAATTATGCCTCCACACTTTGCTACAAGTGCCGGGACTTGGAAGAACCACACCCCGCAGCAGGCTGCCTCGAGAACCACGATCATTGCAAACACGGCGACTTCAAGAAACCCTACCCAAATGATTCACACTGGAAATCGACGCAAACACAGATACAGGATAGCCCGGGCATTTTAAGTCATATCTACCCCTCAAAGACCATGACAAGTCTCATACTATGTGGATTCTATCTCTTCGGTCTTTTGGGCAGTCTCTTTAGCCTTGCCAAACGCAACATAGCTAAGGCCATCAAGGCTTTTCGGATGTCTCCTCGACTATTCCACTGGGCTTTCGACCAGCATGATGTCGGCTCTATGTCCAATACCCTTACAGTTCTCGATAACCGTACTAGACGACGGTACAAGATTCCTATCAGGCACAATGCAGTCAACGCCCTCGAGTTTCAAAAGATCACTACTGCTCGTTTCGGCGGCGAATCTGTCGGCGATTTTGAGTCTGGCTTGCGAGTTTTCGATCCCGGCTACCTCAACACTGCGTGCGTTGAATCCAGCATCACCTTTATCGACGGCAAGCGAGGTTACATTCAATATCGCGGTTACCCCATAGAGTACCTTGTTGAAAAGCACGACTACGAAGAGGTCATCCATCTTCTCATCTGGGGTCACCTACCCAACGCACCAGAGAAAAAGTCTTTGCAACGGAAAATTGCTGCAGGTTGCGTTCCACCTGAGCACGTCATCCAAGTCATCAGATCGTTTCCTAGGGACTCTTTGACTAGCACGATGGTCATTGCCGGTGTGGCTGCTTATGCTAGTCGAGATGAGGGAGCCACTCGTACACTCCAGTCTGGCTGTCCGGAGTACTTGGGTCAGCCCGAAAAGGTTGACGCCGCCCTCATCAGCTCCTTATCCGCTCTCGCCACTGTTGTTGCTCTCGCATATTGCCACAAACGTGGTAAAGCTTTCACTCCTGTCGACCCTGAAGCTACCTTCATTGAAAATGTTATGAAGATGATGGGCTTTGGAGAAGGGGCGAGTGACAAGCCCAACTCGGAAATGATACAATGTTTTAATAGGCTTTGGATCCTCTATGCCGACCATGAAATGACCAACTCAACCGCTGCATTCTTGCACGCAGCCTCTACTCTAGCTGACCCATTGTCGTGCTGCATCTCCGGAATCGTCTCCGGATACGGCCCGCTTCACGGCGGTGCCATCGACCTCGCATACAAGGCCTTCGAGAACCTCAAAGCCCCTGAAAACGTTCCGGCACTGATTGCCGACGTGAAAGCCAAAAAACAACGCCTTTTCGGGTACGGTCATCGTATATACAAGGCCATCGACCCTCGCGCCAAGATCATACGCGCCATGATTGACCAGCACAAGAACAAGTTCGAATCAAACTCACTACTTGCAGTCGCGATGGAGATTGACCGCGTCGCCAACATGGATGAATACTTCACCAGCCGTAGCCTCAAGGCTAACGCAGACCTCTACGGTTGCTTTTTGTACACCGCTTTCGGCTTCGAATCGGATATAATTGTAGCCATGGCTAGCTTGTCACGCATACCCGGTGTGTTGGCTCACTGGCGAGAGGCAATGCTCGAGAAAGCCCCTTTGTTATGGCGGCCGCAGCAGATATTTACCGGCACCCTAGTCGAAGAGCAATGTCGTAAATATCCCTGACTTTAGATGGCATACGCTCAGTTATTGATGTGGTTTGTTAGCTACTGGGAAGCTTTTGGCGGGGTATTTGCCAAACTTGGACAGAATGTGAAACCGCGAAATCGGAAGTGCCGCTGCAAGCACTCTTTCTTGAAATTCTTTAGTACTTGGCTCGGTGTGGTTCATGAATCCAAGAAGCAGATTCCTTAATATCAACAACCGAAACGTATTCCTAGTACCAAATAGCAGTGAAGATTCAGGGACCAATAATAATATTGGGGTTTGTTTTGCTCGCATTCCAATATGATTCCAGCAAAGCAGGTATGCCAACTTAAATGGTAAGTGGTACGGAACAAATACGACGCCGTAACTAATTGTTTTTGTCAATGGATAATTAGGAGATGTCCCTGCTCCTCGTATGGCCAGAAGAGATTGTTGTGCGGCGCCGCCTGCAAGCCATCACTGAATATGTCGATTGCAAGAGAACTGGGCCAAGCTGCCTGGATGAGCTGACATTCCGTTCCAAAGTCTTCGTGATACTCTCCACGAAAAATTCTGCGTCCTTGATTTACCAAATTGCTTAGGTTCGACATGGTGCTCTTCTCTAGCTTGGAAGCATTAACAAGTTCCTTAGTTCTGAGAGCAGAGCAAGGGTCAGTGTACTTTCCCCGGGATTTGAGCTTGTCGGGATCTCGGACATTATATTATCCGGGAGCCTCGATGCCTATGTGATGTTGCTTTGGATCCTCGGAGTGGTCCGTGCGTATCGTTGCTGGACAGCTGGACCGCAACCGACGCTACCGCACTGTATCCTTCCTGTCTCCATTCTCATCCACCTTAATCAACCACCTCACAACTTTGTTGTATGATTGGCCTGCTTCTTGCAAAGTTGTCATTCAGCTTTCTGGGTTACTTGGATTGGGAAAAGAGAACAGCTATCGAATAAGGACTGGAGCTTGGCCTTGCTTTATCACCAACGTCTCAGCAACCGGATTGTCGCTTTTCCGGACCAACCTGCTGGCCTCCTTCGACGTTCACGCGCATATCTCACCACCAGCCATTGGTTATCTTTTAATGAAAGAAGCCTTCATTACCAGAAGTCGACTAATCGCACCGCCTTCAATCTTCTCCAGGTATACCGCAGGACATCAGCAAAAATGGCCTCCAAAGATGACAAGGCGTACAAGTACCGCCAGGAGATCAGTCAGGTGAGTAAGAACGCTTCGTCAACAGTTCATTTCAGCATTTTCGGTGTCATTACTCCTTTGCTTTGAAAAAATATCCAAACTTGTCGCACAATCGTTCGTTGGTTTGGAAGGCCAGCCAGCGAAAAACAAAATAGCCCGCGGGATGGACAAGTCCTTTGACGTGCGTGCCTTTTTGTGCTGGCGATCAGTGGACGACAATCACCAAATGACTCGAGACTCGATGAGGGAGATTGCAAAAGCTGCACCTGCCTCAGCTGCTGGAGGTGCTTCTTGTCCGACAAGAGCCGTCTGTCAGACAGCATTCAATCAGAAACACATTCCAACGTTCCAACGACAGGTTCATATTCCTTCAGCCGACATTTACTCCTGAGGGCGTGAAGCCACAGCCATGCAGGACCATGAGCTCCAGGCCTTCCTTAGCTGATTACCTCACTAAGACCAAGACGGCGGCAAATACCGCATGAGAAACCTCATTGGAAGCCTCCAAATCAGTCTCGGCATCTTCGAACATTGCACCGAGCTGTTGGCAGTTTGGGGGCTTCTGACACGGAACCTGATGCTGTTGCGGAGAAGCCGATTTACCCACGACCCCCAGAGCAAAGGCCGCCGTGGCGGCTCACTATCAGCGCGAGAATATTGAAAATTTTCAATCTACTTTCGATGAAGCTCGAGGCATCGCCGTTGTTTCTTGTTACACATCCATCCTCAATGTTCCATATGGCAAATAGCACCCGCGGGCAAAGAGCAAGCGCTCCAGACCCCTGCAGCCCAGAAGCGAATCTTGTCTCATCATACTCAAATTTGAGAACGGAGAGAAGCCGCCATACGGCTGGACTGATCGGCTCACTAACGTCTTGTGCAAGATGATGTATGTTTCTGGCGAGACCGCCGAGCCATCGATTGAAACGACAAGCATGATCGAAGATATTGTTCGTCAGCAGGTCATTGAACTGGTAGGTTGTTGCTCACCAAAAACGACTTCGCTAGACTCACAACTCGTCAGCTTCGAAACTGCACTGAGCTTGCAGCGCGTCGCGGCGCTCGAGCTATTACCATTAACGATCTGATTTTCCAGATTCGTCACGACCAAGCCAAGGTCTCCCGCCTGCGTACTTTCCTCTCGTGGAAGGATGTCAGAAAGAACGTCAAGGATTCAGACGACAAGGGTGGTGAGGCTGATCTTGGCGCTGGCGAAGATCCCGTTGGCGGTGTTGTTCCTGGCGGTCCAGTCGATGATGCTACTAAAAAGAATAAGAAAGCCAAGGTCGGCCTCCCTTGGGAACCGTCTTCGTTCTACAGTCAGGAAGTTCCAGAGCGCGACGATGAGGAGGACGAAGAAGAGGAAGAGATGAATTTCATCACCCTGCAGCGTCTCCGTAAGGCCGATGAGCGCACCAAAGCCATGACAAAGGAGGAGTACGTGACTTGGTCCGAATACCGCCAGGCCTCGTTCACTTACCGCAAGGGTAAGCGATTCCGTGAGTGGGCTGGCTTCGGTATCGTTACGGACAGCAAGCCTTCCGATGATATCGTTGATATCCTGGGTTTCTTGACCTTCGAGATGGTCCAGACGCTCACCGAGCACGCACTGAAGGTCAAGGAGCAGGAGGATTTGTTCAAAGCACAGAGCGGCGGCGAGAATGCCGGCTCGAAGAAGCGCAAGGTGGCAACTGGTCTGTTCGACCCGCCCAGTGAAGGCAGAAGCCCCATTGAGCCTCGCCATGTTCAGGAGGCCTTCAGACGTCTTCAGCAGCGCCCCAAGAAGACCCGAGCTATGCTCAACGGTACGAGACTGCCGCAACATACTGCTCTCAATATCGTGAGTATCTACCATGTCTGCAACATGCCTTTTCTTTACTAACACGTCTTCTAGTTTTGATTTCTTTTCCCAGAGCGGATGTCCAGGGAAGCAGCTTTGCCTGGGTGCCAACTGCGACGCCTCGGATTCGCTTCTATACTTCAACGATGTAAAGATACCCACGGATGGGCCATGGCTTGGCGTTTATGGATTCCTCTATTTATGCTCTTTAGGCAGCGTACTCGGACAAAGTGACTAGGCTAGGCTGTCGTGATACTTCAAATAAACCAAAGTGTTATGCAACTGATTGTGGCGGTTCAAACCGAACCTCGATGCAGATGTGATTACCAGTGCCCACATGCAACAAGTGCGGCTCCGAGCGCCGGCCAGCCATCTCAGGGAGCGCTATACTATATTTTGCCTCTCGGGTCACTACACAAGCTTGCTTGCATCATCAACGCTGCAGTAACTCGTTTTACTCACAAAAGCTATGCAGTTAATTGTCTGAGGGCCCGCGTTCCCTTGGTAGATATATACGTACCACCTCCACTGTATTAGATCACAGCCTGGTTCATCCCATTACTGTGTCTTGGGCACCGAAATACCCCGCAATGAGGCACAAGCTCCAGCCATCCCACCAACCTTTAGCGATTAGATAAGGCAGACAGACCCCTTCCGGACTTGTCCACTGCCCTGCTTCAATCCGGCTGCCTTGCGTCCCATTACCTTACTTGAGGGCGGTGCCTTTCATTCGATCCATACCTTTTGTCATCTCTCCTCAGATTAAATCGAAAGCGCAACAAAATGGCCCCTCCACCGTCAATCGCAGTGAGTCGCGCGTCCTCCCCGTTGCCCCGCTATCGTGATGACGACATGGTCGCTAACCATGCTCCTCCCGCCCACAGACGAAGCTCAAGGTCCAGCTCAAGCTGGCCATCGCACGACTGCGTATGGTTCAGCAGCGTGACGAGTCCATGTCCAAGACGCAACGACGTGCGATGGCGCAGCTCCTCGAGGTGGGCAAGATCGACTCTGCGCGCATCCGCGTCGAGAACATTATCCGATCCGACATCACGACCGAGCTGCACGAGATACTGGAGCTGTATTGCGAGCTGCTGATCGCGCGAGCGGGGCTTCTCGAGGGGTCAACGTGTGATCCTGGCCTAGAGGAGGCGGTCAAGAGCATCATCTACGCGGCGCCCAAGACTGAGATCAAAGAGCTGCAGGTGGTACGGACGCTGCTGGGCGAGAAGTACGGCAAGGAGTTTGTCCTGTCAGCAATGGAGAACTCAGACGGCAAGGTTTCGGAGAAAGTTGTCAAGAAGCTGAGCGTCACGCCGCCGAGAGAGGAGCTCGTACAAGGGTATCTAGAGGAGATTGCGAAGGCGTACAATGTCGACTGGCCGAAGCGACCCCGCACCGATGAGCAGCCCGACCTGCTGGACGATGACGATGAAGACAGTCCGAGCGGTGGAATCGGCGTGAGGATACCCGAGGGCCCGCTGGGTAACAGCTCGAAAGTTGCCCAGGAGCAGGAGGAGCTGAGTAAAGCGACGCCGCCGAGGACGATTGGGGGGCCCAGCAGTCCGCTGACCGTAACGCCACCGAGGATGACGACGGATAACGTTCATCCCAAAGTGACGCTCAACTCGCTGGAGCTGAAACCGAACAAGAAAATGGATGTGGCGGCGCAGAAGAAGCCCAACTCCAAGGGTCCGGGGGGCAGCGTACCTGATATCACCGAGTTGGAGAGGAGATTTGCAGCTCTTAAGAGGTGAAGTTGATACCATAGAAGCCGGAGATTGGGCAGTTTGATTTTGGGAGAGGCTATGGCGGGACTGTAAGGCGCGCGTATTCTTATTCAGTATGGTCTAGGCATGGCGCGGAATTCATTCGTATTGCAGGCGTTCTGCATCAGGACCGTTTGTTTGCTACGCTTGGGGTGATCGTAATTATCATATGTGGCTGAGGATGAAACATGTGTAGCATTTATTCTGTCTTTTGTCGAAGGTAAGGCTCCTGTTACGATGATAGTAAGTAACACGGGGAGGGGACATGCTGCTGAACACCATCTACTAGAGAAACCATGCTGTCTTAGGCAGAAGAAAAGAAATGGAGGAGCAAGTGCAGAAAAGAGGTTTCAATCGGACATGTCTGGGTCGATCAAGGAGGAAGGAACACCCGTAATCTTGAGCTCCTTCCTTCCGGCTTCCTCACTTACCCACTCGCACCCGCTTCACGCTTCACTCTTACGAGCTTCCGATCTTGCGATTCCTCTTGCCGTTTGCCTCTCCTTCAAAACACCAACCATTCGTGATTTGCGATCGCAACACGTTTTTGCGGCCTTATCCAATCTTTGTCACGCGATCACAATCTACGTTTTCTCTCACAGCACCTCTTCTCTAAGACCTGTGATTGCGACTCATCTTCCTGAACATACCCGAGCTTTGTTACCTGGTCACAAACTGACGGAAGGTGTGGTTTGTTGATGAGGCATTGTTCTAGGTACCTTCTTCGCTTCCTCAAGCGACCACATCGTATCTAACCACTGTAACAGCAATTACTCCCAGAACACGGTCATTCTTGACACTTATACTCTATCGATTTCTTCATCCAGGAGGCTTGTGGTGTTCTGGTAAGAATTTTATACCCACCTCACCACTGAGCGACCAACAGCCCCTTAGCATTACCTTCTAGAGTCTTGTCCGCCGCCAACGTACTGGACATGGATGCAGATTTCTTGGGAATGCGTCCGGCGGAATTCTATCGTCTGAGACATGGGGAAGTTGAACGTGAGCTAGAGCGGCGCTTCCCTCAGTACATCGACGATGAGAAGCTTCTAGATATTTACACCAAATGGCTTGTCTTCCAAATCCCTAACCTGGACTACCGTTCCCACCTGCATTCGTCTGAAACTATTCGGAGGGGCTGCGACTACTTGAGCTCTAGGAACTACAACAAGGGGCTTGTCATCAGTGCCTTCTCAAGGCACAAAGGCTTCTTTCTCAAGGACCGTCCCGAGAATAGGCGGGCCTTCAACCTTGCCAGACGAGACGTTGAGATCAGCTACGAAGCACCGCCTCGTTTGCTCTCGAAGTCAGATCCTTCACCCAACAGCACTTCTCGCTCTTTGAAGACGGCAGCGAACTCGACCAGATCAGCCCTCTCCCGGGACCAGTCAACTATGGGAACTCCAGCCACCAGGTCACCAGAAAAACCCCAGCCTGACTTAGACGCTCTGAGCCCCAGTAACCGGAAGAAGATGTTTCATCGTTTGAATGCGGTCAAGCCTACCGATTCATCCTCCGTCAAGATCACCAAGAAAACATCTGTGCCGACTTCGCCAGAGATTCAGCTGCCTCCTGCCAGCTACATCTGCAAGCGCTGTGGAATACCAGGTGATTTAACAAAGAGCTGCTCGAGAGAATCGTCAGCTTGCTAACGAGATTGGTGGTAAACCAGGCCACTTCATTAAACACTGCCATACCAACGGCGATCCCTTGTTTGACAAACAGCCTCCGAAAGGCTATATCTGCCGCATCTGTGGTGCGCCCGGCACTCACTTGATTCAAAACTGCCCTCAGTACATCGCAGGGAATGGTGAATCAACGCCAGGTAGAAGCCGCAGCATGTCGGTTCCGAGCACCAATGCGAGAAAGGTCTCCGGAGAAAAACTGTTTGTACCTTCTAAAGAGAATCAAGCTGGCCCGGGCCAGACATTCAATGATCCCTCTAATGACGATACATTCGAACACCCGATATCTCCCACAGCGGAGGGTATGCAAGGAGCCGCCAATATCAGCTCGACTGGGCAAGCAAGGTTGGCTTCCCTTGGTCAAGCTTCAAACACCGTCGATGATTCCATGAACGAGGATCGGGCCAGATATATAGGTTCTTACACTGAGGACAGTCGATCTCAGTCACGAGACTCTCTTGCGCAGTTGGGCGACCCTTCGAAGTCTGGTAGCAACACGAAGCCGGTCGGACTTCGCCGTCATCCTGATTCATATCGTCCTGTCAGTTCGTCTCGTGACGATGACTCCTACCGCCCTCACGATTTGTATTCTCCCAGTAAGATCCGTTGTCCCGATGTTACAGCTTACCATAATGGACCGGCTCGCCAGGAGAATCCACAACTCCAGAACGGACATATCTCCTCGTATCATGCTGAGGGCTCAAGTCATTACGAGCCTTCAGAACGCCGAAATAATCTGCGTCGTCGCGAAACTCCAGATCGCCGGGATGAGTCACGCCGTCGCGAGCCATCAGCTCGCTCCCATGGTTCACGTCGTGTCAGTAGTTCGCATCATCCTGATGGATCGAAGCGTCGCGATCTGACCAACGCTAGAGAGGTTATCAAGAAGAAGACAGCAGACAGAAGCGAGACAACTTTTTGCTCCCTACCCAAGAGAAAGTGTTCAGATGGCAGACTGTCGCCTTGGGATGATATCCATCCGCCGACGAAGAAGCCGCGCCGACAAGATCCTTTGGCGGGTGGTCTGCCTTGGGACGATGTCGAGGCGCCGACAAAGAAGAATCAGCAAGATTTGGCCGGCTCTTCGACCGCCAAGCAGGCTATCGTTGTCGATCAAGAGCCTGTTCTAAGCGGTAACAAGAAGGAAGCCGCATCGAACGAGAATACTTCCAAGAGATGGAGCGAAATGACTCATCCCGAATGGGAGCAAGCCGGAACGGAGGCGAATGCCTTCTTGGAGGCCTTCGGCAGAGACTTGGTCGAGTACCCAGGACTTGGCACCTCAGCTAACTCGCAGTTTGGCGGTAGCTGTGGGAGTCGCTCTTATTCGCCCGTGTGGTCGACTTCCTGCGTAGGTCAGCAACACCCTTCAGAAGACTCAGCTCCAAGTGACGGCGAGGACATCTTCATAGCCGAAGCTTCTGACGAGGTTGCTGAATCAACTCAAAGCTTGCACTGCGAGGTCGATGAAGATCCGCCTCGCTCTGATCCGGTCATTGTACCGTTTCAGACTCTGAAGCCACTTCAAAGAAACCCTCCGTATGATTCTAGCGTTTTGAGCCTGTTCCGGGGTAAGGAGACCAATCTCGTATACGTCAATGTGGCTCAACGCAGTAATGCTGTCGAAATGTACGGGACTGAAGAAGAACGCGCCACCACCAGACTGTCCTTTCTTAGGGTCTAATGCTGTTCGTTCGCATCAGCCTCAACCGCTTGATGGTCGTTGACTCTAGCGTTCATCCGAAACCGACAGCAACATTTTTATCTCACGTCATACGCATTCAAGTTTGAGACGGCAAATTCTGTCGTCCGTTGAGAGCACTTTGCTCTGCGGCTAGGTGTTGGCTATCGTTACCATTCACCTGGTCCTTCACTCCATATCTTCCGAGTTCGACAGCCAGCAGGTCTCTTTCTTCTTCTTCTTCTTCTTTTTCTCATGGCCCAGCTAGTAAGGCTTCAAGCCCGAGGTCTTTCGAGTGGTCCGATCTTTGGGAGCTGGAGCATTATGGCACACAGTTGGGTTGAAAACAAGATATTCGGCTACAAAGCCAATATGGGCCGTAGGTTTGGGCAATCATACATATCGTCCTTTCCCCCATTTCTTTCTTTCCGTTCGTGTATCCAGGAAGCTCGAGCACACCTAGCGGTGTCACCGTTCCGATTTTTGGCCAGATTGTGTGGACGACATCTGGCCCAGATTCTTGAGCGATGATACGACGCATCTCTTCGCCTTTGCTTTCAGTGGGGTAATTGTGCCCCGCGATTCTCATTCCAAGCCTACTAGGGGCTTTCCCAATATCAATAGTTGACATAATGCCAAAGCCGATTCCGCGCGTGCGTGCCGCTCGTGGCTGAACTCCAGACTCCGGTCCATCCGTACGCCTATGCATGAGACAGACGAAGTCCGCCGGTTCTCAACTGTGATTACACCTCACACCCGCGACACTTGCCCTCCTTTTGTCCCCGAATCCCCAGACTCATTATTCCAGCTTATCCAAGTGCTCCAGCCTCGTCAGAACGACCTGTTTGCTCGTCTCCTCAATCTCGCCCGCCAGGAAGACCTCGTCGAGGATGGCGTAAACCTTGTAGAAGTTGAAGACGAGGTCGAGCTCGCAGACGTTGCCAAAGAAGGCGTCGAGGACCTCGACGAAGAAGTGAATGGCCTCGAGGAATGCCAGCTCATTGTCGTTGGTATCGACGCAGGCGCAGAAGAAGAGGCCGGCGTAACGGCGGTAGACGATCTTGTTGTTGCGGAACTCGACAAAGTTGGACTGGTACTTTTGGTCGCGCGGCGCGACGAGGCGGTGGACCTGTGGAAGGAAGGAAGTGTCAGTTGGCAGTTTGGGTAGTAAGGAGGGGAAACATATATGGGAAGGGATCCGTACCTCGCCTTTGAGCTTGATCTTCTCGTCGTCGCTGTAGGGTGCGTACCACTTCGCAAGACGGGTCTTGCCCCTTGATCAAGGAATGTCAACTTTCTCTCCCTTCTCGTTTGTCTTTGTGAGCGGGTCGGAAGGGGCACATACTGGCGATTCTGTATCAGGATAAAGGACAGCATTGTTGTGACGTGTAGGTAGTAATCACATGTCCTTGGAGGACCCCTTCTTTGATCTGGTGTCGCCCCGCGCTTCAGGTTTCGAGATGTGAAGTCGGCGGCCACGGAGCTTCGGTGGTGCTCTTGCGGGTACGTACCGGATAACCATTGCTGACCGGTGCTGAAGTGCGCGCACTGACAAGCTCCTGTGCTGTTTCCCCTGAACGGTCCGGGTGGGGTCCTTACAGTGAGGTACATAGTACGTACCCGAGGCCACGCAGAACACCAAACTCCAGCAAAGCCTTGGTTCACCAGGTAGGCAAAGGTACGTACCACGGCTGATTGCGCGCCCCACCTCCGAAGGCCCAGGACCCAAGGGTATAAAATCTCGTCGACCCCCCGCCATTTTCAACCTCTCCTTTTCTTCTTTTCTTCTCCATCCGAGTGCAAGGGCATTACGCGTATCAGTGAGGATTCGTCCGAGATCGTGTTTTTGCTAGTTGAAAACTATAACTATGACCACTCCTAGTTGGCTTCGGCCGGCTAGGGAATTTTTGGAACACTACATTTTTCTCGATGGAGATTTTTTTCTATTGCGATCCCTCGCTTTCATTGCTAGCGGCCCCTGGCTGGGTCGTGGTGAAGAAGGCTTCTAAATGATCCGTACCCGATGTCGAGATGACGGGGATGTCGAGTACGTGAGATATCGAATGAATATGTAGCTTTCGATTCGCTGACAGGACAAGACGGTGGTGGACCTGAGGTTTATTTGCTGCGTCATTGCTTTTGCCTTGGCTGGCTATCAAGAACAAACTGGCCTCAATGGCGGCGTCCACCAACCTTTCGATGGTCCACAATCGATCTGATGAGGGTCCTCCGCTACACTTGACTCTGATGCGCTTTCCAGCCGCTATCAAACCTTGGTCTCTGGCCGGCATCAAGGCACCCATCTGTGATGAGCCACGTTGGACAGTCAATGCTACTGGACTCCATCCTGTGTTCGACGTCGTTTGGTTTTGCCTGCTGGCTCAAGGTAACCAGCCAACGAGGGAGCAATAACAGCAAACACCATGAGTTTCTCTTTCCCTTCGGGCAACAACACCTGATAAACGGGCAAGCCTTGGCCCTCCTCGAGCACGCTGCCAAAGACTAATGTCCGATAGCTGAAGATTCAATCAGCTTACTCCGCTCCCCATGTAAATATACATACCCATCTGTAAGAAAGAGGCTCCAATACAGTTACTATGTGACCGACCATGCATATCCTCTAAACCCACCCAAGTACTGCAACCTGTACAGGCCTTCGATGCCGGATTGTCAGGGGTCGTATGAAAAGAACCTGGGGCGGCCGTCACACAAGCACAAAAATTGGCCTCAACTTCAGCCTCCTAGCAGCCATTAGCCAGCACATCGGGCGTCGAGTCAAGTCAGGCCGGTATCCTCACAGCCACGCGCTATGTCTCTTGATCTCGTCGGCGTATCCAAACGAATACATCGATGACGAGAGACGCTGCAGGAAGCATAGTCACGTAGGTTCAACAATGCATTGCCCACAACGACTTCCTTTGTTCCCCTTATCGCTCCTTCTCATCGCTTCAAGCATATACCGTACGACGAACCCAGCTTGCCATTTTATACTGGCTCTTGAGTTCATGCGTTCGGATGCAGGTTCGATGAAAGTATGGTCGAGGGTTGCAGTAGGCGAGACTTATATGTATTAAGTTACTAAGAACTACGAGAGAAGGTTAGCATTGCCATGGCCCCAAGAGTATTGCTCTGCTAACGGTCAGTGTAAATTCTTCGGCCTGCTTCGACGTGAGGTCAACGAGTGAGGCCTCCATATCCATTAGCATTACAAAAGGAACAAGTGACTATGCTACAACGATGAATTTATAACGCCATCCAAGTCTCGGGCACCTCCAGGCATCCAAAATGGAGAATGCTCCCCATCAAGCGCATGAACCTCCAAAGCTGCCTCCTAGTGTCTTTGATTCAACTCAGCAGTTCGAAATACTCCCTGCAAAATAAAACGTCTCTTTTCCCCTAATCGCCATAAGCGTGACGCAAGAAACATCCCAGACAGGTCATTCGCGCCACCTCAGTATGCCATTCCGTCTATACAGCACCTCTGCCACGGTTTCTTCGCCCATGGCCCCAACTGTGCGCACCTGGTGGACTTTATCAGACTTGCGCGTGCCGCTCCACCGGTAGAGAGTATCCATCTGCAGCAACTTCAAGCGAGAGCCATGCTCACAGATGGCGTCCCAAGTCGACCTCACTAACTCATTTGCGAGTCCTTCCGGTGGCGTGTCTGGCGATCGGATTCTCCCGTTGCGGTGGATTCGAGGCCTTCTTCGTAAAATCAACTTCATAGGGTCCTCTTCTGTTGTCGAACGGAGGGTCAAGTAAAGACTTCGAAGGCGCCGGATTCGTGCGAGACCCTCGCATACCCCCGTCAACTCCGTCGATGGCAAACGGAACGAGGGGACGGCAACCGTGATCGTCAGGTCCTCCAACAAAGGACAAGCAGGGCCGAGCATGTTGATGTGTTCCGAGCCAAGTCTGATATCTTCTGCCGGGAAGAAACCGTTCCCGGTTGGTCTAAGCTTCAATTTCCGCAGTGTTTCGCCAAATTGAGAGATGGCGAAAAGGAACATTGGCAAAGTCAGCTGGCCCTCAAGCGATAGCGATGTCAACGCAGGGATAACGGCTAGGAAATCTACAGCGGCGTTCTCTAGTGCGTCCATGTTTCCCGCGTCCGAAGGAGCGCCGATGTAGCCTCCATTATGCAGCTCTAGACTGTCGAGGCAGCGGAATTTGGCGTGTTGTGCAAGCCAGCGCAGCTCTCTCGATCTTGCGTTCAGCCTTAGATGGCGCAACACTGCGAAGTCGGTCGTTTCTACCCACGCCTGTACTCTCTCCGGACTGGTCCTCTGCAGGGACAAGAAAGGTATTGAGCCGAGTTTGGGTGTGATGGTGCCTGTCGCTGAGTTGTTCCAATATTTGAGGTTGTTTTCCATTGCCTGGGATATCAGAGATTGCAACTGGGTTTCGAATTCCGGGTTGCATCTCCGATGATATCTGGCTCCGAAGACCGATTCCAGCTCTACCATCCTAAGGCTCGGCGACAGACCTTTGACGAGCTTGGACACAACCGATTCGTTCGTATGGCCGGTAAATGACTGAAAGTACTCCTTGATTGTGATGCTGTGTAACTGGGGCGACAGAAGCAGTGCCACATCGTATAGGTTCAGAGGGGCACCTTGGATGCAGTGAAGGTCAAAGTACCTGAGATCTAGCAGGCACTTGGTGTGCTGGGTCCCAAGCGCTTCGAGGAGGTAGGGCGAAAAGCTGCTCTCGTGCTCAATGGCCATTTCGGTTAAACCGACCAGGGCCTTTAGCAGCCGGACCATAGGAGCCCATGCCTTGGGATTCACAAAGACATCGCGAAGGCGGCGGTTCTCTGGCAACATGCGCTTGGCATAGTTAAGACTGTCGGCCGACTCGGCCGTCAGGCTCAGGCGATCGGGCGAGTATAGGTCACTGTGATGGAGTGTCTTGTCGTCAAACGTCATCACAAGGCGTCGGACATGCCTTGTGGCTTTTGTACGTCCCAGTATGGCGAGCCAGTTTGCGACATCTTGATGTAGCTTCCGAGGGTGTTTGATTCGGATGTGAACGTCGCTGAACAAGTAGCACGCGGCGGCAGCGTTGCAAGCTTTGCTTGTGAGGGCAAAGGACGAGAGATCTGGCAAATGAACGCCTTCGAGGTGCGCTGCGATGTTTATCAGGATTTCGGTTGGGAGAGTATCCAAGGGTCTGTTGTCCATCTTTGCTGCTGTCGCTTAGTCGCTATCGCTTTGTCGCTATCACTGTCGCTATCGCCGCTACAAAGGAGACGTTCAACAATGGTGAAAGATGCTAGAAGACATTGTGGTGGCTTGCATCGACAGAAATATGTTGGACAGAAAGTACCTCGGATGAGGTTGGCTCAGTTGCATTGCTTACCACAGAAGTGGGTTAGTATCTCATGCAGATAGGAGGAATTGGTTGGTTGGTTCAACAGGAACAAACAACCAACATCAATCAGGGAACTAGGGCCCGACTTCCAACCGACGGCAACACGGGGGAAAAGCCGGGACGGGAAGGTGTCGGCCGAAGCAGTCGGGCCAAGCATGCGAGTTCTGCCTTTCACAATGGGCAATTGCAGCTTGGCCGAGACAAGACAAAGTATTCCAGAGAGACACATTCTCCAAAGTCCCAACAGCAAAACTCACATCTTTGTCTGTAAACGTTTGCTTAGAGTACGCGAAGCTAAGCAGAGCCTCATTTTGGAACGTCTGACGAATGGGTCAAACCCGTCCAACAGAAGTATTCTTATCTGCGAACGGCTGGTATGCCTGGCTGGCTTTTGATCAATGTTATGCCTCCTAAGCGAGGACAGAGCGGCACAGCAGTCCTGGGTAACTCACTACGCCCCATTTGCGTCGTCCATTGCAAACCCGGAGCCTCTCCATCCCCATGCCACAATGTAATGGTCAGCAAGAAGCTTCCATTCCTCGACCTCATCGAGGCCCTCCAATCGGTCCACGCGCTCCTTTTCTTCAGTCGACACCCAATTCTCCCAAATGCGCTCAACTGTTAGGGCATTGGCATGCTCAAATCCGGCATCGCGCAGGCGCTTAGTTTGATCCTGCGGAAGCTTGTAGCTTTCCAGAGTCGGCATGCGGATCCTCCTTGCTGCAAGGTTGGACGTCATCATCTTGCCAAAAGGATCATCGGGCCTGACTGGTTCGTAGATGATGATGGCGAGGTCAGGGATCTTCTGCTCGAACCATGCCACAACGTCTTTGGTGGCGGATGTCTCAAGATAGCAGAGACAGCACTCTGATACCAGTAATGTCGGGATATCCGTCCTGAGACCCACGAGGGGCGGTGCGGCGTCTTGTACAAGCTCGCGAAGGTCGCGTGAGTGACAATAGTACTTGTCTGTTGGGGATGGTTGGGAATTCCATGAGCCGTCCTCCTCTACGGATGGCACACCAAGAACCTGGCGCAAGGGGGGGACGGACTGCACTATACGTGCCTTTTTCCGAACAGTGACTGCGAAGTCGATCTCATGGTAGACAAGCTCAGGTCGGTTGGCCCTGGGAAAGAGACGGAACGGGCGAGTGTCGGTGCCGGCGCCCAGCGAGATGATTTGCCTCTGCTTTGAACTAGACTGTGTACCGTCTGGCTCATCCAAGAAGCTGTCAATGAGGTTGTCGAGAGCAACGGTTCTCGTGTAAGTGCCTGGAATAGAGGTCAGCCTCCATGCTCGACGGAAGCAGACCCTGACACGGACCTCGGTTGATGATGGGTAATCTCCTCGGAGGGGGACCAGCCACGTTATCGACGAAGAACTGGGCGTACGGGTCGGTGAGATATCCCACGTTGACGGCACTTAGGCGCGAACCGGCGGCGTCGTCGTCGGTTCCCTGGATCGTCTGATCATGAGTCGGGCCCGAAGAGGGGCCACCGGGGCCTCTTCCGCGACCGCGACCACCCCGGCCACCTCTTGCGCCACGAAAGGACAGCAGGTTCGGGATTGAATTTCCAGACATGGGGGATGTTGCTTCCAAGGTGTTGTTAAGGTTGAAGACAGCCCGGCGTTTGGCTTAGTGAAGATACGGGTGACGTAGGAGAGAAGGAAGCCACGAGGTGGGGCGCCTAAAGACAACACAGTCGTAGTTTACTTAGGTACCTGGCATTGGGGCAGCTCCTCCTTGAACGGATACTTCCATCGTATTGGATCTCGACGCACAGTCCACTTTTCTGCAGAGAGCTCTCTGGATGCGACTTTATTTCCTCCGCCGATGCACCTATGAAGTGATGGGAAACTGGCAAGCTAAGCCGGACCGTTAGATGCATTGGACCCTGGATGGGGATCTGGAGGCTTTTAAACGGCGCAACAGGCCCCCCCCACTGTCGGGTTGATGGGGATGCATTATGGCATCCTAACTGTTGCGTTACAAGCTCATCACCTCGTGATTTTTAATGACCAAATTTATCAACGCAGAGGACTACCACAGTGTCGACTTATAGGACACTTGTATCTGTGAAAGCCATGGAAGACCCTTGCGACGGTCGCTACGGATCAGGGGGATTCCAGCCAACACTACTAGCGTCGCAATGGGGGCCGCCAGGAAAGCGTGTGAATCCTTTCGGGTGCTTCGGGCGACGGGTGGTTCAGTCGGCAACACTGTTGGCTTGCTTTGCTTTGTCATTCAAAACGGGGATTAACAAGTTGACCGTTCAATAACTCTGACAGGAGGAGACCTCTCCAAGTCGTAGAAGAGGGATTTGAACTCCATCATGCAAACACTACCTTGAGGAACGTCCCAGTTGTCCCAGAGGCCTGACCGTGCTGTCCTGAATCCTTCTAAGAGAAGCCAAAAACGATACGAGGTTTCATGCACACTCCCAAAGTTCAAGCAGCGAACGGGCCGTCGCCCGGCTTCGATGCGTGCGTTCCGTGTTCATGCTAGACAGCCTCGTCGGTCAACTGATTTCCCACCCAACACATCGAGGCAGATCGAACTGGGCCTCATCAGCTACGTGACGTGACGATCTACCATTTGACGAAAAAAATGGAAAAGAGTCGGCGCAATGCTGCAGATATTGCAGGTAAGCAAACATGCAAGAAGATGGTACGGCGGACGTATTTAGGTAATTACTGTATCAACCCCTTTAATCGGGCGACGGCCGATCGGCCACAACCAACTCGTTTGGTTTGCAGCGCGCGTCGTCAGACATGCCGTTGGGGGGCGAGCTGCCAATGGAAGGATCTAGGTAGTGGGACAAGGGGGGGAACCGGGGAGTGGCTGTGCCCGCCTGCTGCCTGCGAAGGAAGTGCTGTCGATACCCATGAGGACCCCGGCCTGAGGTAGCGTGCATAGTTTCTTATGCAAGGTACTTTCTGCAGGCTGCCGTACCCACGTTACGCCCAGGTAGACTTCCCCCCCGTGAAGCGCCCAGGCAGCACATGCGCAGTGACCAGTGACATGTTGTCGCCATCTGCTTGAGTGAGTAGCGAAGGCGAATTCCGGTGTGTTCGTTTCCCTTTTGACGTCTGACACCCCTCCTCCTCCTCCATCCTCCCGTCATTGCCATTCTAATTCGTACCACTTAAACTCTACCGACCTCGATCTTTCCTTTTGGTTTCTTTCCTCTAACATCACCACTTTCGGGTCTGTTTATCAATTTACCACAGCAGATATGAATATGAAGTTGCACAGCCTCGCCGGCGCCATCTACAAGAGGGCCGTCGAGGAGTCGCCTCGTCAACCGGAGCTCCCTGCGTGGAGCATTGCAGTCTATATCGCCGACTTGCTCGTCTTCCTCCCCCTCATCCTCTGGGTAACCTCTCACCTTGTTGTGATCCCATGCCATGCCCTCTCCGCTAACACTACAACTCCCAGACCACATACACCCTTCACCAGGTCTACCCCATCTTCGCCATCGTCGAGGACGAGAACCCGCCCGCCTACGACCCCGTCAACCTCGCCGACGATGAGGGCGCCATCGCCTCCGCCGGCCCCGAGGTGCGTCCCGATGGCCCCGTTCCGACGACTAAGGCCGTCACCGGCGGTCGTCCCACCACCGTAACCTCGTCCCTCCGCTCCATCAACCGCCTCCTGAAGACTCACGGCGGCTGGCGCGCAAACTTCCGCGGCTTCTTCGTCTACTTTGTCCAGTCCATCGCCACGGGCGCCCTCTTTGGCATCTTCTCCTCCTTCCTGCCGGACATCCTCGCCTCCCTCGCGACCCTCCTCGCCGCCCTGTCTCTCGTCCAGCTTAGCACCGCCTGGGTGCACATCATCATCACCCCGCAAAGCTCCCAGCACTTCTGGCAGCGCCTGCCGCCCTTCAAGCGCACCTTTGATGCCACCGCCCGCCCCGTCGCCGCCTACTGGCTCGCCGAGCAGGTCGCCACCTGGGTCCCCATCGCCATCGGCTGGGTTATCGGCATGGACTTGCCCAACCTGCAGTTTGGCAAGCCCAACTCCACCGTGCCCCAGCCCCATGCCTCCGACGCCTGGAAGAGCGTTGTCGTCACCCTCATCAGCATCGCCTTCCAGGTCATCGTTGTCATTCCCGCCCACGTCGTCCTCGTTCGTGTCCAGGCTTCACTCCTTCCCGAGGAGGCCAACACCATCATTCCCTTTGACCGCTCCTTCGAGGGCAAGGTTGAGCCCCGCGTCGTCGGTGGCAAGGGCTACGCCACTATGGACGAGGCCTGGAGTGGCTTCTCCCGCGCCGCCTGGAAGCGCCTTGTTATTCTCTACGTCAAGATTTTTGCCGTCACTTTCGCTGCCTTCTTCCTCATGGCTGCCATCATCGTTCCCGAGGTCATTCTTATCGGCACGTTTGCCAAATAGATTGCTGGTTCGATTTTGGTGCTCGCTAGCCCAAGGTCACCGGGATTTGTCTAGAAAGCCTCATCTCGTAGTCTTGCATGAATTCGCGACTAGGTCCGGCGATGCGGCTCACTTACATCTACATGCAGAGAGCTCTGTTGATTCAATGCGGCGGCAGTTGACCCTACCTTCTCACGTGTTATCGTTGTAGTTACCAACACATTTCCTCTATCGTTCTCACACGTACCCACTCAAGTAGAAAAATTGAACATGAACATCACGCTGTCACCGTATCAGTGTTGGCAGCAACTCTTCTTTTCTAGTGTCATTAACCGTCAAAACGTCTTGGGTTTCATAAGCAGCGAGGTCCGTCGTGTCGTGTCACCAACTCCCACAGACTATGCAGCAGCGGCAACACTATTGCAGATCGGCCGTTCCTCTCATCGTCCCAGCATCAGCTTCTCCTCCCCGTGTCCATGACTGATCCAGTCTGTCGTCCGCCCTGCATCCACACGCCTGGGTGAGTATGTCACCAAACGCCCTATGGTCATTTGCGAAGCACGCTCTCCATAAATACATTCATCCACCCTCCACCACACCATCAATCGCCTAATCCCTCCCCCTTGACCAAAAAAATAACAAAGACCGCCCAGAAACTGCTGGAGAAGCACAATCCAAGAGCAAGAGAAACCCGACCCGAAGAGGGAAAGAGGGAAAATTCAACATCAAAGGATATCTCGCTTTCCCTTCCAGTTCACGTGCTGTGTCGTCTAAGTCTGCATCTGAGTCTTTACCGGCCTGACCGCCTTCTTTCTTCCAGTATACTGAATTAAACAAAAGGGGAGGAATTTCTGCCAGAAGGAAGTGGCGAGTGATCGTGGTAACAGGAAATGATAAGAACCGTGCCGCCAATATCAGCACAGCGGGGGGTATAGCGGTCTAGTCCGCACCAGGATGTCGTCTATACGCTGTCATGTCTAGGGGGGGTTGAGAGCTTCGCTTCCTGAAACGGTATACCGACATCAGGAGAGCAAGGGCTCAAGCATAAAGGGGGCGATGAAGCAGTTTAAGACTTCTGGGAGAAGAACCAACTGCTGCGCTTACCGGAACCGCCCTCATTTTGCTGAATGCTGTTGATAACGGGGATGGAAGGTCCTTGGTTGTCACCACCACCACCACGGAGAGGCTTGGCAATACGGCTGCCAGCGTTGGTGAAGCTGAAACCGCCGAGCGAGGGGGAGTTAAGGCCACGGGTACTGCCGGCCTTGGCAGCCTCCAGCCTCTCCTTGACAGCGGCGAGCTGGACTTCAAACCTACAGGGTATTAGCGGTTAGCAATAGGTCGGGGCATAGAAATGTGCTGGCAAAAACAGGGTGGGGTTGCAAGCAGGGGCAAGGAGCGATCCATACTTGTGGTTTGCAGAGGCCATCTTCTCCTGGCTATCCTGTAGCAGGCTCTCGAGGCTCTGGATGCGCTCGTTGCGAGCAATAAGCTTGCGCTCAGCAATGGCGACCTCCTTCTTGAGCGCCGAGTTCTGCTCGACGAGCTGGCGCTGAACCTGGGTCAGCTGCTCGAGGTTTCTCTCGAGGAAGGCCATCTTCTTCTGCTGGGCCCGGTTGTTGGATGACCGGAGCACGTTGTTATATTGCTCTCTCGTCTCGTCGAGCGAGATCTCAAGCTCCACCACACGCTCACAACGGTTCTGAAGATCGCGCATGAGGCTCTTCTTCATGATGTCGAACTCAGCAATCTGCTGCTGGATGGACTTGCCGTTGGCCATGGGTGCGGCGGTGCCGGCCTTGACTCTCTGCTGCAGGTCCTCGATAAGGGCCCTCATCTTGGAGTTCTCGGCAGCCTTCTGCGCAATCTCGGCCTTGAGCTCGTCCACAAGCTCCATGGAGGTGGTCTGCTTGTTGGAGTAGGCGCTCTCCAGACGAGACTTGATCTCCTCAACGTCGTTCTCGCCCAGGTTACGGGTAAGTAGCTCTTCGTACTCCTGCTGGAGGGACTGGAGGCGGTCCTCAAGCTCGGCTCTGCGGCGAGCGTCTGCCTCGGTTGAGGAGGCGCTGTAGACGGACAGCTCGGCTTGTCTTACGATTCCTTGAATCTCAACGAAGCGCGACTTGAGCGCCTCGAGCTCGTCAGGGTTGACGACTTCGCCGGTGGAGCTGATCTCGTGGAGAGACTCCAGTTGGGCAATAGCCTCCGAGATGGCCTTCTCGTTGTCACTGAAGACATCGGCGCCGAGGTCGAAACCAGCCATCATCTTGGCCATTTTCTCAGCCTTCTTCTTCTCCTTCTCGTCCAGGACCGCGCTCGTCTCCTTGGCGCTCATCTTGACGTCGAGAAGTTGCTGCTTGACCTCATCGAGCTCTGTCGTCAGCTCGGCGTTCTGCTCCTTGAGCGCGTCCATGGTGATTTGCGCCTCCTTGCCCTCGAAGCTCAGACGCTCAAGCTGCATCTTGACCTCGTTCACCTCGGCGTGAAGCTTCTCGTTCTCCTTGCCTGTCTTGGCGTCGTGCTCCTTAAGGTAGGTAAGCTCCTCCTTGGTCTCACGGAGCACCTTTTCAGTCGTGTTGTACTGGCTCTCCTTCTCGGCGAGCTGGTCCTGGAGCTCATTCTCACGACGCAAGAACTCGTCGCGCTCGTCCTTGTCCAGAGGCAAGCTTGGAGTTCCCGCGCGCTCTGAGATTGCCGGTGTCTCGGATCTGCTGTCGGGCAACAGGCGGGACGGTGTCGAAGGACGGGGCGCTTTCGCCTCTGCCTTGGCTCCTGCGACACCGTCTGCAGACAGGGGAGACACCCACCTGTCTTTGGGAACAGACTCGCCAGCGCGCCACAGCTGAACCTCGCCCTCCAAGTTCGAGATGTAGGTCTCAAAGGTCGAGATTTGGCCTCTGGCCTTGCCAAGCAAGGCCTTGAGCTCGGCGGGACTGAGCTCAGCGTTGACCTTGGCCTTGTTCTTGATCGCCTTCGCGCGGGTACCGAACCGCAGAGTGCTAAGGGTTTCGGCGTCGTTGTAACTACTGGGCGAGCAGTTGATGATGAGAGTTGTCCGACTGTTACCTCCAAGAGATTCTTGCAAGATACGGGTCAACTTGGAGTCTCGGTAGGGAACATGGGAGGATCTGCCGTCGGTCAAGGCGTTGATGACCATTCCGAGGGCACTCAAACTCTTGTTGATCTTCTTGGCCTCCTCGAGCGTCTGACCACTGGCACCTGTCTTTCCAACCTTTTCGCTACCGGCCAAATCGACCAAGAAAAGCTGGCCACTCTTTGCCGATCCGGTCTCGACGTTCTTCTGGGTAATGGTGACGACGAAGATGGAATGCGAACGGGAAGATTCCTGGTTCATGTTGGTTGCGGCGACGGCGCGGGCATTTCCACCTCTTCTCATAACCTCGTAGACCTCCTGGACGCTGGAGACGTAGACCTCCAAAAGACCCTTTACGTAAACACCGCGGTTCTTCTCCTCGTGAACGGGAAGGTTGTCGTTCTGGGGCGCCAACAGGTCGCGAATTCTCTCCATGTAGATTTCCATATAGCTGACTCGTACCGTGTACTCGATAGTGCTGGGGCTTGACATGATGCTGGCAAAGATCTGCTCGATGATGCGGGGGATGACACCGCGGCCCTCCTCGTCGTCGATGCTGGAGCCCATCATGGTGTAGGACTTTCCAGCACCCGTCTGACCGTAGGCGAAGACTGTTCCATTGTAACCGTTGAGGATATCGTCGACAGTAGAGCGGATAGAAAAGTCGAAAATATCGGACTGCTTGCATTCCATATCGAAGACTCGGTCAAAGGTGAAGGAGCCCTGCGCCTCTTTCGACTAGAAGAGACAGCGTCAGTCGGCTGCCCACGCGGGCGACGGCTTCAAGGAGCGGGCAGGAGGGCACTTACGTCGAGGGTACAGGTGTCTTCGCCATTGAAAGCGACGATGGGCTGGCCGCCCGATGCCAGTTCCACCTTGTTCTGTGGACGGAATCGGGCTACCACCTTGATACTATTGTTTGCGCTAGACATGACGACGGTAATTCAGACCAGCAGGCGTCGAAGCCAAGGTCATGGATTCCGATCGGGTGAAGTTGCTGCGAAGAGATAGGGGGGCGTGCGTGTGGTTGCGGCGAGGCACTCGGCGGCCGCAGCTCGGCAACGGGGGGGTTGTGTTGAAAGGACACACACAAATAAGGTGGGCGGGATGAAATGACGGTGTGCAGAGATGTGGGAAGACTGCTAGAATGACATATCGCAGGTGGTGGCAGGGCGATGATACACAGGGAGAGGAAGGGTGGCGACAGCACAAACCAGCAGCAGTAGCAGCCAGAAAGGCAGTCGGACGGGAAAGTGAGAGAGAACAATAGAAAAGGTGTGGTTTGTATTGTTTGGGATTCGGGGTTGCCTTTGGGGGGTTGAGATGCAAATGACGGGGACGCGCTAGAAATCGCGTGGAATTATTTGCTTGCAGCCAGACGGTACCGGTACAGCACATGTGCGGGCTGCAGAACAGAAGGGAAGGCGCTCCACAGGGGCAGTCACAAGTCACTCAGGCCCTGGCGCCGGCCGCAGGAACTCAGAAGAGACAAACGGACCAATCCCGTCCGGTCGAGGCCACTTCCCGCTGGTGGTTTCATCCCCACCGCACCACTCGCCAGTCGGGTGTGTGCTGTCTGTACCTAGGTACCACCCGTTCCTCTATCCCTCCTTCCTTGCCCAAGGCACTCCTCAGTCCGAGGGGGCCCCGTCCCAGCAGGAAGGCGAGTCCCCTGTCTTTTTTTTTCTTTTCTTTTCTTCTTCTTCTGTTGCTGAAATTACCAGCACACACTGACCATCATAGGCGCACTCGCACAGCAGATGGGCCTGGCGCATTACGCACTAATTAGAGGGTCGCCGGCCGAGCACGCGACAGGATCGCTGATAAAAAGTTACGTTGGCGCGATGGAATCGGGTCACAACAGACTATGTCCCTGGTGTTTGGGTGGGCTGCTCCGCTTTTGCAGATGGGTTCACAACAAACAACGCCGGGCCGCATATTGAACAGTAGATTTGGTATTTCGCTGCTGATGAGGTCCCAAATGCACTTCCCACGAACTCCCCTGCAAAAGCCAGATGAAGAAGAACCTAACGTCACCGACAGCCGGTGACTCAACAGAGAAGAAAGCAAAAAGCACGACCGCGAAACGCCTATCGCAACATGGGCTCGCCTCAAAAGCCATTCAGATAGGACAGCACGAGCCGAAACGCCAAATCCTCCCCACTCCCACCTCATCGGGTACCCCAGCTGCTTAATGCAAAGCAAATCAAGGAATCTGTCTGGTCGGCCCTGGGTGTCGCTCACGTCAATCTGCCCCCAGTTTGGTCTTTTGCCGTCCCGGCGCAGCCCTGCAGCCTGTCCCCAAGAGGACTTTCCCTGCTGAGGTAAAGAGGGCCATCTGGTTCATAATAGTCGTATGTGTTCCTTTGCGGTGGTATCATTGTCATCTAGTCTTCCCAGCTCTTCTCAACCGTCTCACGAACCCGCTTCGTATACTCCTTGCGGTTGTCCTTGTACAGATTCGACGCCTCCACGTTCGCGGGGGATCCTGTGTTTGGGTCGTTAAGCAAACTGTGGCAACGTTAGCTCAGGATATGTCGTCAGGTGGCGGATTACAAATCCGCCGTCTTCGGTACGTCGGCTCACCTCTGGATACTCGTCAACACCGCAGCCACGTCGTATGTGGGACTCCATCTGTTCTGCAGGATATCGAGGCAGAGCTCTCCTGTGGCATAGACGTTGGGGTGGAACATCTGGCTGATGAACTTGACTGCGGGCGGCTTGTTGGGGTACTGCTCCTCGAACTGCATCACGAGTCTGAAGGTTCCATCCTCAAAGGGCGTATCGGCGGGTCCGATGATCACGGCGTTCCTGCAACGGTCGGTGTTAGCCCAGATCTTGAAGACGACTGGCAGATTGAGGGCGTGTTCGGGCATACCAGGTCATGACGTTGTCGGGACAGGAGAGGCAGAGACGCCGGCGGGGGGGTCAGTCTGCATGCGCTGCTCGATGTGTTAACACTCCTGTTCGAAGTCGGGATGTACGAACATCGTGACTAACCTTGAAGTCGCGCATCAAGCGACGGCGGGCGGCGGTCGACATGGTGGCGGTCGGTGACTGATTACCAAGACTGATAGGGTCGCGAGGGTTGAAAGAGCCGTCACTGGAAGACAGAACGGACCGGGTAAATGGGTCGAGATGCAGGCGGATAGATCGGAATCCTGACTACCGTTCAGGAATGCTAGGGGTTTACAAATCCGCGTGGTCGAAGATGAATGATGGAAGAATGGCGAGGAAATGTTTGAATGGTTCACTGTCCGGTAGAATGGCACGGGAAGCAGCTCGACTTCACCACCACCGCCTTCCGCTTGGGCCAGCGGGTGGGTCTCACCTTTTCAGCCAATCATGACCGTAGAGACGAGGCGCGAATCAGACCAGACGAGACCAAACCGGCGGTCGAAGTGCGACCACTCACAGTGGGAACACACGACTCGAGCCACTCTTCAATGACGCTTTACGAGTCTTGGATTGGGCCATCTGGTTGTGGTTTTTTCCCCTTCCGCATTTGATACCACTTGACAGAGCCTTGTCCGCTGGCAGTTTCTTCTTCATGTTGCTGACTCTAGAGACTCGCCTTCCAAGAATAGATGCTTGCATTGCCGTGCTAAATATGCAACTAGTGATACTCTTGCTGTCCGCTGCAATTGCCTGCATGATGCGTTCCGCTATGTTTCTTGGGGTTTATGTTTACGCAGCACGATAACCACCACAGCAACGTTGAGCACACGCTGCTTGATTCTGGAGAAAGGTATTCGGACAAGGCGCAGGTGGTAACGCTGCTGTAGAAAGTGGCCGGAACTGGTTCATGTACCTGGCCCGACCCGGCCAGACCTTTCCGCGCGGAATTGGGTCCCTACTCCCACGGCCCGGGGGTGGGGGATGGGTTCCCCAGAGGCCTGCACAATCGACCTGGGGATTCGAGTGACCTCACAGCTGTCCTCCCCAAGGTTTGAGAAGCTCGGCCCCGCCCGTGCATTTCCCCCCTCCCTTAAGCCGAGGAAGCCCGTAGGACCTGGGGTATTGCCGTCCCGCGCCATCCACATGCTTGCCCTCCATCCCTCTCAAGCTGTAAAGCCGTTGCCGTCTTATCTTTTCTGTTCACGCTTGTAAGGTCGTCTCAAGTCTCCTGTCGCCGTCGTCGTTTTCTGCGTTACCTGCTGCAGTATATTCCGATTGTTACAATACCCATCATGTTTGCAAGACATTCATCGAAGCTCCCTGGTCAATTCGCCAGGCAAGTGGCGGCCCGCCAGTTTTCCACAAGAGCTGCGCTTAGGCAAGAGATCCGGGACGCATACATCCTCAGTGCGTCGAGAACGCCAACAGCAAAGGTAACCGCTAGCCAGTAAGTGCAGATTGGGGCCGGTCACTAACACGTCTACCAGTTCAATGGATCCTTCACCAGTGTCCCGGCGCCCAAGCTCGGCGCCGTCGCCATCAAGTCCGCCCTCGAAAAGTCCAAGGTCCCCGTCGACAAGATCACCGACGTGTACATGGGCAACGTGCTGCAAGGATCCGTCGGACAGGCGCCGGCCCGCCAGGCCCTGATCTTCGCTGGCCTCCCGTCGAGCGTCGAGGCCATCACCATCAACAAGGTCTGCGCCTCGGGTCTGAAGGCCGTCGTCTTCGCCGCGCAAAACATCCAGCTGGGTCTGGCTGAGGCGCAGATCGCCGGTGGCATGGAGAACATGACAAGGGTGCCCTACTACGTGCCTCGGTCGTCCAGCCTGCCGCCTTTCGGACACGTCAAGATGGAGGACGGCCTGATCAAGGACGGCCTGACCGACGTCTACGACCAGTTCCACATGGGCAACTGCGCCGAGAACACCGCCAAGAAGTACGAAATCACCCGCGAGATGCAGGACCAGTACGCCATCCAGTCGTATGAGCGCGCTCAGGCTGCGTGGAAGGCCAACGCCTTTGCCGAGGAGATTGCTCCCGTGACCGTCCCCGGAAAGAAGGGTGACACCGTCATCGAGACCGACGAAGGCTACCTCGACGTCAAGTTCGACAGGGTCCCCACGTTGAAGCCCGCGTTTGTGCGCGACGGCACCGGCACTGTCACGGCTGCCAACTCTTCCACGCTGAACGATGGCGCAAGCGCGCTGGTGCTGGGCAGCAAGGAGATTGCGCAAAAATACGGTTCGGGCTCCCGTGTGCTGGCGAAGATTTGCGGGTCGGCCGATGCCGCGGTTGACCCCGTGGACTTTCCCATTGCTCCGGCCAAGGCAGTTCCTATTGCGCTCAAGAGAGCGGGGATCACCAAGGACCAGGTTGCCGTCTGGGAGTTCAACGAGGCGTTTGCCGCTGTCATCAAGGCCAATGAGAAGGTAAGTATCAATTCGTCGCTGAGCGGCTCAGCCGTTGCTAACTACCATGGCGCAGATTCTCGGACTGGAGGGCGCCCGCGTCAACCCCCTCGGAGGAGCCATCTCTCTCGGCCATGCCCTGGGAAGCTCCGGATCGAGGATTCTCGTCACCCTGCTGCACCAGCTGAAGCCTGGCGAATACGGTGTCGCCGCGATCTGCAACGGAGGCGGCGCGGCCACTGCCGTCGTTGTGCAGCGCGTCGAGTCCGTGTGATTGATGAGAGATCAGATGGCACGGCTCTATTTTGAGGCTAGCTGTCGGTCGAGCACAAAATGAATGCTGCATGCATGCTTAGCTGCCAGTGACTTCGAGCTGCTTTCCCGCTCAGATTGCAGTGGCCATGGCGGGACCTGAAGCGCGAGGTGTCTGGAGGCGTACATATGTATAACTCGAAAAAAGTTGAAATGAGTCCAGGAGTAAAAGTAAACCATTCATGCAATCATCTTGACATAAACTGTCCTTGCCGTTCCGGATCCCAGCTCACAGTGTATGTCGTATCAAAGTTGAAGAACAGCTCAATAAACCACCGACCCCATTAATGTACCGGTAGGGTCAGGGTCCCTCCTCCGGCGGGGCGCCGCCAACCTCACCGAGCACGCACCCCTGCTCCCCGCACACCAAAGAACCCACCCTACCTCACCTAAACCTCTCTCTCACCTTGAATCTGCACTCATCGTCGACTCTCATCACGACCCGCGGGGCATCACTCCCACCTCACCCCGATCTCGCTCCGCCTCTCTGTGCTGCATTTAGAACCTACCGTCTCTGAGTCTCTCGCATACGGACGCGGCGCCGACGATGTCCCTCCTCATCCAATTCCTCACTCAGATCCGCACCTTCGTCCGCGCCCAGAACAGCGACGAGCTCCGCAACTGGCTGCTTGTCGAGCCCAACGCGAACCAGCAATATCATGCCCTCGCCTCGGAGCTCAAGACGCAGTTTCGCTCCGCGCCGCACACCAACGGCGGCAGCGGTAGCGGCACCAGCACGGCGCTAGAAAACACGATTGAGAAATGCCTACCCGAGGAGGACGACGTACCCGAGGGCCAGGGCTCGCCGTGGCCGGGCTTCGTGACCTTTATGAAGGACTACATGCTTTTCTGGCGCGACGTCAACTATGACGACTTGTTGAGCGCGCATACGCTGCTCAGCGGGCTGGTGAAGTGAGTCTTTGACGCGTCCTTGATATACCACCTTCAACCTTGACTCGGACAACCGCCTCGGAGTCTTGTCGCCTGTCAGATCGCATAACGAGCGTGACTGACAACTTCACAGCTCCTGTAGTACCGCCTTCGCCCACCCGACCTACGGCGGCATGCTCCTCAAGACGGCCATGTCCCTCTGCGAGTCCCTCGCGCGGTTGACCATGATGCTCTCGCGGCGCCCGGACCTGACGCGCAACATCCGTAACGTCGACGCCGACGACCGCAAGTCCATCGCTGAGTCCTCGGCTGAGATCATCCAGAAGATCTTCACCACCTGCCTGACGGACCGCTCCAGCACGCGCTACAGCAAGCCCGAGGGCAAAAAGGTCGGCGTCTACATGTTTGCCAACCTTGTGCTGAAGCTTCTCTTCGCCGTGAGTCGTCCCCCCCCCCCTTCTTTCTCTCTCTCCCGCATATGTCAGGCCCATCTTCTGCTTCGGTCCTACGAGACATCATGAAACCTGCTGACCGCCAACAGTGCCGGCGAACGCACCTTGCAAAGCAAATCTTCACAAACATCTCCACAAACTCCCCGCCCCTCTCCCTCTACCCGGCCGCTCAGCGCGTCACCTTCCTCTACTACCTGGGCCGCTTCAACCTCGCAAACTGCCATTTCCTCCGCGCCGCCCTCTGCCTCGAGGAGGCCTACCTCCAGATCCCGCCCCCGCTAACCTCCCACCGCGCCCTCGTGCTCTCCTACCTGATCCCCAGCAACCTCCTCCTCGGCCGCCTGCCCTCCCAGCTCCTCCTCTCGCGCCCGGAAGCCTCCTCCCTCGCGCCAATCTACCACCCCCTGGCCCAGTCCATCCGCAAGGGCGACTTCGTCCTCCTCCAGCACACCCTCGCGCAGCACGAAAAGTACCTCTTCGACAAGGGCCTCCTCCTCCTCCTCACCCACCGCCTCCGCCCCCTGCTCTGGCGCTCCCTCTCGCGCAAGACGTTCCTCTTGACCTACGCGCCGGGCCCGGACGACGCATCCTCCACCACCGCCACGAACCGCCGCGCCGCCACCCTCGACCTCGCGGACCTGCACACGACGGCGTCCTACCTCCAGCACCGCCTCGAGGGCTACGTCCCCTCCAAGCCCCCGTCCTCCTTCTCCTCCGCGTCCGCCTCCCCGGCCTTCCTCGCGGCGGTGTCCCACGACGCGGCCTCGACCCTGGTCCCGCCGCCCGGCGGGCCCAAGAAGCTCCGCCCCAACGAGGGGCTCGTCTGGGGCAACAGCCCCGTCGAGATGGACGACATCGAGATGAACGTCGCCGTGCTGATCCAGCTCGGCTTCATGCACGGCTTCGTCGCCCACTCGCAGGGCAGGTTCGCCGTCATGGGCGCCACCAAGAAGAGCCCCGTGCTGGCCGGGTGGCCGGCGCCGTGGGCCGCGGTCCGCGAGAGGCAGTACGAGGAGGACCTGGATCTCGATCATGTGCCTGGATGGGTAAAAGGGTGAAAAGGGAGAGAGGGACGCGTGATTGAGAGACTTGCTCCAGGACAAACGTCTGGAATAGAAGAGATTCATCTAGACATAGAAGCGCGCTTCTTGTGGGAAAGAAAGGAAAAAAAAAATACGATACCCTGTTCACAGTTCACTTCGCCTCTGCCTCGAGCTGACCCGCATCCTTCATCAGCGATGCCCGCACTCTGTCAAACTTCACCCAAGAAATCTTTACTATCGCATTGAAGATGCAACAAGCACACAGTAAGCGATTGGTAGGTCTCACGCACGAGTAGAAGTCGGGCGCATCATGCCATGGCGTTCAGGCAGCGTTGTTGGTTTTATGTATTTCATTTCTTGTTCGGGCCGTCTAGTGAACGGCAGGCCCTAGTCTCCTTCCCCCTGCGAATCTAGACGGCATCCGACGATCCTGGAACAAGCACAAGCATGATGCTCAAAAAGTCATCGCGAGGTCTCATCCCCAAATCTCCTTCGTGTCCTATTCGTCTCCTCACTCGATAAGGCTCATCCGCAATACATTCCTTCAAGTCTCCAACCATGAGCCTACCTATCCTACATAAAAACGTCTCTCCCTCGTAGAATCAGATTTTCCTGTCCAAGGTGCCCCATCCCCTCCATGTCATGACTACTGTTTCCATTTCGCATAGAAATTCCTCCACACATCCCTCGAGTAAATAAACATAAAGAAACAATAATAATGCGTGCGTAAATGGGTATAGATGAGAAGCAAGCCGATCCAAAAAATAGGTAAAGTGCCCCCTTGGTCTGAGGGGGGCCGGGCAGAGACTGCCCGAGAGAAAGCTTTGCGTGCTCATGCCATCGACACGAGACTGCTAAGACAATAAACACTAGACTGCCGCGATTATGCCGCGGATTCCTGATATACACGTCCAGATAAGTCGCAAATGATGAAGGTGCCATCTGTTGCCGGCGTATGTGTAAAGCGTGCCGCATTGGTCGTAAGCGGCGGGTTGAAGCGAAGAAGAGCCAGCAGCGCGAAAGGGTACGTGGCAAGCGAGCTTGCCCATGGGTCGAAGAGAGTACATCCGGCCGAGCGGGCTGGGTCCGAGACATCGAGGTCGGGGAGGTGACAGCTAAAGGAAGACGGCGCTGCGTCGTCGTTGACAAGCATTGACGTTGAAGCGAAGAACGGGTTGCTGCTGCTGGCTGGGTCGAAACGAAGGAATGCTACTGACGTGTAACCACAATCAGTACAGGAAAGTAGCCGCAACAACCGCGATGATGAGACCGGCAACAGCGCCACCACCCTGCTTGGCGCCTTCGTTCTCCTTCGAGGTGGTCGCGGGGGCGGACTCTTCCGTCTCGGTGGCGGCAGTCGGCTTAGAAGTCGTCACGTCGGAATCATCGGAATCAACAGACGTAGTCGTTGAGTTGTCGTTCTCGTGGAAGATACCGGGGATGACGGTGGCAGTTGCAGTCTTGGAGTGAGCAGAAGAAGCGGAGCTGGAGGGTTTGGCGCTTGAGCTCTTGGAGGTCGGAGCAACGGAAGAAGACGATGACGATGACGGGGTCGGCGTCGGCGTCGGCGTAGGCGTCGGCGTAGGAGTGGGAGTGGGAGTCGGAGTCGGCGTCGGGGACGGTGTAGACTTGGCCACCTTGATCTCGACCTTGTCATCCTTTTTTTCATCCGCATCCGAGTTGCTGCCACCAGAACCGTCCAGAGGGAAGACGACAATGCGGCCCTTCTTTCCCTTGGGGACAGTAACGACGCAGTACTTGGCGTTGCCAGCGCCAGTGCCAGCAAGGTTGCTGGTGACATCTCCAATTGCGCTGGAAGAGGGGTCGATTTCGCAAGGGGTACCGTTGCAACCACCTCCGGGGCATTCGATCCTGACGCCATAGGTTGGCTTCGTGCTGCTGAGGGCCGAACCCTCCCAGATGGGGTTGTAACCAAGAGTGACGAAAGTGCGCCCTTGGCTATCCTGGTTGGCGCCTGCAACGTAGGCAGCCCAGTTGCCGACAGCCTTTGATGAGTCACCCCAGATACAGCCCTCATCCGTAACACCAGGTGGGTTGACGTAGTAGCTAGCTGATGTTAGTTCTGACGTTTCTGCTCAAGGGCTTAAAATACTCACTGAGCACTTGTGCTGCACCAGTAGCTGGGGTCGGGAACAGCAAGGGTGATGGACTTGTCAATGACACTGGGAATGAGCATGGCCTCGTTGCCGGGTAGAACAGTCTGACAGAACGACAAGGTCTTGCCGCAATTGTTGTAGACCTCAACAGTTCCAGCGCCATCGACGCAGTAAGGTGAGTCCTTGAAGGGCTTCACGGCCTTGCCGTCAGATCCACAGTAGAGGCCACCGTTCTGAGTTGGTCAGCCATTGTATTTGAACGTGACGAGATGAGGCATGCTCACCATTGAAGACGGATACGTGTAGGACGAACCCGGCTCCCATTGCGCCATAACCTTGCCCGGCTTGCATGCAAACGGGCAGTAGCTTCCTTCAACGCAAGCCTGATCGGGACTCATAGCGAAGCCTTTGTTGGAGGCACCTGGCACGTTGACCAGATCGCCATCGCTGGGCAGACTACAGATAGCCTTGCCGTCGGAAGTCCTCTCCACGAGAGTCCTCTCGGCAAGCGTCTCAATCCTCTCGTTAGGGCCGAGACCTCTCTTCAACTGGTGAAGGTGGCGGTGAGAGCCATCATGCGCTTCAGCGGGCTGGGCGGACAGCAGAATCAAGGCCGAGCTGACGGCGGCCTGAATAGTAGAGAGCCTCATCTGGGAAGCGGGGTCTCGTCGAGAGTCGTGGTGGTATCCTCCAGAGATGAACCAGAAGCAAGAACCTAGTCTTGGGTAGTCGGCGCGTCGCGCAACGTGGTGAACAGTAGCGGTCGTTGTTTTGGCGTCCGGTTTCAGTGCTTTAACATCGAGACAGGGAAAATGAGCAGCAACAGCGCGCGCGCGTGTTGGATTCGTAGCGAACGTGGTTCCTTCAAAAGTCGAAGGATAGAGATAGCGAAAGTCGGTGTAAAGAGCGGAACGTCTCTAAGCAGAGACTGGGCAAGGCGTAAGGATGCGGTGCAAGGACAAGAGAGAGAAAGAGGAGAACGAGCGAGGGTGGAGGTGACAGGATGGGTCGACGATGAAATGAGCGAGAGAGCAATGATCCGGGGGTCGTCCATTCAGCCTGGGGACCTTTTGGCCGTCGGTCTACCTATAGGAGGGCCGTGGGTAAACTCAGAGACGATACAACCTTGCGCGCGATCCCCTCCCCCTGCTAGCCAAACATGTCAGAACGGGGAGGGAAAGCCACTGGTTCAACCAGGTCCCTCTGAGGGGCGGGCGCAAGGATTCTGGGCTGGTCATGGCGACATTGGGCGGTAGGTGAGTGGTGAAGCATGGCCGGGCCGGGGGGGCAGTCAAGCCTCGATGTTGAAGCTGGGCGTTGATGGAGCCAAGACCCAAGTGTGAGCCCAAGGATTCGAGGCCTTTGGGGGAAATGAGATTATGAAAATTGGCGCGGCCTCTCGACCTTGGACGAACTCGCCAATCAGACCCGGCCGTCATCTCGGCAAAGCTTGACTGGTGCTTCCAAGCAACCAATGAGGGACGCCGCGCTATCGAGCCGTTGCTACCGTCTGGAGCCAAACGAAATGAGCGCACAGGCCCCAGTGGGATCAAGGAGGCACTCCAGACTCCAGTACCTGCATAAGTGTGCATATTCCCGCACATTAGCTATGAGGTCATGCACAAATTAGAAGCCCACCATGCAGACTCGGTCTCTAATTGGTCCGCCCGTTGCCATCGGCCGCAAACCTTCTGCTGCTGCCAGTCGCTCAGCTGTAAAACCAGGAACAACACAAAAAAAAAAGACAGGGGAAGGGGGGAAACACCGCACCATTGCCATCACGCCGTTGGCCAGCGGGGGAGGGCGTTGCCGTTTTGGGCGGTCGATTAAGATGAGGCTTCTCACGCCACTGACTTTTTGAGCGCGAAGTGCACTCGGGTGCAGTCGAGGGACAAGTTGGTTTGTCGGTAACGTTGAAAGGTGATGAGACACCGCCGGTCGCAATGTCACACGCGCCTATCGTCATCCAATCTTAACCTTCAAGCTTAATTCCACGTTGACTGACATCGGTCAACGTGATGTGTACGACAGGTTGCGGTCACACGCACTCAGCCCGCTGAGGCTTCTCGCTCAGGACTCGAGATCTTTTCCTTTTTGTCTCTTTGTCCCTTTGCGTCTCGTTCAATTGCGGTTTTTGTTTTGCTTGTGTGCCTCCGCCACCTCCTGAGAACTGGGTATTCCCCTTTTGGGACGACAGACGAGGTGCAAAAAGGCCGCATGAATCACGCATTCCTTCTCTGCCCCTTTCCCCCGTTAGAGACACCCAACGGGATCCCGCCCGCGGTTGCCACCCTGGAATGCGGCAACGCGCCTTCTTCAGCACCCAGAACGCCACACGACTCCGGCGGTCTTGCTTACTGCTTCTGGAAGACCGAACTCACGATATCTGGAACAAGCTCCACCATGTCGCGGCCTACCTAGACAGCGCAGGAAAGTGGGCCGCTAGCCTGGTCACTCACCCCTTTCAAGCCAAGAGAGCCTGCTCGAGCCTCGAGTCGTCTTGCCCGTCGTTGTACCGCTTCACACCACATACCGAAACGTGCTTGTCCTTTTTCGAACCTCGTCAACCTCCTGCTCCAAACAGGCCGCCCCAGAAGGGGAAACTGTCATCTCTTCCACTTGCGAGTGCCTGTTGTTGAGCTTAGTCTCGCTGGCTGCAAAGTATGCAAGCGAGGGAGCACACCAAATCATGGCCAAAGTGGGCGTCTTGCATGAGCCTCATGTCCTGAGTCCTCCACCATCCTCAAACCACGTGTTCTGTGCTCTCTGGAAAGAGACCGAGCCAATTCTCCGACGGACGGATTTCCCAACAAGTGGTCTCCATACCTCATCAGCTTCTCCTACGTGAACGAGCCAACGGCAGAGGGGGTCCTGTCAGGCGTCAACAAAAGCGCCGAGGGCGATCTGGCGACTGTGCCCGTGCGATAGATCTGGGGACGGCACCCGTCGCCACGTCTGCCAAGGACGCTTTCGCCAGAGTAGGAGATTACGGATATGAATTGTGCGGGATTGTGCCAGAGTTGGCGTAGTCGTAGTTGCTGACTCGGCCGGCTTCATAGCTCTGCGATAGTCGGCTGCGCAATCTCCTCGTCAGCTTGGGCCATCACCAGCCTTCATTCCAACTCAAAAGGCTCAATTTTGTTGCCGTCCTCGCGCTGTTGAGGTTTTGAGGATGAGGCCATGTGCTTGTCGGGTGTGGTTCTGTTCTTGCACTAAATCTCCGAAGATCTTGCACCCGACTGACACCTTGTGTTTTCCGCTGATCATTTGCAGTAATTGGACACAAAAAGTTTTCACTCTCAATCTTCTGCCCCTCAAGCGGGAATTTTGTCCCAGCTACATCGTACTGCGTCTGCTAGGTATATAGTTCGCTTGGTTTGATGAGATGGAGCGTGCTCTACTCCGCGCGGAACACAACCCGACAAGCTACCCCGGGTATTATCTGATTACTTAAGAATGAGATTGTACCACTACTCAAAGCTTGTCGGTTGACCCGAGCTACTTGATCGTCCTCTTTAATATTGCAATCGAGTGGATTATTAGTCAGTCGTTGTGGACTCTTTGATCTTGACCTGCAGGCAGTTAGAGCTGGATGACCTAGCTGCTATCGGTGCCGTTGGCTTCTTACGTTCCAACCTGTGGAATGTCAAACAGGGGACTGCGCATTGCATAGGTGAGAGTGGTTTTTTCCACGTTCACAGCAGGCGAGCCTTGCCATTCGCTGGCTTCCAATCGTGGTACCGACTACGCACTTTTTCAGACATGTAGATCAAGTCGTGTTGTGGTTATTCCGTCTAATTGCCCTTAAGGTTCGACGCCCAGCTTGTGGCACTGGCCGTTCCGTAGATCTTGTGACAGGCTAATCACTAAACCAGCTACTCACCAGGCGTACGAGGCTTGTATCATGTCTTCCCAGAAGAGACCCGTTTCGACATCGTCTACTCGCCAGTAGACATCAATGAAAGCACGCTGCCCCCCCAGTCCGAAAGGCAGTCCAAAGACTTTTGAAACAAAGTCTAATCTGCCGCTTTTGACTACCCTAAAGCCCTGTTTCTAGTCCGGCCAATCTTCAGACCCCTCAACGATGCCACCGTCCTTAATAGCACAGCTGCCCTAGGCGAGGCGCTCAAGAACCGGCAACCGTTCGTGACCGAAAATCCAGACGGTTCCAAGAAATTCCAACCCATGGCCTCGCTGCCCGCCACCTACCCCCTCCTCTCCTACCATCACGACATCCGTCGGCATCTTTCAAGACTTCCTCAAGGTTAGCAACAGGATAACAGAGCTGCACGACTTCAACTAGGCCGAGGTCGACGGGCCCAAGCGCGCGAGCGTCACTAAGTGTCACTACCGTAACAAGGAGTGCAAGCGCTGGCCGTACTTGTTTGTGACTGAGGCGCCAAAGCCGTCTATTGAAGCACAGGAGAAGCCCTCTGTCACACTTGGTGAGGCCCCTGTGTGCTATTTACGAGTACCTTCTTGTCTTGCAGGAAGAGAGAATATACGCGACAGAGGCGACGGCGGTCATGAGACTGGGATGATAGATGTAGAGTAGTTTGAACGTGATTGTAACTTTTGTTAAAAATAAATCCAAGCGAGATGGCAAGTTGGTAATGTAAACGATATAGTCTAGAACGTTTTGCCGTTTCAATATGATCAAAGTTGTTGTAACGGCTTTTCATGGTCCCGAAGAGTGCAATGTAGATCGATCGCATGATAAACAGTCTTGACAATCTAAGATTTTGCTCGGCGCCAGAAAGTTTTAGCATAAGAGGGACGCTAACAGCTTCACTATACTTGGAAAGAAAAAAAAAAGAAAAAAAAGAAGGATTGGTGGGTAGTGTTTGGCTCAGAGGTCGCAAGCACACAACCAGCCTTCACTTCGCTCACTCTTCGGAAAGCAGAAACAGGAAACAGTACCTCAATTTACGCGATGAAAAGCAGTGTTGCAACAATTCGAATTAAGCAATTCTAGCGAACGTCTGCTAGTCGTTGTAGAGGGACTATGATCTATAGATATCAGCCAAGCTCGACCTTATCTCGGGGCACGTAAGAAGGCAACTCCAACATCATCAGTAAGAGACAAGCGCCGACTTTGTTGTCTTGATAACGCGGATAGACCAACCATTACCATCCACTGGGGGATGCTTGTGTTCTTTTGACAGCGGTTCATGGTTGCTGGTCTGTTAGCGAGGAAGCTGACATTACCCTGGAGCAGTTTTATGCTTGGTAAGTCTTATATTCTCTGTGCCTTCGTCTGTATTGCCGACTAGTTTATCTAAGAACCTCATGTCGCGGTGCAAGACGACTGCTAGATAAACTTCTGGGTTGGTTAAACTTTCTGTATCAGAGTCTCTTTACAGACGTCTAGTGCGCGTATTTCTTAGTTGTTTTTGAGGGAGAAGCATTGCTGTCTGCTTTGATTCCCTTCTTGCGGTATTGATTAGACTGCTGGATAGTGGTTGGCTCATTACGCCAAGATGCGTGTTCTACCAAGCATAAGGCTAAATTTCCTATTTGTGGTGACCTGACTTGTTTTTTCCATTTTTTGAGCATGGTACTACTTTATCGTTGACTATTACAAATTGTTCTGAGATTCGCTGGGGTAAGGCCAACTGACGCGGTGCTTAATTTGGTGTCTTTGTAAGACGGATCGACATTTTACAGCGCTACCTTAAGCAAGCTATGATTCGAAGAAGAGCCTTGAAACTTTGGACATGTTTGAGACGGTATATTTTGAAAATCAACTTGCAAATTGTATGTAGAAAGCAGAGAACCCTTCTCTTCTTCTACTGTAGCATATTAACTGCGTTAGCCCATCCTGTAGCGCCAGTCTGCTGCCTATTTGAGGCAACAGGGAACGAGACGGCTATGCTGTGCTTGATCCACCAATAAAAAGGTCTCCCAAATTAGAAGAAGCAGAGTTGTTTCCCCCTTGCTGCGTTTACCTCTCAATTACCCGCCGGGTGCAGGTTGATCTGGTAGAGCCCTTGCTGACTCGAGGCCATGTGGTCGACTTGCCTCCTATGCAGCAACTCTTGTTTACTCTACCTAACCCAGCCCAACTTGGTTACTATTGCATTCGACTCTTGGCAACCTACCTCCCCTTGAACGACCCTTGCCAATCATGACAACTCTCGGAGGCGGCAATCCCTTCCTAGGCCGTGGCGGTATGGGCCGTGCTGGTCGCATTCGCAGCCTGAAGTATAACACGATGCCCATAATAGACCACGCAGATAACCCAGCCCACATCTTTTTTCTGGCGCAAGACTCCCGTCCCTTTCTGCCCCCTCTCTACAGTTTCTCTGTCTACTTCACGCATGACACAGCATCGCCAGTCGTGGTCGACACAGACGCCCTGGCGAGGACCATTTGGGGCAGGAGCCCGGTCAACTTCCGTTTGGAGCTGTACTTCCTCTCCGGCGGTTCCTGAGACGACTGCATCGCGCACTACCGCCGCGAGAAGGCCGTGCGGGGCGACTATACGCCGCAGGTGGAAGCAGGCAGCGCCCTGCCCGCAGACAACGAAGATTGGGACAAGGAAGAGACGAAGAGAAGATCCGACGGGGAGGCGTCGCTACCTGGCCTGGTTCCAAGTTATCGCAATGGGGGGACAGACATCCACCATGGCCTTCTTTACATCATCGAAGGGCCGACATGTCCAACGGACGGGCAGAAGGTGCGTCGTGTGCTGTTTGATGCCATCACCCAGGACGAGTGGGACACGTTGCTGAGATCCTATGGTAATGAGCCTGGGGAGCAAGTCCAGTCGGTCGCCGAGACCGACGTGCTGACGCTCGAGGAGACGGGCAGCAGGATGTCGATGGACGCGCACTCCAAGATGGAGAACGTGACGAACGAGCCGTGGCAGAAGGCTGTGGCGCATAACTGGACTTTGTGGTAGGAAGCCAGCTACGGTCTCGGGATTTTTTGTTTCTGTATGAAGCGGCGCTGGAAAGGCGATGCACCTGGCTCTAGTAGTTCTCGAATGGAGTCCTGCGGGAATCGCCTCGTTATCATTGACCCTTCACTTCTCTCTCTCTGCTTGTAACGTTGCAGAGAAAGAACAATATTCATGTGTATCATGAAAAAGCGGCGGGTTCCAAAATGATGAACGTAGGGCATAGTTGGCTTTCGACCAGGTGTTGAGACGCTGTATGTTGTTCAGGATGACAACTCCATCATTAGCATGATGAGCTATCAAGACACTAATCAAGGCCAGCGGGAAGGCACACTATGTAACCAACCCGCGAAATCAGCCGGTGGCTATGACTGGTGCGACTGCATGAAAACGTCGACGTTACATTCCTTGTGATCCGACTGCACCACTCAAGATTCGCAAAGGCAGCACACGCCTCTTTATACATGAGACATGCCGTTTTGCTGGGCCGGCTAATATTCTTCAGCTTTAGCTCGTCTCAACACACGCAGCCGTCAAAGAATCGTCAAAGATTGTTTTAAGAAGAGGCGATGCCCAGCCTGGCTGCCAAGCTGATCCGTGAGTCCAATCGAGTTAAATATGCTCCAGACCGAGACTGTCTGTCTGCTGGAAATCTCAATGCAAACCATATGTGACTCTACCTACATATGACTCGTCTTTTTATTGATTGTGAAACTTGATACCGCGCCTTCCGTCTTCGATGCATGAGTCCCGAGTAGATAGCGCTTCCTCGGTTAGGAAGAGGTTTTGACAGCAATGCCGCGAATATAGTCACAACCAGACGTTGACTAGTTCATATAAGTGGCCAAAAAGGCATGCGCAGATTTAATCCCTGACCTCACATCGTTGCACGTCTCTTCGAGAGGTCGACACCCCCGGGTACCTACATGAAGTTCCGAAATAGGCATGCCGAGGAATTGGAGATGAAAATCTTGGCTCGAAATCTCCAATGTCTCTGCAAGAGCCGGCTTGGGAGATTGACTTCAGCCAACCACCAGGCACTGACCATGACATTTCCCAATTGGTGCGCACATCAGATCCAAGTCCGTTGAGACAAACGACGCCACCTTTAGGATGAACGGCTCACGGACAGAACCGTACGGCATTCGTGCCGATCGCCAACGTGGAGATAAGTATCGTCCGAGGTTGCGTCGACGAATTGGAGTCTCGAGGCGTCGCTCGGATCTGCACCCTACCTGCATGCGATGTTGTCATAACCCCAACAACCCCACGTTCGAGATCGGCGAGAATGCCGCTCTGCTGTCGTAGCGTGCGTATCAGAGCCTTCGGTAGTCCATTTTCCGAAGCTTGAAGCCATGCGACAGCTTCCCCTCATTTTCCATCCCCGCCTTCTTCCCCATGGGGAAGCGGAACCTTTTTATACAAGAGGGTATCCCCGAGCTCTTTTCATAGGGAAGCTCATCCAGGTCGTTCCTCGCTCATCATCACATCCTACACCTTGTCCTACTACCCGCAAAAGGGGCTCACCGTCGAGATGGACACCACTAAGCCAAGCATCGAACAGGACGAGAACGTTGTCAAGGGCGACACCGCCAGCCTCAAGCCCACGGCCTCGAACCCAACTCCTGTGGAATGGGCGCAGCACTTCACCAGCCAAGACGAGGCATGGCACAAGAACATGGACAAGACCCTCTTGAAGCGCGTGGACCGGCGTCTCATGCCGACGCTCGTAGTCATGGTGAGAATGCCTCCAATTTCCCTCTCCGAAGCAAACAGTCTAATCAAAGAGCCCAGTACCTCCTCAACTTCCTCGACCGCTCCAACCTCGCCCAGGCCCGTCAGGGAACACTCGAACGAGACCTGGGCATGACGGGCACCGACTTCAATCTCGCAACCTCCATCTTCTTCGTCGGCTACCTCCTCATGCAGCTCCCCTCGAACCTGCTCCTGACGCGCGTCAAGCCGTCCTTTTACCTCGCGGCATCGTGCTGCCTGTGGGGCGTCGTGTCGACATGCAACGCCGCGGCGGACAACTTTACGCATCTCATCGTGATCCGCTTCTTCCTCGGCTTCGTCGAGGCGCCGTTCTTCCCCGGCGCCGTGTTCCTCATGAGCTCGTGGTACACGCGCGCCGAGCTGACCCGCCGGATCGCATATCTTTACGCCGGGAATGCGCTGGCGAACATGTTTGGCGGCCTGCTTGGCGCAGGCATCCTTAGCGGGCTGGAGGGAGACCTGGGGATCGCGGGATGGCGATGGCTTTTCATCATTGTGCGTCCCGCCCCTTTTCCAAACCACACGCGGCGTCTTCGTCACTGACATCTTGAGCAGGAAGGCGTAGTAGCCATTGCATTCGCCCTCGTCGCCATGTGGATTCTGCCCGACTACCCCCACACGACAAAGTGGCTGACGAACGAGGAGCGCGCGTACGCCGCCTGGCGTCTGATCGAAGACATCCAAGAGGCCGACACGTACGGCGAGCAGGGCATCATGGACGGCGTCAAGATGGCGGTGCGCGACTACCGCCTGTACATCTTCGTCCTGATGCAGCACGTCAGTTTGATATCGCAGACGTTCCAGTACTTCTTTCCGACCATCGTCGGCACGCTGGGGTACGGCAAGATTACCAGCTATGGCTCACTGCTCCCGCGTGGGTAAGTTGAAATGGGCATCGTGTTGTACTTTGAACTCGGCTGACTTGAAACCACAGGCCGCGACGTTTCTCATCTCACTTTGCGTTACCTGGTCTTCGGCAAGGACAAAGGACCGTTCGCTCCACATTGTTTGCCTCACACTCCTTTCGGCCGTTGGCAACGCCATCGCCACGGGATCGACCAACGTCGGAGCCCGCTACTTTGCCATGTTCCTCATGCCTATGGGCGCCATCTCTGCATGTAAGCTCTCACTTTCCTCTTTCATCTTCGAATCCACTCGCTGACCCAGCGAACTCGTAGACCAAATCATTGTGTCATGGGTAGCAAACTCCTTCCCCCGCCCCCTCGTCAAGAGGTCCGCCTGCATCGCCATCGCCAACATGATCGGCAACACGGCGACCATCTACGGCAGCTACCTGTACCCCAGCAGCACGGGCCCGCAGTACATCCCCGGCGGCAGCGCCAACACGGCCATCTGTGTCCTGGTCGCCGTGCTCGCGCTGGTGCTGCGGTACCTGCACAAGTGGGAGAACAAAAAGCTGGAGAGGGCGGAGCTGGACGCGGCGGTCTTGGCAGAGAGCGGCGAGAAGCTCCCCGTTGACTTGAAACAGGAGAAGAGGGCTGCTGGTTTTAGATACATTTACTAGAGCAGTGGGACGCGCGGGGAGAGCCGCGGTCAGAGATAGTAATGGGTTGAGAGAATGAGGTGTGGTGGAAGCTACACAAAATGAAACTATATAAGATTTATACGTGGCGCGCGCTCAGTATTCGGCATCTCATGTTGCGTCTTATTCGGAGGGAACTATGTTCTGCAGCTCACTGCTTTGCTGAAGGATGATTCTCATAGCCCAAACTGTGAACATAGTCGAAAGGCGGATTTTCTGAACACCTAAACGCGGCCAGACTATCAGCTCAATGTTTCGAGCACCGATGACTGTGGACTGGGTCATAGGCAGTTCGCATTTGACCATTTGTGATCTTCCATTCTTCTGAGCCGGACCATTTGTGCCCGTCCTGCCGTGCATCTGGAGTGTCAACCCATGACAGACATTCTCAACTGTTAGAGCCTTGACTGTATCACAGCCTCGAGCTTGGAGTAAAGTAGGAAAGCAAAACTAGAAAGTTTTGTAACAGTGGGGCCATGTTAGTCAGGTAACATATGAGGCCGCATAGATAATGTAAGTGAATATCCCCTATACTGTGATCACTGAAAATACCGAGGAACACGATGCCTTTGCCTCCAAAGTGAGTCTTGGGGGGGTTTTATTGCGTATGTACGGGGTGATTTCTTTGAAGGCTGCTTCTGTCCTCATCCAGCATGCCACGACATGCCGGGCAGGTAGAAGAGTGAAGGTGAAGAGAAAGACCAAACAAGAACGCGGATGCAAAGCCTATACCCATGCCATGAACCAATTCAAACAAGATACCCACCCACCAAAAAAGAAACGCCGTGCTATGCAAATCATAATCCATCAACAAGCCCCCTCCCCCATCTATTACCGACTTGGTACTCTATGCACTGCCTCGCACATGTCTTCTTACAGGGAGCGCTTCTTGATGTTGCACTTCTTCAGGCACTCGTCAACGCCGAGAGCAATGCTGGCGGGAATGGCCTTGCGGACGCGGTCAATGTCCTCGCCGGCAATGCTCTGCCCAAAGGTAGCGGCGATCAAGTCGTCGCTGAAGGCAAAGGTGCTGTCGGCGACCTGGCCCGTGCCAAAGTCCTCGGCGGCGAAGCTCGCGACGAAGACGGCGTCGTCGCAGTCCGGGTTGAACTGGCTGTGGATGGAGCCCTGGTAGAAGGGCGTCATCTGGTAGGGGCCCAGCTCGGTGCGGATGACGCGGCGGGTCTTGCCGTCCGCGGCCAGGACGACGCCGTTCTCGGGGGTCATCTCGGTGATGAGGCGACCCTCAACCACGATCTGGAGCTCGGCGGAACGCGGGTGGACGTGCAGAGTGTTCATACCACATGGACCAATACGGCCCAATGCCATCGCGGAGCCAGTGCCGACGAGGGCTGGGAAGGTCTTGCGGTTCGCGGCGATGAGCTCGCCACCTTTGCCGGGGTTGGCCTGGGGCTGGTTGAAGTCGAAGACGAACTGCTTGTCGTCAGGGAGGAGCTTGAAGCGGTCGGCGGCGCTGTGGGTCTGTCAGTGGGGTTCTCGGGTCCAAGAGTACGTGCTAGTAGACTCACGTGTCGGCGAGGAAGAGTTGTTGGGTCAGAGACAGCGCGGGAGCGGGAGTGGAAGTGGAAGCGGGAGCCTGCTCGGTGCGGGTGCTGCTGTAGGGCGCGGCGAGAGCCGAAGAGGCAAAGGCCAAGATGGTGGCGGCGGCGGCAGGACTGAAGTGCATCTTGTCTGATTTTTGTTGGATGATTATTGCTTACGAGGCAAGGAGGTACGCTGATGTTGATGGAGATCCCGAGACAGAGACGTAAGGAAATGAAAAGACGAAAAGAGACGAGAGACGATAGGAAACTATAGACTAGGTCTTGTGTGCTTGCTGTGTGATGAGATGCAAAAAGGAAGACATCATCAAAGCGGGATGCGAGGCATTGATATATACTCAAAGAGGGCTGCATCCATCCACGGGGGATGGGATGGATGCCGGGATGGTGCAGATGTGTGAGTAGGCTATTTTGGATTTCTTCAACCCAAGCCATGCATCGTCGACCAACACAAGTCGTGGACTGCGTGGGGGCTGAGTGCAGGTCAATGGTTTAGACAGGACAGCCAGCGGACGGCCGCCATCTCATCCAAGCCATGACTGGGCACTGCGAGATGCCGTGGCAGGCGTGCACTGCTAACGAGATTCGTCTCCGGGTATTGTGTCGTCCGAAATGAGTTGCTTGGGCAGACAGGCAAGACCTGGTGCAGCCGGGCTCCCGTCAGCACTAGCTCTGCGTCACTGGTCTTCGAGAACCCCTTGCCAGGCCGCAGTCTTGAACGGTTCGAGGTCGTTGATAGGCCCAGCCATTGTTCGTTTCGTCCAGATTGGCTTGGAGGTGGGAAGGAATGAATGTTTCCTGCGGCCCTTGGCCTAATGAGGCTTGGTGGGGAGCGCACCTCCCACGAACCCCTGTCTCCGCCCGGCGCTTGATTGGCCCTCCAGCTTCTCGGAGACTGCCATGCCCGGCCTTTGGCGGGCAGTGCAAGCAACCATCGGCGCTTGTTTTTGTTTCTTTGGCACTCTGCCGCCTAAAAATAATGACGGCGAAAACAAATTAGGCGCATGTTGTACTACCTATTTCGTTCCAACACACAGCGACAATACCCCCAACCCACGCCGCACGCGACTGTTCTTTTTTGTTTCCTCCACCCCTGCGCCCGGGCCGGACAAGGGATCGCTAGCTGTGAGTAACAGGGTCGCAACCCGGCCAATCCTTGATCTACGCCTCGCGGATCAGTAACACTCCGAGACCTATGACGGCCACGTGGAGGCGCGCTAGAACCCAACGTTGGGCGGGTGCCTGTCTCGTTGACCTTTGAGGCCTCTGTTATACGGCGCTTAATCGGCTACGCGGATGCTGTCACTAGCACGATTCCCACGCCAACTTGGCGCAGCCACGACAGTGGTACTCCGAGACCGCAACAGAGACGCAATCGTGGTCTATTCATCTGGCATTGTGCCCACTGGCAAACTACGGCCGCCTACTTCTTGACTCGACCAGGAGAGTTTGAACGGTGCACAAACAATATCCCGGACCCTCCGCCGACTCAACAATAGTCGAGCTTGATCAGCACGATCGGTAATGATGCGGGGATGACCAACTTGCAGAGCTACAGAATTGCAGCACCCCTCTTTCCAACTGACGTGAGGCGGAGCCAGCGGGAGATTGACTACCATAGTCGTCAGCATTCTGTATGCCATTCGTCCACATCACCACACAGCAACTCATGGCGAGGCGTAGGTATTTGAGCCAGTCATGTGCAGGCTATGAACACACCGCCCAGCACGCACAGCTTGTGCAAACAGCAGCGGACGCAATATGTCGGTCTGCGGTCCGCCTCTCGGACGTCCACAGGAAAGGATTCCACGTCAGCGGAACCAAGTGCCGCAGGGCTGGGTCGGAGCAAGTCTTTGCCGAGACTAGCGCATCCAACACTAGATGAGAGACTGATTCCTCCGGAAGTCGGCTAACAAAGTGGAACGACTTGCTTCCTGCTCGGCATGAGATTCGGTGTTTACTGTAGCCTGGACCGGCGATTTGGTGCTTGTTGCTGCGCTCTCGGTGGTTTAATGATTATTATCAGCGAGTTCCTTTGTTGTTGCGCCGGAAGGAAAACACCATCCCGTCTTGACTTCAACAACTTTCTTGTCGAAGGATCCAACAAACCCAAGCATGAAAGGTGGCACATGGAGCCATGAACAGCCAGAATCCCCGTGTTAAGGAAAGACTCGATCTTCATAGAAAGGCGTCGATATGCAAATCACGTGGACCTGCTCGACAAATTCAAGAACATCTCCGCTCTTCCATCTCTGCGTTGACTTGTCAAAATGCTAAGTTTCCGCGTGAGTAGGAATAGTCTCATTTTTAGGTGTGACGGGCCCCCTCCAAATGATAAGGATACAGCCCGCTTAGAATCGTACTTTGTAACCTTAGAGCGCACCCTCAAAGAAAAGTGCCTCGAAGAAGTTTGGGAGAACATATCGATACCTAAAGAATTCTACATCATGACAAGGCATGTGGCGGCGCTGACCGGTCCTGGGCTGACGGCTGAATTTAGTTAGAAGTACGAAGAAGGGATCCTCTGGGGCTGGCTAGGTACCTAACGCAGAACCAAGGCATGAAGAAGGAACCTTTTGGCGCGGCCCTGTATGGGTGTGCTGCAGAGTCAACCTTCCTCCATCAATACGTATCCTTGGTACCGGTCCATTTGTCGCCCCAGTTCGTCATCGTCCAGTAATCGTGCCCGAACAATTTCATATCCTCCCACCCGCCGCAGATCCAGTAGCCAAACTCATCATCCTCATTTTCTTCGGAGGCAGCATTGCCACCAGTGCCACTGCCGAGCGCCTTCCAGAATCTGCCCCGCGACAGCTCATCGACCGACTCGAGTCTCAGTTTGGCTCCTAGCAGCTTGTGGTATTTCGCCAGCAAGACATGCCATGCACCCCGTTGGATGGCGACATTTAGTTCCATGTTACCATAGCCGGGTACCTGCCTAGGTTGCCTTAAGTAGGTCCGCATCATATTCTCCACGGGACCAAGGAAGATGGTGTCTATCTCGGATATGACATCACCATCTGGGCCGCCTCTGGGAAACCCCGGATCCAGCCAGCTTTGGAACGAGATGTAGAGCCTACGGACGCGCGGAAACGTCTGTGGCATCGTGGCACAAAGGACATGTAAAGGGGAGTTTGATTGATCCTGGTGATTGGGACCGCTGTCCCAGAGGGACTTGACATGGTCCTTGACCGGGGTCTTGCTTGTTTCGACAGTATTCAGCTTCCACAGGAGCTCGAGGGACGTGACACTTTCCAGATGATGACGGGGCAGGAGGCGTGGCAGGTTAAGCTGCAACTCCAGGCTTGAGATGTGGAAAGTGTTGGTGCTGTAGAGGATGCCGATACCGTCGGCATAGCTGTACGACATTAGTTTCAAGTCAGGTTTCTCAAGAGGCGACACGGAGAGAATCTTGAGCTGTGAACTCACGCCTGCCGACAAGCCAAAAGCCATCCCATGGCTCCCACAAAGCACGCAGCCCCAGCACTGCTCGACCGACCTGTGCAGCTGCACATTGATGCAGAGCCCTTCAGGCACTCATCGTCGCATGGCTCTACCGACTTGGAAAGCTCCATAGCGGCATATCTTTGCTCCATCTCAAAATCGGAATACCCAGCACGCCGATGACAGACGCAGCTGAACCACTGCCACCCTTGGGGCCGGTTGATATCTGGCACCAATTCCGAGCCCAGGGCACAGTGGCGATGCGACGGCGCCGCTGCGGCTGCGGCCAGGCTTGTATTCGATTCGGATGTGCTCGGAATTCGTGGTTTCCGCGCAAGTGGGTGGCCGTACGATAAATCCACGTGCAACGTCCGCTCGCCAAACGCCTCGAGGAGGATCTGACGGCGTATTTCGACGGGCGTGCGGCTAAATAGCCCATAGCTCCGAAGCAGCCGTTGAGAGTCCGTATGCTCATTCCCATCTTCATGAGGTGGTCCTGGTGTCAGTTGTCGTGGGCGTTTCTCAGGGAGAAAGGGCAAAGGCTTTTGATGCGTTGGCTGCTCATGCATCATCTGCTGCCCTCTCCCGCTGCTCTTGGGATTAGGATTTAGCTTAGCTTTGATCCATTTCTTAATGCCGACCATTGATGCCGTGTAACTGTGAAATGCGAGGACGGAGGCAGTTAGATTGGACGGGGAGAATGGGAGGAGTCAAGTTTACACCATGAAAACGGTGTTGGACTTCTTGCTTACAAGGTATTTGAGGTAAGGAAAGGCATGTAATTGACAAGGAAGCCCACCTCTGTGGATTTTTAGTTACCTGTGGGTCTGCCAAAGGTACGTGCGTACCTGTGTAGTAAATACCCCGGACGGCGGTCCCACGTGTCCCACCCGAGACGAGTGGATACCTTACATGTACCAGTACTCTTCCGGTCCGTTTCTGCTGGTCCTTCTCGGACGGCGACAATGCTGACTGGACCCTTCACAAGCGTTCATTCCGTTTTTTGGTGTCTATCATTTAGCCCAGGCGGCTTTAGATCTCAAAAGAGTCACCAAAAGGGTAAGTCAATTCATCACCAATTGACCATAGTGTCAAGATACACGAGATGGATAAACAGGAGTGGAAAATTCAATGATTAAAACCAACCTCCAGAAAAAAGGGCATGTTTTTTTATAGGCAAAGCACTAATCACATTTTATGGTACCTGATTTCTGTACCTGCGGGTTGACGCTTAATATGCTATCATTGGCCGCTAGTTGATTAAGCTTGTACTAACATGAGATCTAAACGGTCATCTATGTTTTTAACGCAACTTCCGTAACCACTAGTGGTAACTTGAGGTGGAGATGTACAGCTTCAATTATCCCACGTATGTCATCCTGAGGTCAGCCATCTCAGGAGGCAACAGTTAAGCTAAAGGCGTTTGAAACATTCGGATAATGAGATATCGAAAATAGGTTGCTGAGAAGCAGCTGGCCAGTTTGCAAAACTTGTGCACCCAGAGCCTGACAAACTGAGATGTGCGGCAGCACCTCGTCTAACCTCTCTTTTGATTACACGATTTGCACATCCATACTCAGACCAATTTACCCTTGCTTCCCATGCAAAGTCCCCGACTGGAGCTAGAGAAACTACTGACTTATTGATGCGATACGTTGCTCCCTAGAACCTTTCTTGACTGTTAATGACCGTCATCTGTAACGAACCTGGAGAAACGTCACACAATGTTTTAAACTTACAGCAGAAAACCATATTCTCGGTTGTTGTTCTCGAAAGGTACATTGGGAACCTGGCGTCATTATACTTAGGGTTCGTGAACTGGACAAACTCTTTCTGATTCCAGACAATTTGCGCTGATTAAAGGGCGGGGACCTTACTATTGATTCCAGGGAACTAACTGTAGATTCTAGGTAATATGGTTAATTACCTGTTTCATCTAACTTTAACTTGAATAAATGGGCTTATTTTAATACCGTAGATATAGCCACTCGCTTTACCCTTCCACCTGTGTAGGTATCCTTATTAGGCCCGTAAGATAAGTTATTTTAATACCGCGATCTGCCTCGGGAAACATCTTCCAAGAGTCATGCCTCAGAGCTGTTTAGCGTCATATAGAACCATGAATGCTCCACACAGTCTTACAGCATAGAGTCTCGTGCCGCGTACTTCAAACCCGATCTTTGGTGAAGACGGTATTAACAGCATGGAAGGCGTCAAAGATCGTTATGTCAGGCGTGGCATTGTAAAATCAGTACAGGAACGGAAGAAATGTAACAATAGCATCCTCCCCATGACAAGCCTTACCAACCCCGCGGAGCATAGTCACTACCCCTTCATCCGGCCGCCAGTCTTCAGCGTGCAGAAACACACGTGCGCGAGACAAGGGTCGTCACATGCTGAGCCCTCACAATCCACGTACTCGTCCCAATCGCTCATCTCGCCCGGCATATGGAATGAAAAGAACCACACCCCCTTATCCCGCGGAAGCGTCGTTTCCAGGTAGACGGTCCGGAGCGACGGCGTATGGGAGAGCCGGCGCGCGACGGCCGTCAGCAGGGGGATGATGGCCTCATCTCGCGGGAAGCATCGAAACTCGCAGCCCTCTACGACGAACCCATCCTCGTCATTGGGCATTTCCATCGCCTTGACCAGTGCTATCGCCTCCTCGTTTTCCTCATCGCTGTCATAGTATCCGGGTGGGAGGAGACCTGCCGCGTCCTGGGGCAGCGGGACATCGCTGCTCTGATCGTAAAACCGGTCATCGTTCAGACCCTTGAAGAACCATTGGCCTGCGAGGCTTCCCAGACCAAAGCGAACTTCTATTTCGTGTAAGGACTTCCAAGAGGAGGTATCGTCGGTCTTGTGGGATTCTTGGGGCCAGAAAAGCGTCGGATCAATGGGTCCTTCATAATCGAGGCGCTGGATATTGCTCCTGCTCAGCATGGCGCACAGTGCGCCACAGAACGAATCGTCGCCGGAATTGAGATCGGGAAGTCTCTCCTTGTGTGGGTACCACGGCGAATTGATGTTTATGAACAGGGTCTTGCACGTAGACGGTGGTTGAAAATCAGCGACTGCACTGGCGAACTCCTGAATCTGCTGGCGGCGCAGGGCTAAGAAATAGGCTGGATCCTCGTAAGGCCAATTAATCCGCTCCAAATTGGGAAACGCAGCCGTCAGTGCGACCAGGCTGCCTGGGTCCAGATATCGTGGGCCGGTATGCGCATACAACGACGTGACACAGGGAACAACAGCTAGAGATGTGTCGATAAAGCGAATATACGAGTATCTGTATCGCTCGCTAAAGATATCCTGCCGCCTACCCAGGGCAACTTCGTGATGATCGTGATCGAACTTCTCTGGACCACGATGAGCATCGTCCATGGGCGAGTACAAACCGATGACAAGGTTCAGCTTGCCACCAGCGGGCCACTGAGATAATTCTTGAAGTAGAGCTGATGTGTGATGACTTAAAACTTCGTTGTTTGCAGCTCTGTCGTCTGCCGTCTCATATTTGGCGCAGTCTTCATCGCTGTATCGCGGCAAGACAATGTCCAGGTGAAGATCCCGGAGGAAACGACGACGCGTCCAACAGCCCGCAAAGGCAGGATAGAATTTTTTAAGATCGTCGCTCGTAATGTGGAGGGATTTGAAAGTGAAGGGCTCAATGGCAGACTGCCAGGAACGTGACAATGTAGCGAGCGCTGGTCGAATCCGCTTTCCCTCGTGCCGATCGGGAAGATATCCGGCTATTTTGGCCACCACTTCTTGCGGGAGGCGCTCCATTCCGTTGGGCGAAGTGATGTAGAAGAAGTGATGTGAAGCTGGGTGAGCGTTTGAGATGCAACAGCACTTGGGTCGGTAAGTGGCTGCTTATAAGTACTTATGTACTTACGCGGTAAAGCAATATGGCAGACCCCTCGCAGGAGGATGATGTAGCTAAGCTTAAACCGGTTTAACATTGTGGAGCCAGCCGATCTGTTGATTGGACCTGTTATCCACAACGAACTACATAGTACGGATACATACCGGTATGTACCATACCGCTGACCTACGGTACTTCGCTTATGGTTATCCGGACGGGCCGCTGGATCATGTTAAACTATGTTAGGTTTAGCTTATCTATACTTAAACTGATCGTCCTCCTCCGCCCGTAACTGAACGGCCGGTCGTACTCTACTCTCTGCGCGAACACCCACACAATACCAGTACGTCGCCCAGAGATTCGTCGCGCATCCCTTTCCGTCGCTGCCCAACAACTTATTCCACGTATACAACTGCTGCAACGAGACATTGTTGCGACCTGCAAGGGTACTACATGTGTCATCGGCCACCGCTTGGGCGTACTTGTTACAATTTTCCACGGCGTTGCCTTCTTGAGTAGGTGACGGGATGCCCGGGGCGGTGGTTGTTGTCGTGGGGCCGTGACTGTGGGCGTTCCCGCTGTAGAGCTCACGCCCACGCAATACGCCTGCCCCAGCCAGAAGTTCGTCACGCAGTCCGTCGACACGGCCGGGTTCCACTGGAAGAATTGCGCTGTGCTGATGCCGTAGTCAGCTGCCACGGAGCCGCACGAGTCGCCGCTTACCACGAGATGCCATTTATTGCAGTTCGATGGTTGTCCCGAATGAGTTGGTCCCGGCGGCCCGGCCTGCGACGTGGTGGTTGTCGGCGGCGCAGAAGTAATAGTTGGAGGAGTATAGCCTGGCGCACGAATGCAGTATGCCATATCTAACACCCAAGTCAGGAACTATTGATTAACTATTCGAGCAGCTTCCACCGAGAGGATCTACTGATATGTAGCTTGTGTATTACTCACCAGGCCATAGGTTTTGACATTGATCACCAACTGCTGGATTGTATGCGTAGAATTGGGCCTGTGTTAGTTCGTAGATCTCAAGAACATCGGTGCTACCGGACGATTAGTTGAAAGGTCCAGATTGTGAAAACGTACACCTAACTTCATGATGTTGACTGTGACGATAAGAAGTTTACTTACCAACCCCAGCCATCGGGCACATCAGCAAACTCGATGCATTTCTCAATCGCACCCTCCTATTTCCAACATCAGCCACAAACGACTGGATTTACAGCTTACGAGTATGATACTCACCCTGATGGGAAACTCATAACTGGGGCCCGCAACCTCAGGAACAGGCTCCCCCAAGTACTGTTTGCCACAGTACCTTCGATTCGCGTCAAAGGCGCAATCTGGCGTTGTATAATTGGCCAAATCGGCATTCCACAGAGCCAAATCGGCGTACGAAACCCCGTAGAGATCAGCCACTCGCTGGCATTGATTGACCCAAGACGTTCCCGCAATGGCGCCGGCGGATTGGAATTCCGCCCCGTCAAAGTAACGATAGCAGTCTGTACGCGTACCGGGAGCAAGCGGGAGCTGCGTCGGTAAATTAACAATTTTGGACGTGGTGCTAGCCGGAGTTTCAGGGACAGCTGAGGTGAAGGGAATGGTGGTAATGTCGGTGGGCCGCCAGCCCGGTCTCCCTGAGTATGTATCGACTATAATTTTGGGAGGTTGTCTGTTATTTTCGGCTCATGGAGCAAGAAGAATAAGGGGAGCACTTACTATCACCGACAGCTTGGATACAGTAGCTTTCATAAGCAAACAGGTTCGTGCAGTTCTGGTAAAGGCTGGGGTTGAGGAAGAAGAAATCTGCCAGCGAGATGCTGAATCGCACCACCAGCAGGTTGCAGTACTCATCCGGCTGCACTTGATAGAACTTACCGCACCGCTCGTTGGTGCCCTGGGCGACATCGGTGGGCACCGGAGCTGGTGTTATAGCCGTTGTGGGCGCTAGGGTGATCTCGGGGGGATCGACGTACGTATCCCCCGGCGGAGACACGCATAGTTGATCGCCAACCATCTTATCGAGATTGTAACACCCGGCATTCAAAACCTACGGTTTCATCAGTGTGGGCGCCTCGACACCGAATCGATGGAGGAGGCGAAACTTACTGGATTCCATGCTTTGAGAAGCACTTCTGTTGTGTTTGCTGCTTTTGCGATGGCGCTGCAGGTTGTATTGCTTTCCACGGTTGCGACACGGCACTTGTTCTGCAGACAAAGAGTGCCTGTTGTGGGGAAATCATTGCACCAAGCCGGAAGCTGATTATCAGTCAGCAACCAAGCTGTTGAAATCCCCTCGCCCGTTGAGATGCTGTGACAATCATCCCCAGGCTGGATTTGGTACGTGGTCCCAGCACATGGAGCTGGTGTTGGATCCGGCAAAGGAGATCTGTGTGGTTGTCTTCAGTACTCTTAGGTACGAAAAGTATAAATTAGGGCAGTACTAACACGGAGAATGGCAATGAAGATGTTGTGATGGGCATCCCCTCAACTTTGCAGCTCGAAGTCTTGGATTGGTAGACGGACTGGCTTAGTATAGCCGGTCCATCATAAAATGGGACGCTGGCCTGTATTCGTAGGGAGAGGATGAAGCACATGTCACAAGGGTCTGCCTGGGTGCCATTCGCGACAATGTCCGTGAACCGTATGGGGCTGTCTCCGGGATCGTCAACAGTGGCTGCACTGCCGGTGACGACATTGCACCACCGTCCACTCTCCTTCAGACAGGTCAGAGAATACTGGTACCGCAAGAGGCTAGGGATGTAGACGATCGGGGCCCCGCCCTCGTCATCGTAGCCCTCCCAAGTGTCGTCTGCGCACGACGACGCGATGGCGGTCTCGTATGCGCTGAGGGCCTTTTCGCACTCGGAGGTGCACGAGTTGTTGAGCGTCGACTCTGAGTAGAAGTAGCCATAGCGAAATCGCGGGACCGGCCGGCTACAAGCAACATCAGCCGTTAATGCGCTTACACAGGGCCCGGAGAGACCGGCCGGTGCGCTTTCTGGAGTGAAGAGTTGGATGCCGTCCACGGCTTGGAGAAGGTAGTGGACGAGCAACCAGCTAAAAAGGTACGGGGAAGACATCTTGAACGACAATTTTCAGTGTATCAAAGGCAATACAGAAGACACCTTGGGGTTTCCTTTCTTATCTTCGAACCCCTCGACGAAGTAGAGGCTTCAGGTTGAGTGATAGTCAGCACTTCATACCTTCGTCGTTCGTATTTGTCAACTATATTTATCTTGTGTCTCACCGCCCAAGACATATACAGCCCGATGTTACAAACCCCTCACACACTTCCTACTTGGTATATGTAGGGTGTTGTTCTCATTTCCTTTCTGACCACCCATTCAGTTGTCAGGTCTCATTGTTCCCCGCACCATATGCAATCATGTAGTACCCAGCGCCTGCTTCAACTGGAAGGTTCAAAAACCTGTGGTAAGCAGGCAATTTAAAATGGCTTGGCAGCTGCCTAGTGAAAGATTGTGACACTACAGGCAGGGGTAGATGCGAGTAAGGTCAAGAGGTATGAGATGGCTGAAATGAGCCCAAATTCGAGGTTCGCCAACATGAAGGCCATCCGGACGACTCAAACGAAAGCCTGCAAACTTGAGGATAGCACAGATGAATCCAACAAGTTTTAGAACCCTAATGACACCAGATTCGTATTTTCATAGTACCATGATAATACGTAAATTGGTTGAGGTTGATCTGTAGATTTGTGAAGGTATCATTTAAAGGTAGGCCCATATCTACGTGGGGGTGGCTTAGAAGGGTTGTCTTGGACGTTGTAGGATGATACCAATCAATAGTGTATAAGCGGCCCGAATCTCACTCCCGCCCCTTACATACAGTTACCAATCAGAAATGGACTAAGGCATAATCAGCTATGGATCGTTGATGCTTGATTCGAATTGGCTAGCCTGGGCTGCCACCCCTCGCATGGCCAAGAGCGATGAGTGCGTGCCAAGGACCGACCCATGATCCTTCCGTGACAAGAAGATGCAAATCCGTGGCACATTTGAAGGTCAGATGAGAAAACAAAAGGGGAAGTGAGCAGCAGAAACAATCTCCGGGATTGGAAATTGAACTAGATAACACTGCTCAACTGGTTTTTACTTCTCAGCTAGAATAACTCATACTCGCGCTGCTATTACAAGCACTCCCATATTCTCTAATCAGCACATGTAGCTATTTCCAATTCTTGCAATGGCAACTTCATACATTTTGCTGGCTCTGTTTTTTTGCTTTCATGCCACTCTTGCTATACCCGTAGACCACGTTTACCTCACAGTTGATGATGGCGCGGGACAGCCCCTTTGTCGAAATCTGATATCGTATGTGCTGGTAGAATCCAATACTCGATTTCTTAGCGCTTGTTGAGTCTTTTTGTTGTAGTCTTCTAACATCATGTTGTAGACCTTTCGATTATTCGGCCAAGATCAGGAGCGAACAAGAACTGCCGGTATGTGTTGCTCCTGGTATCTCAGCCAATAGCGCCGGGTCTAGTCTAGCTGCTAGACAAGAAGCTCCTGACGATTACACTTGCGGCGAGGGGAGACCCTGTCGGAATGGTGAGAAAGACCTTGAGCCTTCGAGAACGGCGTGTCTCCTGTTATGGGATATGATTCGCCGCTTGTTTGCACAGTCAATCCATAAGCTGATCGTGTTCCTCAGGTGCTTGTTGTCCCAAGGAGACCGGTGTGTGCAACTATGGGCCCAAAGCATGTGGCACGAACAACATCAGTCCCAATGACGTGTGCTGGTCAAACTGTGACGCAAAGGCGGAATGCGGCCGCTATGCGGAGACGCCGGGGAAGAAGTGCCCTCTGAACGTTGTCAGTACCATTCTATCACATTGTACAAGTGAATATGTATTTTGACAGTACAATTGTCTCTAGTGCTGCTCACAGTTCGGATTCTGTGGGACGGCGGCCGACTTCTGCAAAGTCACAGACGACGAAGAGACCAGCTGTCAGAGTAATTGCGACCAGCCCGGTCCCAAGGACAAGGATGGCGATGTCCAGAAACGAATCATTGGCTACTACGAGGCATGGAATCACAAGAAATCGTGCGTAGGCATGGGGTTCAGCGACATCCCCGTGGATGCCCTCACGCATGCCTATTTCAGCTTTGCCTACATTACTCCTGGAGACTTCAAGGTGGCCCCTATGGACGACCTGCCCAGCTCACTATTCGACGAGTTCACCAACATCAAGAAGGGTAACGCGGGCTTGCAGGCCATCGTCGCGCTCGGCGGCTGGACTTTCAATGACAATGGCACCGCCACCCAGCCGGTCTTCAGTAATATGGTCAGTACGGCTGCGAACCGGAAGCTCTTCATCGGCAATCTATTTGGATTCATGCGCAAGCATGGCTTTGATGGTGTCGATTTCGACTGGGAGTATCCTGGTGCCGGTGATCGCGGCGGCAAGCCGGACGACGGCAAGAACTTTGTCACGTTCCTCAAAGAGCTAGACGACATGAACAAGCAGCAGCCAAAGAAGTACATCGTGTCTTTCACTATCCCTACCAGCTACTGGTATCTTCGACACTTTGACCTCAAGGCCGTGGACCATGTCGATTTTGTCAATGTCATGAGCTATGACCTCCACGGCATTTGGGACTCTACTAACCCCATCGGAAGCCACATCTTTGCCCACTCCAATCTTACCGAGATCGAGGAGGCCCTCAACCTCTTGTGGAGGAACGACGTCCCCGCCAAGAAACTCAACCTAGGTCTTGGGTTCTACGGTCGTAGCTTTACCCTCGTTGATCCTCTGTGTACCAGTCCTGGCTGTGGATTCAGGGGCGGTGCTAACAAGGGGCCTTGTAGCGACAATTCTGGAACTCTCACGTATCGGGAGATCCAACAAATCATCAAGGATAAGAAGCTTACGCCGCATCACGACAAGAAGGCAGGTGTGAAGTGGATTAACTGGGATCAGGACCAATGGGTATCTTATGTAAGTCCATATAGTCGTTCTCGTGTGTGGGCTGTTTGTATTCCAAGCTAATACGCATCCTAGGATGACGCCGATACGTTCAAGCAAAAGATTGATTTTGCCAACGATCAGGGCCTTTCTGGTCTTTTGATCTGGGCTATTGACCAGGACACTCAGGACCTCGATGCGCTGAAGGGTGTTGTAGCCCCGAAAAACCTCAAACTGTTCGCAAAGAAGGCCGAAAAAGAGGCATTTTGGGGAGATGCCACGGTGCCGGACTGCTACGTGACGGATTGCGGCGGATCATGTAAACCCGGTTGGCTTTCCATCGAAAAGCAGCCGTGCGGTGGCGCGAAGCCTGTCACCCGCCACTCCAAGGAAGCCGACAGCACCTTGTGCTGCCCCATGGAGGGTGCGCCGAAGAAAGAAGACTGCACGTGGCGAGGCAACGATCCGTGGTGCAACGGCCACTGTCACGACAACGAGGTAGCATTGCAGCTAAACCGTTGGGGTGATGGCAAGTACTGCGAAGATGGAAACAAGGTCTACTGCTGCCAAAGCCCCGTGGCCGAGGGCCACCAGTGTTACTGGGCGGGCGTTGGGAAGAGCTGCAACAACGACGACGTTGCCATGACTTTCTCGGGCACTTTTCTTCAGCTAATTGGCGACCTCGTGTCGACGTTTGGTGGCCTGCGTGGAAAAATGCTTGTGGATGCCATCGAAGACGCCGCCGACTTCTTCGGCATCGACGTGCTCAAATACTACTGCTGCCCCAAGGACGACGCCGAAGAGTTTGAAAACTGCAAGTGGTATGGTGAGCCCGGCACTTGCTTTGACAACCATTGCCCCATCGGCTCGCACTCAGTGCAGATCACAGACAGCCCATATGGCGAGGGCGAGGATTGCTTTCCGCGCGTCGAACGAACCCGCGTTTACTGCTGCGACCCGGTCAATGGCGCCTCCCCCTTTTTGCCCGTTGACCTTGACAAGCTCTTCCCCAGTCCGCCCACGGGCGACAGCGTTGATACAGACCATGAGCTGAATACAGATGACGATAGCGATGATCCGGATGAGACAGCCTTTAGCTTCGTGGTCATGACGTCGCCCGAGGAGCTGCAAGTGTCGCTGGACAAACGCGACGGCTCCCATTGGGCCTTGTTCAACTGCACCAACACCGATGAAGAAGTAGAACAGACGATACAGATGGTCTGTACAGACGTCAGCGATAATAGCAACTGCCACAAGATTGGTTTGGGCCACGGAGTTCCCGGCACAATCCTCCAGATGCCGCGGGGTTGCGGGCCGGGCAAGTACGCTGTCGCAAAGGAGATGAAGGTGTCGAAACACCAAATCCTGCCTCGAGACCTTTCCAATCTAGACCACAAACCTGTCATCTATGACCTAACATTTGACTATGACTTCCACCGCGTGCCTCGCGATCTTGGCAACACACAGCTTCGCATCGACTACAGCAACGAGCCGGGGTATTGGGACGAGGTCGTGGCGGGTGCGGTAACAGACAAAAAGAAGCGCAAGCGGTCCCTCGCGGACACCGGCCACAGCCACAAACGTTGGCTGGAGGAGGAGTTTCGTGACGACGCACACTTCGGCGGCCTGAACAAGGAGGAATTCCACAAGCGCTGGTTCGGAGAGACGGTGCTCGAGTGGCTCGGCATGATGACAAAGGGCGAGATCAAGAAGACATTCAAGCACAACCTCGACGATGTCTACACGGCCAAGATTGTCGAGGAGCGATGGAGCTGTCCCGGACGCGACGGCTATCTGCTCGCCCAGGCCCAGGCTCACGTCAAGGTGGGCACCAGCTTCGGCTTCTCCCTCATCGCTACGAGTCTCTTCCCCCTGGACCTGAGCAACTCGTACCTGACCTTCAGCAACAACGGCGAGATCACCTGCACATTCACGCTGGAGGCCCTGGTCCGCTTCCAGTACGACACCGAGGAGCGCCCCATCGGCGACCCTATCCCATTCCCAGGGGCCGGCATCCGTATTCACGGAATCGCGACCATTGGCCCGCAGCTCGTTCTGCGCGGCCGCATCGAGGCGGGGGTCACAATTAGCACCACTCTCGAGGCCAACATCGATGTCGTCTCGTGGGAGTACGACTACCGGCTCCCGGCGGAGATAGAGCCCGAGAACCCGGACAAGGCCGAGTACGGCGACACGGGGCAGAAGAACGGGCTGCTGGCGCCGACCTTCTACGCGGGCGTCCTGGCACAGGGGGACGCCAAGGCGCACCTCATCGCCTCGCTCGAGTTTGGCGTGAACTTTGACGATCGCTGGGACGTCGGTTCCCTCACGGCTCAGGTTACGGCCGACAGCTGGCTCGGAGTCAACGTAGCGGCCGGCATCAGCACCCAGGCTTCATGCCCCTTCACCTGGGGCATGAAAGCGGGCGTCGATCTCTACGCCAAGGCCGACGGGTTCAAATGGACCACTGACAAGTACCGATTGCCCGGAACCGCCGAGTTTACCATCTACCCGGGCGGGACGTGTCCGGATCTATCGACAGGAAGTCCCACTAGACGAGGTCTTGACGGCTACGATCCGTTCAACGAGACCGGGGCACTGGCCGAGCGATCGCTGGAGAAGCGGGCTATTGGTCCGTTCTTCCACATTCCTGTTGGAAGCCTCATCTGTCCCAACTCAGAGACGTCTGACGCAGGTAAGCCCTGCGCGTCCATCTCAGGGTGGGAAAGCTCCCAGCTAGAGGGCGCCTTGAAGCGAAGGGACATGCCCGAAATCTCTGGAAACGAAACCGAAGAGGAACTTCACTGGTTGCTCCGACGCAGCACTGAAAGCAGCCGCACTGTAACCTTTTGCAAATCGTACAACTTGAAGGCCCCCCGTACGATACAAGCTCAACGCTGAACACAGTAAGATCCCCCTTTCTCCCGCATCTTGCACGGTAGTCCTGCAATGGTTTGTCTAACGCAATGTCTTTGACAGAAAGTGACCAACCTCCTGACCTATGATTACAAGGTGCCTGACACATGCAACGACTTTAGCTTCGGTACAGTGAATAGCCCTCGCACACCCATAGGCGACATCTATGCAACCGAGCACATCCTGGAGCTGCAGATGGTTGCCATCTTCCTCGACAAGATGAACGACGAGTTCGGACCTAGGGGATTCCCAAGCTTCCGGCCGGGCGCCGATCCTAACACCAAGCAGAGCTTCTGCCAGGCCATCAACCAATTGTGGCGGACAGTACCCCAAGCTTCGAGGTTTGCCATGGACGGCGTAACTCGGGATCCCATCGACCACATCATGCCCGTGTATTCGAGCAATGACAACACGCACGTCGGCGAGTTCGTGCTGCTGGAGAAGGGGGTCAACACGGCCAAGGAGGGAATGTGGGGACGCAGCGCCATCAATGCCGACGCAACCATGAACAGTTACATGCAGTCGGAGCCGGCCCGCGCCGTCAAGAACCTCAAGGATGTCATGACGGCACTCAAGTACATGCAGGACACGACCATCAATAGCCGTCTCAAAGCCGAGAAGGAGCGGGTCGCGGCGCGGCTCAAGGAGCTCGACGAGGACAAGATGCCCAACTGGGACCGGCAGCAATCTGGTCGGGCCTGGGGGCGGTGGGAGAAGAAGGACCTCGAGGGGAAGTGGAACAAGTTCATGAAGCAGCAGGCCGAGACCGCCAAAGACAAGGCCGTGAAGTACATGGACGACAACCTCAAGAACCTCGAGGACGCGTACGTGACGACCTACAATGAGGAGCAGGCCGATCGGCCCGGCGAAGAGAACGCGGCGCTCAAGACGCTGCTGGAGAAGATCAAGAAGGTCCGGGAGGAATGGACGCGGTATAAACCCAACTCTTGGGAGAACCCGTTCGCATGATACTGGACACGGTGACCGTCTAGCTAATTGTACTGGTTGCGGTCGCCTGCTATGGGCAATACATACTGTTAGAACTCTACTCGCCCTGGCTGAGTCAGCGTGTCTCTGACAGCTACCCCGAACAACTGGACCATCGTTTAGCTATACAAGATTTTGAGAGTGAGGTGTAAAACCCAGAAAAATGCAATGTAGGGTTTCGCTGGCTAATGCCGACCTAACCACTAACCCAGTCATTACGTCCCGTGTTTGTTTGCTTAACCTTGTCAGCAAGTGCTGTTTCAATAAACAAAACATAAGTCAGCGTTGCATTGCCGGAAATATTTCGTTGCCGCTAAGATATTTTGCATCCGGGGAACCATTTTACATCCGAGAGTCAACCTCGAAAGGTGCTTGTGCCTGAGTCAGTAGCGCATCGCACGGCTACAATTACAGGGACACAAAATATCTTGTAAAGACACTCGGACAAGAGTCAGACAATCTGGTGCTCTATGCCGGGATTTTGATTAAAAGGTGTCTCTAATGCTACTGAGGTCCCCAACAACGACCCGCACTCTTTGTAATACTTCTTGGCTGCGTCTATATCGGTGCGCGCGGGTTAGGTTCTCTAGATCCTCTGAGCTGTCTTCTTAAATACATCACCTTCCTGCTCTCAACAGTATGTAGTTTCTTCGGCTCTGCACTCAAGTACATTCTTCTCCTCCCTGCACTCAGAATGATCAACACGCTCGCTGTAGTCTTGCCAGCCCTGCTGGCCTTGCCGGCCAGTCTGGCTTGCCCAACCAAGCCTCATGCCAACACAACCTGCAGTTCCGTCTCGGGTGACAAGACAATCTCTTCCTTTCAGTTGTACCCCGAGAACGCCGATTATGACACAAAGCGTTGTGTCGCGTACCTAAGGTACATCACCCGCCTCCGCTGTGCTTCTCGTGATGTGTAAGCTCATTTCTTCTCAGCGTCCTCTACAACTCCACTGTGGCCGTCTGGGATCCTTCCACAAACTCAATAGTCGATACTATCACCGTGCCAGGCCTGAGCTTCAACCCGCTCCTGCACGCCAGTGGCGTCCGCCGTGATCCCCTGGACCGTCTCTCCATCATCATCGACGCCGGCACCGCCTTCGACACGGCCGGACAGAATATCTCGGGCGACAACTTCCTCGTCAAGTACGACCTCGCCTCCCGCCAGGTCCTCTGGCAGCGCAATATCACTGCCCTTACGGACGGCGCGTACGGCGGCTTCCAGGACACTGCGCACGCCGCTGACGGCACCACCTTTGCCCTCGGTACCTTCCCTAGCAGCATCATGCGCGTCAGTGCCGACGGCGAGACCGCCAGCAACTGGTATTTGAAGACGCCCCCTGACCATACGGTACACGGCCTCTCGGGGCTCGTCTCCTCGCCGGACGGCAAGTCGCTGCTGGTCGTGGACAACACCGACGGTCAGCTGTACCGCTTCGACATCTCGGCCCCCGAGGGGACGCCGGTTCGCGTCCCGCTGACTGGCGCAGAGCTCATCGGCACGGCCCTCGACGGCGTTTCCATTCCCTCGCGCTATCACGGTACTGTGATTCTTGTCTCGGACAACAGCGCAGGCACGGTGGTGCTTCGCTCCCAGGATGGTACGTGGAACACGGCAGAGGTGCTGGGGACGGTGCCTGGTTTGCCGTCGACCGAGGGCGCGGCCAGCGTGACGACGTTGCAGGCTGGCGGTAGTGTCTACGCTGTGTCAGAGTGGTTCTTGGACGACAAAGTTGCCGGCACGTTGGCGGGGAACAGGACGGAATGGCCGCTGGTGGACATTACAGCCAAGATTGATGCGTTACTGGTTTGAATGTAGAGGACTACAGCTGTAGAAACGTACATATTAAGATTTACGTTAAGATTCATAGTTTGTAAAGGGCTTTTACAAGTAATTGAAGTGCTTCTTGTGTTCTTACCCGGGATAGTCGCAGCAATAAATAACGTGAGGTGCTTGAAATAGATATTATTTCTTGCTCATATAATTCAAAGCATATACTATACATTTTTGATCAGTTCTTATGACTCTGGGGTTGATCTGGTTTTGTGATGTGACTCAAAACATTGCCTTTGGACCGTTGATTTAAATATTTGCCGTCTATCAAGTGGCCTCGGCTTCCATGCAGAAGGCAACTTGTGTGAACAATCAACACCACGACGTCAGAGAAGAAAACAGTTGAGTTGAGATATGTTAGAATGAGTCAAAACCACCTGTAGTATGAGAAAAGAAGTGGTTTCATAGGTATCTGACTTACCGTAGGCACAGTATCGAGAATTGCGGTGCCTATGGAGATAGCTTGGCTCAAAGAACCGATCCTCTGATGCCTAAGGACGTCAATATAAATTTTAATACCCACCGGCGATTGCCCTTTGCTGAATCTGCTCTGGGATCTCCCTATTTCGGTGCTACAGGTCGTCCCGGCTATGACGCATTAGGAAGATTGCAATAATGGACCGAATGTCCTTATGAGGCCTCCCTAGGCTTTCTCTATAGGCGTCTTTTTGGGGGCGAATCTGTTGGTATAATTTCGGCCTAGGCCATGCTCTATGATGTTCTTGCCGACAACTACGTCTCGATGCAAACGCGATCTGGTGATTTTCACGGCTAGTCATGGTGAATGGGTAACAGCTCGTCGCGGCGGGGGTTTTCGCTGCGGTGAGGGCTGTCAATGAGCTCCTGGTGTTTTTAGAAGCAACACGATGTGTTTAATCTACAAGAGGTATTATCTATTTATATGGAGAAACCAGCGACATGAATCAGCCCCTCCAAGGCTCTGGCTGCCATGCTGGAAGCTCTTGAGGGCCGTGATGATCTTGTACCAGAGGTGGCTTCCACTCATTCGGCGCTTCATATATCTGATTGTTGCGAGGGGCGGACTAACATAGCCATCGGTGGGTAGTCCCAGGTCGTAGTACTGCACAGGCGGGTGCGTGGACATGGTGTCTTCTCTGGCGCGGCGCCTCCGTCGACGAAGAGAGATGAACAACCAGGCTCCCAAAACTCCGAGTGCCAGTCCGCCGACTGATGCACCAACAGCAGCGCCGATTGTGACTCTTCGGTCGCTGGATTGACTAGACTCGGTGCTGGGGCTTGGTTCTGAGCTGCTTGACGGACTGTTTGCTAGGCTATTGGCGACACTGCTCAAAGGTAAAGAGCTCAGATTCGGCGCGTTAGAAGGGTCGAGGGAAAGTTGAGATGTGACTGTTGAGCCTGACGTCGCGGATTCAGATGTTGATGATAATGATGCCGCAGTTGTCGTGGCTGCCACACCGATAGTTGTAATTGCACTTGGTGATCCTGTATGAAACCTCAGTTAGTGAACGAATTTGCAGCGCTCAAGTAGAATCCGGCCTAGGCGGGCGGGAAAGATGCCAGAACTTGCCCTGGAAGAACAAAACGTTTTTCTTTGCCGTGCAGTTGACCCGGTCCTGCACCGAGTTGATACAATAGTACAGCTCCTCTGTAGTCCCTTGGCACTTCGCAATCCCGATGCCACCAGCAACATTATCCGTTTCTGGGTTGATGCAAAATAGTGGACAACTCGAACTCCTCCATGAACGATCAGTACAAGCTCCTCGTACGAGTTCTGTCGCGCCTCCCAATTGCAGTTCTTTCCCCGTCGCCTGGCACATGCCGTTTGAGAGACACGCATAACCCTGCCCGCAACAGACAGATTCGGCCGTCCGGTCCTGGCATGGCGTGTCGTTTGGGGCAATGCTGCCATCAGGGTAGTAGCATGCAGCGTGCACGCTAGAGAGAAGGGTAAAGAGGACAAAAAGGAGAACTAGAGGCAGAGACATGTTGTAGACGTTGAACGATGAAACCGTAGGCCGGTAGTCGCAACCCTAAACTTCAGACTCTTTATGAAGCTAGGTAGATCGACAACTCGGTCTCAGTGTATTTGAGGTGAGCAGAGTAGTCGGAGGAAACAGGCTAGAGCGTGCTTGCGAGGTACACACACATATTATCAACCATTTCCCAGTCTCCAATGCACGTTGCCCTGTGCCGCCCTCGTCAAAGCCTTCGTCAAACTACAGCTGCGTGGTTGCCCAACCCTTTCAGCCTCCTGCATGGGCATTATGGGCAACTCCGAAAGGCTTCTCAGGGTACAACGAGCCCCACTGTCGGATGAGCAATCCGTGATTTCCTACATCCTGTCCCTGGACTGCCCGTTGGTTCGAGATTTCAAGTTGATAAGAGTGTTGTAATAGGACAGGCAAGATAAACAAAGACTTCAGGATCAAGCTAGCAAGGAACATAACCAATCATAGCAGTTGAGGAGGGGCCTTCCGTCCCGACGGGACGGTAACGCTATTTCAATAGCTTCTCAGTGCGTCAAGTTGCATCTGAATGAAATTATCTCATCATTGTGACACCGTGATCGAGTTGACGAGCTGTCGTAGTCCGGACGTACAGTTTGTGTGGCTTTTATATCATCATCGTCATCGCCATTATTATTTAAAAAGACATCAAAACATTCTCAAGATAGAAGTTTTAACACGCTACAATGGGGCAGCACAACATCAACTCTCAACGCCGAGCTGTCCACAACCCCTGGTCCAACAAACAAAGCTGTTGCTACATCGAGCCAAAGCTGTCAATATTCGACACTCAACCTTGCAGCCGTTGCCGCCCAGCAAATGTGACTTTTCGCCTCTAGGGTGATCTTCCTTAGATTTAGCCAATTGGGGCCAACCGCCAAGATGCAATCATGCAACCCGAACATGGGGGCAATCAAGGCGGAAAACCAACCGCAAACAAGGGTTCCCGCACCACCTAATTCATCTTAAGCGCCAGGCCACCAACCGTCCTCCCGTTCTGAAAGGGGCACAGTAGAGAGCCAACACCAACAGACTAACAAACGCGCTCCAGTCCCAAGCGAAGGAAGTGTTAAGGACAGAAATTCGGCCGGGCTGCCCGTCACGTCACATGAGCGAGCTGTAGGAAGAGTAGAGAAAAAAAGCAGCTTCCGAAACTTCTCAGCTCTTTTGCATCTTGACTACACAAGCATTCTATACGTTTCGACACTTCAAAAGGAACCACAAGCACAATAATACAAAAATGCTCCTAGGAAGGCGGAAAATGCCAGGCATCGTCCTCTTAGGTCTTCCCGTCTCCCTTTTACTCCTCGTCCTCTGGCACAACGACGGTGCCCTCCCCTCAATTCCATCATCATCATCATCCATACTACCGCCAAAACCTATAGAATGGAAGACAGAACAAGACGAGTCATACTTTTGGAAAACAGCCAAAGTCAGTCACCGGGTGCCTCAGCTTCAGCAACTCCCCATTGCGCCCTCGGTCCGCTTCCCGCAAATCCAGGCCCACTTCCCTCCCGAAACCAGCGTCCAGCGCCGCGTCCGCGAGGAGCGCCAGCAGGCCATCAAGCAAGCATTTTCAAAAGCATGGGCCTCGTATCGCAAGCACGCCTGGCTCTCTGACGAGCTTACGCCGGTGTCAGGGGGCCGTCGGAATACATTTGGAGGTTGGGCTGCAACCCTTGTGGACTCCCTCGACACGCTCTGGATTATGGACATGAAGGATGAGTTTTCTGACGCCGTTGAGGCTGCCATAACGATCGACTTCACAAAGACCGACCTCGAAGAGATTAACGTCTTTGAGACTAATATCCGGTACCTTGGTGGCTTCCTTTCGGCTTTTGACCTCAGCGGTGAGGTCCGCCTCCTTCGTAAGGCGGCCGAGGTCGGCGAGATGCTCTACAAGGCATTTGATACGCCCAACCGAATGCCGATTACCCGGTGGAAGGTTAGCGACGCTGCAAAAGGCGAGTCCCAGAAAGCCAGCAACGGCGAGCTTGTTGCTGAAATTGGAAGCCTGTCTATGGAATTCACCCGCCTCTCGATTCTCACGGGTGATCCGAAATGGTGGGACGCAACGCAGCGAATTATGGAGATCTTTGAAGCGCAGCAGAACAAGACTAATCTGCCTGGACTATGGCCTCTAGTGGTGAACCCAGAGAACAAGGTCTTCTATGAGGGCAACGACTTTACGCTGGGCGCCATGGCCGACTCCCTATATGAATACCTCCCCAAAATGTCAGCCCTCGTTGGTGGTCGTAGCCCAATGTATAAAGCTATGTACGAGACTGCCATCGCCCCAGCTATCGAGCACAACCTCTTCCGTCCCATGACGCCCGGAAACGACGACATCCTCATCGCAGGCCAAGCGCATTCCCAAGATTCAGACATTGAGCTCGAGCCCCAGGGCCAACATCTCGTCTGCTTTATGGGCGGACTTATGGCCCTTGGCGGCAAGCTCTTTGACCATGCGGATCAGCTATCCCTTGCGAGGAAGCTTGTAGACGGATGTATCTACGTCTACCGCGTCTTCCCGCACGGTATCATGCCCGAGACATTTTATATGGTCCCTTGCCCGACTAAGGAGGAATGCGAGTGGGACGAGGGTCTATGGAAGGAACACGTCCTCCAACGCGCGCAGAAGAACGCAGACGACAAAGAACTATCAGCTGACGATATCATACGCCAAGAGCGTCTCGTCAAGGGATTTTCTGCTGTACCGGATAGGAGGTATATCCTCCGTCCCGAGGCGATTGAGAGCGTCTTCGTCATGTACCGCACGACAGCGGATGCAGCGCTTCTTGAGGCCGCATGGGATATGTGGACATCTATCGATGATGTGACAACCACGGACTTGGCAAACACAGCGGTCTGGGATGTCACGGCCGAGGGCAGGCCACCAGCGGCAGACTCAATGGAGTCGTTTTGGATGGGGGAGACGTTGAAGTATTTCTACCTCATATTTAGTGAGCCGGGCTTAGTAAGTCTGGATGAGTTTGTATTTAACACCGAAGCGCATCCCTTTAGACGGTGGAAGTAGCTGGTTGGATGAGTTGGGCCGCAGGGCTTTTGATACCTATCCCACGAGGGTGCCTTTTAATTTTTCTTTTGTATATACCAAAATCTTCCCATATCAAAGCAAGCCACTCCAGGATGAGAAGCAGATCCTTTGAAAAATGTGCGTCTCATTCTGAGATAAATGTGCCCGTCATTTTCACCCTCCGTCGTTCCAGAGGTCGCAAGACTTGCTGATCGAGCAAGTCTCATCCAATGTCAGAGAAAATCTCTGGAGGGTATCAACGCCGGAGGTTCCATGTAATGCAGTTGAAAATCGAGACGCGGACATTGCAAACTTGCCAGCCTCTCTTTCAAGGGGCGGTCAAAGTAAAGCCGTTGTAAGTAAGAAAGAGATTCATGGTGAACACTAGCCATCACATTGTAATCGAATTGGAAATACAGGGTAATTCTGGGCCGCCATATTCCCTGATGAGACATAGGTCCAGTCCACCAAGCCCCCTTTTACTGATAGTTTTCGTGTCGTCTTGTTGCAGCTAGAACCATGATTCCAAGAATTTTTGAGGGAAAAAGAAGCCTACCTAATGCTGAAGCGACTCTAAGAGGACACAGTGGGCATGCTGCTTGAAAGTACAGGAAAGGAACAAAAAGGAAGACAATTTATTTCATAAACGTTAAGCAAATACGAAAATACAAAGCCAACAATAGACCCGTCTTAACATTGGGGTTATTTAAAGATTATCGCGCTTTCAGACAGGCTCCTCGTGACTTTTTCTTGTCTCTCCATAGGAGAACGGACTAAATCCCGAAGTCTTCAATTGGGTGAGCCGTATGCTGATTTCCAAGAACAGGCGCCGAGGTTTTATATCTAGGAGGCAGTAGGGTTATGCTCCTTTCATATTAACGGAGCCGGCGCTCATTGCCCTGATGAACAAAGCAGCTTGGAGTAGTAAGCGTGTGTTAATAAACTAGCAAAATATCCTTCAAGAGCTGTTTTGGTTAAAATGATGGAAGTTGCAGATACCACGATCAGAACATGACGGGTATGGTATTGGAATAAGGCCTTGAAGACTGAACGTGTTGCCGAGGCATGGTCGCTGGCGCGCTTAGTCTGAGCGGGTGAGTCATAGACCCACTATTTTAGATACATAGTGCAAAAAATGTGACAAAGTGTCATCAACAAGCGCAAGCACAATAGCTCAGGGGTAGAGCGCTGGGCTCATAACCCAGAGGTCCCTGGATCGAAACCAGGTTGTGCTAATCTTCATTTTGGCTGTTTTCTCTCTTTTTGAAAGAATATGTATGTCTCTTGCTACTTTCATATGGAAATCCGTAGGTTTTTTTGTGCGTTTGTTGGAATCAGAGTCTGTAACTTCTCTGAGCATTGAAAAGTGCTTAGTCAGAACGACATATCACCCACGCAGGTGAACGTTTTGGGCTAGTGTCCCTCTTGAGCCGGCCGGCTGCCGGTGGTGTGTTCCTCTCGATTAAAGACTACTCCCCAGGCGCCGCTTTGCTAGAAAAGCCTAGCCGTGGTTTCCAAGTCATGGTTCTGTGATATGTGAGATTCACACTGCTCCTTAACCTTGCTGGTCTGCGTATTACCATTTCGTGTGGGGTGAGATTTTACGATTATACACCCAACACCCCTGAGCCTAAAGGGCTATTTTCTCGTATTGTACATGCATCCAAGCCCGCCTCCTCTTACAGTGCTTTCTCTCTCGATCCAACGACGCGATCAAAGCTATCAAACGCCATCGTCATCGAGTGCCGACCTCCAGTCTTGCCTCTCAATTGCTCATCAAAGTTAAGCACCTCCTTGAACGGCACCTTGGCCACAATCTCCACCGTCCGGGCCATTGACTTCTTTCCCCGTAGCGACGCCACCGTCTCATACGGGTCTGGCGGCGCATAGATACTGCTCACGTCAATCCGCGAGCTCGACTCGGCCGACTTGTCGTTAACCTCCAGCACGTGTCCGCCAGCCCCGGAGCTGATGTCGTGCTGCACCGTGCCAGCCGCCGCCTCGGGACAACTGATGTGCACCAGCATGACAGGCTCGAGGATGCCGACGGCCTGGTGGGCGGTGTGCGCCTCGCGGAGGGCCTCGCGCACCGCGCGCGACGCTGCACCGGTGAAGTGGCCACCCGACGGGTTCTCCGTGGATGCCGCATCGACGGTGATGGTGATGTGGCAGCCCTGGACGGGGGAGCCGCGGCGCGGGCCGCGGGCGACGGCGGAGACAACGCCATTGATGAGCTGCTGGCGCGCTTCTTCCGGGTCGAAGCTCGCAGTGCCGTCCTCCGGGAGGTTGATGATGACGTGGATCATGTTGCCGTCGCGCTCGACGGTAGGTTCCAGGGCGGCTTGGCGGTGATGCTCTTCCAGAGGCTCGAGGACGGCGCTGCAGGATACCCTACCCGACTTACTTGCGACCACCCTGTCGAAAGTGACGTGTTGTGGTCCGACTGGAGAGGTGAGGCATTCCTTGTAATCGACCTCGATGGGGCCGAAGTCGGCCTGGACCTTGGGGTTCTGCTTCAAGTTATAGACGGCAATGTCCAGATGTAGCTTGCCCATGCCCTGGAGGATGAACTGCTCCGTCTTCTCGTCGCGGTTCCACCTCAAACTGGGGTCCTCTCGTGATGCATTTTCCAGTGCGATCTCCAGCTCCTTGGCGGCAGTCGTACCATGCGGGTCAATGGCGAGGAAAGCCACCGGGGGAGGAATCTCTGGCGGTCTGATCTGAATGTGCTTGAGTGAATCCGGAAGCTGTCTTTGAGCTACAGCCGTAAGTAACGTATCGCCCGTACGTGCCTTCTTCAAGCCCTTGATAGCGCCGATTTGGCCTGTGGCAAGGTGCTGTACATCTTCCGTCTTCGCCGCGGAGATTTGCAACAAGCCGAACGGCCGCTCGGCTTGCTGATTGTGCGTATTCCAGGTAGACGAATTCCTATGGAGTTCACCAAAGTAAACTCGCACGAAGCTCAAGATTCCTTCCTTGGGATGGTTGTAGACCTTGAAGACCGAGGCCACAGCCGCGACACGGTGGTTGCCAGACTTCTTGTCCGTGTTCTCCTCAAGCAGCTTCACCAGATTATGTTTTGCTGGGCCCGCACGGATTTCCAGCTCGGGACGTTCGTCTGGACTGGGGAGGTAGTCGACGATAGCGTCCATTAGGGGTTCGACGCCAATGTGTCGGAAGCTTGCACCTGCCAGCACGGGGATGACGGTACCATCACCGCTGCGGATGGCCCTTCGAACGCTATCCTTCATCATCTTCCCAGTGATCTTACTAGGATCGTCTGCGAACAGGTCCATGATAGCCTCATCCCGCTCAGCAAGACCCTCCACCAGTCGCTCGCGAGCTGTCTCAATCTCTTCAAGTAGGGGGTTGCCCGATAGCACCTCTTGCAGTTCTGCAAAGTCGTACTTGGTTTTTTGCTTCTCCGTCTTCCACCTGTAACCAACACGGTCAATGATGTCGATGACGCCTACGAACTGGTCGCCATCCCACCACGGAATCTGACAAACAAGCGGCCATCCATTCAAACGGGACCCGATCTCCAAGACTGACTTGCGGAAGGAAGCACCGTCTCGATCGAGCTTGTTAACGAAGACGATGCGAGGGATCTTATGATCGTGTGCCGAAGCCCATACTCTCTCTGTGTGAGCTTCCACACCCTTGACCGAGTCGATGATGCATACGGCGCCATCGAGAACGGGTAGACATCTGTCAACCTCAAACCTAAAGTCTTGATGGCCGGGAGTATCGATGAGATTGATCGTTTTTGGGCGTGTGCCTTGTGGGCACTCCTCAGGTAAGGGCCAGTTGAAAGTGATGGCAGCTGACTGAATCGTGATGCCTCTCTCCCGCTCCAGGTCGAGAAAGTCTGTCACTGTGTTTCCTGCATCGACATCTGCAGTTTCGTCGTCAGCCGGGAGGTCCTAATGAAAATCTTTCCTCGCCCCAAGTTACAGGTCTCATCCACCCGAAAGTGGAGCTCAGCTTGAAGGACCTGAACGAGAGTTCTGATGAGCACCACGCACCTCCTACACGATGCGTCACGCCGCTGTAGTACAGCATGCGCTCAGTTGTTGTTGTCTTGCCCTGTGGTAGAGTCAGCCGTCTTGCCATGGCAGGTACCGGGTTGAATGGGTTCGAACAGCATCAACATGGGCAATGATCCCGATATTTCTGATATCCTTGATGGGAGAGTGGTGTTTTGTTTGCACGGGAGGCGTATGTATTGATCTCCGAAGACATACGATGCCAGCGAACAGAGCTCGCCCTGGCAGCCGGCCAAGGCGGCTCTGCCTGGGCACTGAAGCTCGAAGGATCAACATGACCAGGACATGAAGCGAAAGTTATTGTACAAGTGATGACGGATGAGATGATTGAGTGAATGTGCTCACATTTTAATATGCAGCGGAACAAGTGAGAGCAACAATTAGCCGTGGCAGACGTCCTGATATCAGGCCATCAAATGAAGCTGTTGAAAGCTTGCTGGCGTGAAGCTCTCCAACTCGCCTTCACGTTAGCTAAGCATTGTCGATAGCCAGCCAATCCGCGCTGCAAATCCTCACAGGCCCATGTCGCCCGACTCTGGAAGGCGGTCACTGAGTTCCCAACCGCGTCTGTCAGAGCGGGTGTCAGTGTCACTGAGACCTCCATTAGGGAAAGAGGCTGGGGCTTCCATACGTGGCTGGTGCAAGTACTCTGTACTTTGCGCCGCGACAACGAGGTCCTTCGTTTTGGGCACGCTGCGCGGGCCCCTTCAAGTATCCACTACAGTGCTCCTTGTATCTAACCTGCTTGGCTTGCCAGCTTCAGGAGCCAAACACAACTGACCTTGACTCGTCAGCCTCTTTTTTTGGGACGTCACACCTTGCGTCCACCTTGCTTCTACACCCACACACCCACACAAGACAACACATCTTCTCCCCAACCCGTGATACCCAGCTGCCTGGCTACTCCATCCACGTCAGCTTTTCCTCCTTCTTCCCTTCTACAACATCCTCTCGACCTCCGACATCGAACCCCCGAACGTTCCTAAGACCACCGCAATCCCCAAATCCGTCAAAATGGAGCTCTCCGACGCCTTGTAGGTTCACTATAAACCCTTGCAGAGCTACCCTACAGCTCTCGCGATCTCCCAGGCGCAATCGCAAATCGCTAACCAAGTGTCCCCCATCAGCCGCATTGTCAACTTGGCCACCGCGACCATCATGGTCCTGGGCGGCATTGCCCAATTCTTCAACTTCAACTTGTATGTTGACCCGCTTCCTCCGACGGACCTCCCCCCTGTGCGTATGCGCGCGCGCACGGCTCCTTGTGCGACAGAAGAAATCCCTTCATCGCGATGGAAAGCACGCAAGGCGGCAGCGCAACTCGAGGAGCTTCGACTGACCATTCTGTCTTTGTAGCCAGGGCATCATTGTCGGCGCCTACGTGATCATCTTCGGTCTCTGTAAGCTTCTCCCTTCTTCTCAGGCTTTACATGTGCTTGTTTGCCAGTGACATAGCTAATCAATATTCGACTAGGCACCGCTCTGCTGGGTACCCAATGACTCTTCCCCCGTATTCTGCGAAGCTCTTCTAACCTACTTCCCAGAGTTCCAAATCCCTCCTCAGGTCTCCCGTTACGCCTCCTTCCTCTTTTCCTTCATCGGCCGTGGTGTCTGTAAGTCTCAGCTCTCTAGACAACCCCCCGCAACCACATGGCGATTCTAACGCAACGGTTCTCTCCACAGTCTACATCTTCATCGGATCCATTCTCCTTTCCGACGGCGTCTTCAAGATCATTGCCGGCTCCATCGTCGGCCTCATTGGCGTTGCCTACGTCGTCCTCGAGTTCGTCCCCCAGATCGAGCCGCCAGCCAACATGCGCGAGGCCGATGGCGGCTGGGGCGCAGAGCAGGTGTAAGCTAGCTGCCCCTTTTTCAACCACACAAGACCAAAATTGTCATTCTCGAATGCCTTCTGTTTGCCCCCCTCCAACCTTGAAACCGTTGGTGGGAGGAAAGGGCACGGATTCTTTCCCCATTATAAAATTTCAACCCGTTGTACGAACATAAGATGAATCGGATTTGCTGAGGATTTTTTTTCTTTCGACAATCAAGATACTGAAGAGAAGGAAAAACCAACAATCTCACACAAGACGATTCAACCAACGATGATGCCCAATCACGACAAGGAAACTGGGAGAGAGCAGACGAGGAGAGAAGCGACGAAATAGGGGACAACCCTGTACAATCCGACAGAAAACTCCTCATTTGGAAGTGTTTGGCCCCGCCCGGGTCCGCTGTGTATAGTGTGTGTATCCACGACTGTAAAGCACGAAATCTGTATGTGTGTGTGTTGGGGAAGGAAAGAAGAGCATGGGCCTGTTTTCCGTTTTGTTCGGTGGCAAGTTGTGCCAGGTATGGAGGCACAGAGTATGACTTTTCTTTAGATGGTGTAAGGAGAAAGGGAGGTCGGGAAAAGTAGGGTTTTGCTTTAACAGACCTGATTTTGCCCTCGAAACGTGTTACGTGCCCAGCAATGACAGTCCGCATCTCTCTGATTCCCTTGAATAAGTATGCTCGTCCCTCGCCGCTCGTCGACTCCGAAGAGCGCTGACTGCCCAACCTTGACAGGGGCTGGCTTGAGAGCTGGCGAGAGAAGGAAAAATCCGGTCCTCCGTCCGCTTCGAGTCGATCTTCTCAGGGGATCAACATGGGGGTTCGCAGCGGCTGGCTTGAACGTGTTTGCTCCTTCTACCCCAGCCAACAGTCATCTGAGCACCACTTACCATTCAACCGACTCCAGCCTTTGTTTGTCATCATCATCATCGTTAAGCTGGGGGTGTGGTGGACAGTACCAGCGAACAGCAAGCATCACTTCACAAATTGGCCAGGAGAGCCATCCAAGAATGGGGAGGAAACACGTCCAAAGACACTCGGTGTAGAAAGGTGTAAAAACCCCCCATTGAGGGTTGTATTGCAAGCAGCTACTTGGCTTACTTTTGCGAGGCACGGCACGCAGACTCCAGCAAAAACAGAGAGAGAGAGAGAAAAGGGGGGAGGCCAGCCCGCGTCGTCCGGTGACGCTTATGCCCAAAAGAATTTTTTGGGGGAGGCTCAGTCTTTTTTCTTTTTTTTTTCCCAAGCCTCTTCCAATTTCGAGATGACGATTCGGTATCTGACTCGAAACCTTGAGGGAAAAAAGACGTAAGGAACAGAACACAAACTCCAACCCGATCCTTTCGATAATCCACGTTCTCGTCCGTGATGTAATAAAAAAACTCCTTTGGAACCCGTTTTGTAGATCAGTCGTCGTAACGATAGAAACGCCGTGTCGTGAGCCGATGGAAAGATTCGAGATGCTGGATTTTTGGAAGGCGCGCCACAATGCGAGCAGAAAAAAAAACACACCATCCTCTCTCCCTTTTTGTGTAAGGCCAGACCCCATCCGTTTTGCTTTCTCCTTCGCCCCAGGTAGAATGACCCTGTTTGGGAAATGAAATAAACCCGCCAACCCGCCACCGTTGAATAATAGAGGTGTAAAAGAACAGAAAAGAATTTTGAAGCAACTCCAAAAGCCATGATGTGTGTCCAGGAGATCCCTCAATTGATTCAATGTTGGATAATTCCGTTTTCGTTTGCATCGTTTTGGAACGTTCGTTCTCGCTTTCGTTCATTCGTTGCCCAGTTCCGCCAACTCCCTCTCCTTCGCCGCCAACATCTCCCTCATCCTTTCTGCTTCTCGAACCAGCGCCGCTCTTTTCTCTGCCTTGACCCTCTCGGTCTCCGGCCTGTAACCCGGGTTGCTTGTCTGACTACTCGGCCCGGGAGATGGGAGAGGAGTCAGGTGCGTATTGGAATACGAACCGGGGCTCGGCGCGGACGCGGCGGGAGACATGGCAGACCGCGCGTAGTGCTCCGCAGCGTCGTCGCTGCCTGAGTGGTATGCAGGGCTGTCATCTGCGCTGGTTGGGTTGAGGATCGACTTGATGGACGACAACCTTTTCGCCGTATCCGGTCCACCATCCCCTGGCGCGTTTCCCTCGGCAGACAGCGACCGTTTCCTAGACGGAGAGAGGAAAGAAGCGGGAGACAGGGAGGATTGCCGTTCGCCGGCGGCGGTCAACGACGTAATCGGAGCGAGTCGGTTGTCATCGTTGAGCGATCCCGGATAAGGATGCGAAGTCCGCGAACTCGATGACTGGTAAGCGGCCAAATCGTGGGACGGCAGCGGCGAGCCTTGTCGGTTCTGACGCAGGTTGGGATCCGGGAGCATGGCCATAGTCTTCTCCTCACGACGTCGGAAACCCAGGTTGATGGATCCGTCCTCGTTCATGGTGCCCCTCTCGGGACTGCCCTCTGGCGCCTGACTCTGCGTTTCGGATCCCTCGAGCATCTCTTCGGTCCACTCGCCACCAAACGAAGAAGGAATAACCCTTTTACGTCTCTTGATGATCGACTTCTTCATTGTCACAGGTCGGTGAACCCCGTGAAGTTTGTAGTAAAGGCCTAATTAGGTCAGCACTTTGAGATCTTCTCCAGAACAGCAGAAAGAAAAAAAAAGACGGCACGTACCGCAGGCATTGCAGATCGTGTGGCCACTTTCGTCTCGTCTCCATAGCGGAGTGATGGTGGTGCCGCAGTTTTGGCAAGCAATCACAACCGTCTGGTTCGAGTTCTGCCCCTGGATTTGCAATGCAGCAATGTCGACCGGAGCTGCAGGGTCATCCACAGCCATCGATTCACCCGCAGATTGGCTGGAAGATCCGCCGCCACAACCTTGCCCCTGACCGACATTCAGGTGAGCAGACTTTGACACGCGGTTGTTGTAGGCAGGACAGCCGCTGCAGCCCTCGGCACCGCCCGTACCGTTGCATTTCCCACCACCTGGGCAAGTGCCTGACGGCTGCTGTTCTTCGGTGACGTACGTCGGAGCAGGGGCGCTAAGATATTTCGGACCTGGGCCTGGCGCGGGTGCGATTTTCGGGGGAGCAGTTCTCGGCGATGCGGCAACGAGATGCGGGGGCTTCTTCAGGTTAGTCGGCCGCGAGGCGTTTCTTGCCTTCTGATACAGGCCGCAGGCGTTGCATATCGTCGTTCCCTGGGGAGACCTCCTCCATAACGGTGTCCGTGTCGTACCACAGTTGCTGCGAATAAATCAGAATACCGCCCAAGGGGGGTGTAGAGGCCGCGATCTTCTTACCTGCACACCTGGCCCGTCTGGCCCGATGACGAAATTGCCGTCGTCGGTGCCGGGCTGGGTCTTGGTTGTGACCTGACTTCCTTCGGAGAGCCATCACTGGACATGGAAACCGGACTCCTGGCCTGTGACCGCGACGTGGCTTCGCTCGACGGACTACGTCGGGAATCAGGCCGCAGCGCTGCCGATGCCTCCAAGCTCTCGTCTCTGCCTACTGGACTAGGGCCTCTCGCCTGCTCTACGGCGCCATACGGCCCTCCGTCACGGGCCTTGGGGGACATTCGTCGGGATGGAAGTGCGGTTCGAATGGTCGAGGGGGGCTGCTTTGCCGACCCCTGTGCCGCCGACGATATGCCATCGGCCATAGCCATTCGAAGGGAAGCGTGGCTCGGTCGGGATGCAACGTACTGTGGCCGTAAGGGGTTTGTTGACTGCAACAGGAGATGCGAGAGAGTCGAGGCGGAACGTGTAAGAGGACCTTTGCAGATGCGAAAGGGGGGGATATCAATTACGAAGACTAGAGGCCTTGGTGAAGGCAACAATGCCAAGTCCGGAGAAAGGAAACGGCCTCGGAGTAAAGAGGAGATAACCAACGGAGCGGCAGTCGGAAGCGGCGGCGTATAAGGAGGAGAACAGAAGTTGGAATCAAGCCAAACTTGGACAACCCCACCACGGTGCAAAGGTGGTTCGACAGTCGGCAGTCCGGAGGAGTGTCAGTGGATGTGAATGGCCCCGTCCACAGGTTGACAATGGCAACGTCAGGCGGTGGCTATGGAGAACCGGCTGACGGAGCAGGAGGGCGGGAAATCGGAGGCCGGGAGAAGGAAAGAGGCCAGAGGGTCGCCACCGTTGATCCAGGGCAAGAAGGAAGACTTTTGCCGTTGGATGTGTCTCTACAGGCACAGTGTGGTGTGTGGGTGTGTGAGAGTGAGAGAGAGCGAGACAGAGACAGAGAGGCAAGGCAGAGGGGCCGATGCCAGGGGGTCGGGTCGGGGTGGTGTTGAAGGCCCGAAGGAAACTTGTGGGAGCAAGAGTGCGGGTGGGAGAGTTGACAAAGTGACGGAGCGGCCTAGTAGGGTAAAGATGGTGATATCGAGTGCATGCTGAGGAGAGAACAACGACTGTTGCTCGCGTTGGCAGACATGTAAGAGCCCCGTCGACTGGAAGGGCAGTGGGCTCCTTGAAGGTTCACCGGGCGGTGAGAGGGTTTGGTAGGAGGGCGGTTGAGCCTGACAAGGTGGGTGGGAAGCGAGTGAGGCCTGTGTTGATCTCGCACGAGGCGGGTGCCGGTCCAGCAAGTCAGGTCCTGAGTAAGGCCAGTGTGCAGAGGAATAGCGGTAGCGTGTGCAGCGTGAGCAGCGTAGCGTGGTGCGAGCAAACAGGGCGACGATGGAGGGAACGGGGACAAGAAACCGCGGCGCTGTTGCGTTGGTGGCAGAAAATCACGAGAACTGAAGGGGACGGGCAGCCCACGCCTGCAACTGTGCTTTGCGTGTGCCGCGTCTGGGCCTGCCCGCCGCCTGCTGGTCTCCTCCTTCGCTTCCCAATGACGAGCGACGGACGACAAATGGGGGAAAATCGGAGCCCAGTCGTTGGGTGATCTGGGCTGAGAGGTCACGGATTACAACAGGTCGCCGCTGATTGGCCGAGGCGAGGCCTGTCGCTAAGACACTAGCACCTAGGGTGACAGGGAGCGTAAGGTTGTGTTTGCAAAGGTCCACCCCACCCAACCGAGTGACAAGACAATGTCCCACCCTGCTGCGTCCAGCATCGCGGCATTGATGACACCCGGGTCCAGGACGAAGCGCCTCAGAGACTTTTCCCCCGTTCTCGAACGCGAGACTAGTTGCGTCTGAGTACCGGCCTTGACCTGTTTTGGGTCTGACAGATGGTCATCCTTGTGATGTCCACGGTGGTCCGCATGCACATACGTAGTAGATCGTATTCCTCTCTCGAATGTTGTTTCTATATGCGATGATCCCCGGCGACAACGACAGATCTCGAGATACACGCGAGACTCGACACCACCCTGACACGCGCAATCAGATCCTGATCAAACACTCGGGCCCAGATAGCGACAAACAGGGGCCCAATGAGACGATAAGTCTCCAGAGTCCCAGGTCTAGTCCCAAATAATACGGCGTAATTAGCCTTTCCCGGTTCGCCTGGTCCGGCCTTCCCTGTTGGCCCAGGAGGGGCGCTGCCGTCCTGCGCTGCGACTCGACTCCATCGTAGCGGGCTCGCTCCTGATTTGCTTGACTCTGCCTTCTGGAATGGATCAATCGGCACGTCTGGCGAGGCGAGGGAAAAAGGGACGCTGGTCTCCCATGTCAATGCTCTGCGCCGAATCCTTGGGCCGCCGCCCCGCGGAAGCCTGGCAGGATGAAATTTGTACAGCATGGTCCCCATAGGAATGCCGTACCGCATGGCAACTCTAAAATGCCCGTGTGTGACCATTGGCCTTGCCACGGACGCCTGACACGCGTAGGCTGTTCAGTGCCTACACATGTTCTGTCCCTCACCGACTGATGCTGATGCTGACAACATAAGAGGCGTCGTGTCACACAAGTAATCAAGAAAGAAAGCAAAGAAATACGACACGAAACAAGGCGGTAAGACCGCAATGTACAATATCGTCCACACAGGTACTCTATGTGCCAGCAGGTCGCCAGTGTGAGCCGACTTAGCACTTCCATCACCTCTCACTTCACCGGCACCGTTCCGCCGGCCGAAGCGAGATGCAACAATTCTGAAAGGGGGGCACACAAGGATCCCTGAACGCTCTCCTGAGTCCGTCAGTTCGGTCTCCTTCCCAGCGCTCTGGAATTAAGACAGGGCCATTTTCACCAAGTGGACGGGCAGGGCACTACCGGCGTTTCGAGTGCCGTACTACAGTGTAGTAAGCCCTCGGCTTCCTTTCCAAGATGCAATGCAAATCACCCAATATGGACGCTCTCCAACAAAGGGTGAACAATCTTAGGCATCCAGGTAGCTTCGTTCAGGCATATGCTAGATGACTCAATCAGCAGCTGCCATCATTAGTGTTAGCAAGAAAGGTACGGAAGATGCGAATATTCAGCTCCCGCCATTCGACGAGAAGGATCGAGGATTCCAAAGAACTATCAACTCGGGCTCTTGGCCTATCAATCCACCACACGCGCCGCCGCCACCGCCAGGCTCACTCATCCTCTTCCTAGCCAGTACTGTACACTAAAAAAGAGAAAAGGCCCCAGAAGGCAATGAAAACCGTCAGACCTGCAGCCAATTAAGAAGACCGGACCGGAGCCCGGCTCCGAGAATCTCGCATTGGTGCATGCCCCCTCCCGCCCCGTCGCTTGTGAGCCAGTGACAAACGACCTGAATAAGCTGACAGGGTCCTTTCACAGGCGGTAGCAAATTGGAGCGATCGGGGCGCATGCCGTCCCCTAGTGGCCATCTCCCTAAAGTACCCTTTTCTGTGAACAATACGTAATCCCGAGGGTTTGCAGGGTGATCCCTCGGTGATAGGAGGAGGCAAGATGAGTGATCTACCACATCAATTTTTCCCGTGACCCCCGTCTTCTGAAATTCCATCGCCTTCTTCTCTTAGCTCGTCTCGGCGGCCGAACCCCGATATCAACGAGGCCCGAGGCATCAAAATGCCGAGCCCCTATAGTACAGCTCTTGGAGATGGGGAGGCCACGCACTGTCCGGCATCCATCTCCTGACATCAGCCAATCGTCTTGTTTTGGATTGTCACCTTGGGCCATTCAGGTCATATCTGTACCATCTGCTCAGCTGAGCCAGCAGAATTTCGAAAGAGCCGGAGACCCAAAGTGCCAGGTGGTTTCAGTGTTCCTCGGGGAAGTTACTTGGCAATATCGTATCTTGATTAACTAAAAGGGTATCTGCAGCGTCCGCCAGTATAAAACAGCATGGGGTATACGCATTCAAGGAATCGCCAGCCGCCGTACAGGTCATTAAGGTAAGAAGCTCGAGACATGCCAACATCAAAGCAGCCTCGGCCAATCATGTCGTATCAAGCATCAGGGTCGCTGTCTCCATCATTCATTTTATGGCTGAAGTCCTCTTTCATATCGATCATGGCGTCTCTCGCCAAGCAGACCACTATAGCGACGGTGATGGCATTCCATACGGCTTGATAGTGCTTGCTGAAGCCAACCTCAACCTGATAGCTGACGTAGGCTTGGTCCCCTTCCTTCGCCGAGTCAATGGTCAACACCATAACGGAGGTATTGACGATGAACAGCCCATACAAAACTGGCGGGCGACGGATGAATTGGCCGTTCGGTTCATGAATTAGCTTTTCTGCCGAATTATCGAGTTCCGTGCTTGTAGGTTTGCGATCGTCAGAATCGTCGTAATTGATGCCGTTCTGCGGCGGGGCAGATGGAGGATCTGTGTTCAGCTTCTGCGGTGACGGCGTCGGGTACTTGTCGGGCACAAGGACAACTCTATTGTCTTCGGGCTCGGCGTCTTCATCATCGTCCGCCTCGGTCTGGTGTCCGTTTGGGCCGTGATCACCATTAATAACCTCTGGCTTGTCATTCCTCCAATGTGCGCGGTGGCTGGCGGCGGCAGCTCTGAGACGAAGCTGCATGTGCTCCTCGATGGCCTGGGGCGTCATTGTTGTGTCCACCATGTCAATGATGAGATTCGGTATGTAATCGAGACTGTCATACTCTCCGTCCTGTTCAGCCCATTTTGTGTACTCGTGGAGTTCCTTCTCAATAAGTGCCCTTGCTCTGTGTCTTTGGCGCGTCTGACAGAGCCCTCGAACATGTCCCGTCAGCTCAATAAGGCGGGCAAGTGCTCTGGTTGCTAAGTGATGTCAGCATTTCCTGGGTCTTCAAGAATCCATGAATCGAGACTCACCTTTGAAGTCACTGCCTGATCGTGAGTTGATGATGGGCGGATGGGCGTCGGAGCTCGCGAAGAGGATTTCTGGGATGGGAATGCCTCGGAAGTCCATGTCCCAATGAGACGGTAACAGAGGACTGTACTGTCTCATGTACAGAATCTTGAAGAGCCTTAGCTCGTCCTCTGCCCAGTTGTCGCTGCCAGGGAAAAGCTTTCTTTCCTCGTCCATCTCTTCCAGCTGCCGGTGCTCCTCCTCTTTCTCCTTCTCGCTCAAGACATCTTCTTTTCTCTTGGCAACTTTGCGCGGTGTTTTCTTGACGCGGCCGGACAAGGTCCTGTCCGATGCTGGCGTACCCGCTCTGCCGGCGCTCGTGCTTGTTGGCGGAGTCTCGGTGAGAGGTGTTGCGCTGAGGCGGCTGCGGCCGAGCGGCCTGTTGATCGGCGGAGTGTGCGCCGGTGAGCGACTCCCCACGGATCCCGACGAGTGTCGATTCATCTCCAAGTTTTGTTTTTCGGTGGTGACGGTGTTGTGTGGATGAATTATGAGAGATTGAGAAGTGGCCTTCAGCCAAAGGGCGGAATGAGATTTGAGGTGTTGAGGTTCAAGAAATTGTTGGCGCTGCAGGAGTGTCACGCGTTTTGTCACCTCACGAAGGTGCTGATCGAGGATTACAGCTGACAAGATGCATTTCTTTGTCGAGTCGACCCTCGTCGCTTCTTCATCTGGAGACTTCTATTTGGACTACGTGCAGTGACTTCGCGCAGAGGCAGGAAGCAAGGAGTTCGCGACTGCCCTAGGGGGCTTTGGTCGAAAGGGTTACGGAAAGCACTAGGGACCTACGGCATTGTCTGCGACGGTTTGCGGCGACGGATGCGGCGGCCGGACAAGAAAGCCGTTACAATCCCTATTCGAATCGATGGCGACGCGGTGAGACACAATGGCAATGAGACAAAAACCGCGCCTGCAAGCGATTACTGCGGACCTGCGGTAATGGGCAGGCTGCTCGTCCAATGAGCCAGAGTTCTGGTCCGTGCGTCTACTGCCCCCCTCGAACCTCCCTTCGTCATATACATTGTTCTTTCCTTCTATTTCCCTTTTCCGCCATTCGAGTTGGGTTGCCTCTCCCAGAAACACGATAGACAAAAGGGAAGCCAGCACAAACAACACATTGAGAGACATAAACATGATAACAGGGGAGGAAACCAATCGCATCGTACTTGAATCCCTGGTTGTCCACCGCCATGCAATCTCTCACCTCTATGCAAACCACGTGACCTGGATGTGATCTCCCGGCAGATAGCCGGCCTAACTTTTAGCGAAAAGAAATATGGGGTCCTTCGCAGAGATGACATATTTCCCAGGCGGGATCGGTTACTGAAGGTGGGAAGGAACCCCTGCACTAGTGACTTTCTTGCTTTCCTAGCGTGCTTTGCCAACGTGCCTGTTCACAGTGGAGAGGCTCTGATGTGCATGACGGGGCAATTTTTCAGGTCGCGACGACGCGCTCAGTGCCACCACCGGGCACCTCACCTCACCTGGAAGCCTTCCGACTACAACACAAACTCGCCATCATCACTTTTTCGCAACGCGCGCATATCCTCTTAGCAAGACATACTCCGTTCTGCCGCACACGTGCTTACAATCGAAATCGCTTTTTTCTGCAGCCTAGCTATGCGCCAGCCTTTGCGCCGAGTCAGCAATTATTCACGATGAAGGACTGGAGCAAGCAGACCGTCGTCCAACTCAAGGCGGAGTTGAAGCGCAGAGGGCTTGGTGTCGCAGGCCTTAAGCAGGAACTTGTCGATCGCCTTGCGGAGAGTGACAAGGACGCTGCTGCACAAGAACCAGAGGCATCCCCAGAGCTTGAACAGGCTGAGAGCCTCAAGCCCGAGAACGATGAGGCTCCAGAGGCGCCAATCGAGCCCAACCCCATCAACACCGCACCCAAAGACGTCATTGTCGCCGAAACCGAGCCCACCGTTGCTGAAGCAGTCGAGCACATCCCAGAAGCCAGTCACGAGCCATCAGCCGCCGTGTCTGACAAGCAGGAAACGACTACTACAATTCCAGAGTCCATCGCTACACTGGACTCTACACCTCCTGCGCCTGCCGAGATAGCGCAAGATGTGCAGAAACGAAAGCGACGATCGGAGAGTCCAGTGGAGTCATCCGAATCTGTCTCCCGTAAGCGGGTCAAGGCCGACCTGGACCGCATGGACGCAGGCACCCATAACGATGCTGAGGGTTCAGAGCAATCTGGCATCGCTGGTGTCATGAACCAAGTTAAGGAGGGCATCAAGGAGACCTTGAAGGAGACCTTGGAGGGAGGCACGAGTCTCGTTGACGATATCGCGAAGGACGCAAAGGTTATCTCGGAAAATCTTGCCGAGCCTATGGAACAAGACCAGCCGCCGCCTGGTGCGAACAACCAGGACACAACAATGGCGGCATATCATGATGAAGCCCACGGCGAGGCGAACGAGGACCATGCTGTGAATGCTGCGGCCCGTGAGGAGTCCAAGGATGCCGACCCTGCCCCCGAGCCAGCGCACCAGAATACAGCCCGTCAAGACGACCACGATGTCATGGATCACGAGAGAACCGTCGAAGCGGCCAGGCACCATGCTACCGAATCCCTTTACATTAGGAATCTTATGAGGCCGCTCAAGGAAGACACGGTTCGCGCACATCTGATCCAGCTGGCGGCCCCTGCCGATGCAGAGCCCAACAATGATGATATCGATCTTTTTTACCTCGACCAAGTCAAGACCCACGCCTTTGCTGTCTTCAGTTCCGTCACCAAGGCTTCACGCGTCCGCAACGCCCTGCATGGCCTCCGCTGGCCGGATGAAAGCAACCGTAAGGAGCTGTGGGTGGACTTCGTTCCGACAGACAAGGTCCCTCTATGGATTGACGAGGAGCAGGCCCAAAGCCGCGACAGAAGCATCCGCTTCGAGGTGCTATATGACGAAGATGGCGCCGCCAGTCTGGTCTCGGGCTCTGCAGCCCAGCCTGCACGGTCAGCTCCAGAACCGACTAGGCCTGCGCCCTCCGGCCCCGCAGTCAAAGATGTAAACGCCATCCCTCTTGGCCCTCGTGGCGGTTTCGGAACACAAGGTGCGCCGTCGGGACCCAGAGGGGATGCGCCGCGCGGGCCTGGTCCCAGACCCCCACGACAGATTCAGGGCTTCCCTGGAGGCGATATTCGAACTACTCGCGCCAGCCCCCCGATATCCTACCAGCCTGTTTCGGACGACCTCGGTGCGAGGCGTATCAGAAACATGCGATCTCACTACACCACTGAGATTGGCCGCGATTTGGGTCCTGAGACCGAGATTAACCGCTACACCTTTGAAAATGGCGACAAGTTTGTCGACCGCGGTAAGGAGAACTTTGTAGGCATTCGCCCTCCCCACCGAGAAGCCGACCGACGTCGACAGACGGCTGGCGGAGGACCGCCGCCTAGGGGCCCTCCCCCGCCACGAGGCGGCAGACGCGGTGGCAATGGCCGCCGTGGAAACCGCATGGTCAGCGACAGGTACTTGCCTGGTATCAACGAAGGTGGCCCGTACAGACAGGGCGACCGCGGAAACTTTGGATCTCGTCACGACGGCGGTCGCCGTTTCCGCTCGGACGACCGCGACAGTCGGTATTAAGAGCGCGCTGGGACCGTTGGCTACGATTGCAGGTGTCTCAATCACGACCATTCGACATTGTGCCCCCTGCCTTTCGCGTCCTGCGCGTCTCGCGCATCCTCATTCTCTGCGCCCCTCGAAGTCCGAGATGGTTAGCCAAGACCAACCGTACTGTACGACTTCGCCAGCGGCTCTTGCAACAACAATGCCCCCAACGCCGGAAGATCGTGGGCACACTGGTAGATCTTTATCAGAAAGTCGGGTCGTGCCATTACACATCTTCAGAAGGGGGATCGAGTGAAGCTTTTTGCCGTGTTGAGATTAGATATCGCCAAGGTCAAGAGCCAGGGCGAAAAGGAAGGGAAGGACTGGCCTCCTAACATCGGCGGCATTGACGTGGGTGGATTGGAGGGACCAGGGTAGAAGGGGAAAAGGGAAAGAAGAAACATTAAATCACTCGAGAATCACTTTTTTTTTTTTGGAGCATGGGGGATCCGACACGGAGGGGAGCAACAACAAGAACCCGGCTCTTGCACAACCTCCTCACCAACATCATTCTTCGACGGCGAAAGCAAGACGCCGGTTAGGACTACTACTTCCCCCCCCTTAACGTTTGGGTTCTATAGAGAGACGTGCCGTCCACGTTGCGATACCACTCACACAAACCTAGCCTGCGAGACGCGCAGGGTATCTACATGAAAGCGTTAGCTCGCCGAAAACAAGCTCTTACCTCTTGACGCGTGTGCGCGTTTCCCTTTTTTGCTGAGTGATGTGCGTGACGTCGACCCAGATTGCAATCGACCTGGGTTTTGGTCCTCAAGGGGAGCTCGCGACACTCCGAGACACCGCACGATGAACACGCGAACCCCAAGCCTCCACGGCGTTCTCGTCGGCAGGAGGCGTTCCCTGCTCTCGCGGGGATGCCAGACCTCTCGTCTTCACGACAACCTCCCGCCAAGCCGTCCTCTCACGCCGCACATCTCTCCCATTGGAATCGCATCCCTCCCCATCACCGTCGCCCGCATCCTCGACCTTTCAGAGCAATGTTGCAACCCGACGGCGCCGGAAGAGGACGGACACCCCAGATGGCACTGTCTACTCGAACAAGAGCCGTGCTTCGCATCCCCGCGGACAACGGAGAAGCCGCCAAAGGGCATACGCTCAGCCACGCAAACATACGGATGGACACACGAGGGAAAGTGGCTACGCTTATCGTTGTTGCCCGTCTGATATCTTTTCTCTTCAAGGATGTCGACTCTCTTAGAGCCCCGTGGAGAGCATCGAAGCAAGGCGCCGACGGAAGAGGAAGAAGAGAAACGAACGAGAGCTGAGAGCGAGTAATATAATGGGGTTGTATCACGTTACTAACGGTAGTCCTGCTGATGACCAACGGACAATCAATCAAAATCTCTTCCGCACTTCCCTCTGTTAATGTCTCCACCCCTCCAACATGATTGTCCTGTGGATGCGATTACACGCCTCGCCCAGGACGGCCCAATCGCTTCCTGGTGAGGCTTGATCGACTTTGATTAAGGTGCTGGGTCTGAACCGCAAACCCTCCTTTTCCTCAAACAGAACTTTCATGTGGTATTTCATGAAAGCCGGCCTGAAGTAATTTCGGACGTCAGAATCTATAACCTCCAAAGCGCAGACTGCTTTCATACGTACCATGCAACGTCCTTAAAGTATTCCTCCGTTTTCCAGGTCTCATGGGCCTGCCTGAATCCTCCTTCACTGTAATACGTGTACTCGGGGCTCTCGAATCTTCGCCTTTTTGCTTCGCGTTTATGAACATAAACGCACAGCGTGTGGTCTACTATATTCCTCAAAGACTCGTACGCGACTTGTTGCGCCTCGTGGCCATGTGCCAGCGGCGGGAAGGCCGGAGATAAGCCGTCGGTGTAGTCTGCGCTCATGAGAAACCCCTCAACGATTATCAGCTGGGCCGGCCAATGCGTTGCATCCTCTGACCCGTCTTTGTACTTTTCGGGGTTGTAGGCATGCTGATGTTCTAAATTAAAGCGATAAAAGTGTTCTGACCAGAGCTTCTTCTCTGCCCCTGAACTCCTTAAGAAACCGGCAAAGTTCGCATTCGCGTTTGCCACGATCTGATTCATATGTAGGCGGCAGGGAACGGTCGCAAATTTCTTGCCACTTGGATCGGGAACTGGATTGCCTGCTGCGGCTGCTTCGACATCATGAAGTAGCTCCACCCAGTTCACCGCCCGGAAGCAGTCCTTGTGCTTCACAAAGTTTCCACCCTGGGCCGTGGGAGGGCAGTTTTCGGGGGAAGGGAGTAGGCGTTTTGAGAAATCACAACAACCCTGTTCTCGCCTCTCGCAAGGCGCTGGAACACCGCGCTGAGATGCGACGCGAGTGTGGAATTGCCGGTGCGAGCGCAGCCGCCAATGCCGATAATCAGGTTTTGAATTTTTGCTCGAGAGCCCATCTGAAGTCTAGCTTCTTGTGAAGGCCAGATCTTCAGTCCTTGCTGTGGTAGGCCCTGCGAAGGTTGTGCGCTTTGCTGAGATACCATCGCCAGCAACTGTGTTCCCGGATTGGCCTGCCCTTGTACAGAGGACCCCGAGCCAGAGTTGCGGGAGGCTTCCTAAACACATCGATCCCACAGTTCGGGTATAAACGGCAACTGGGGCGCCAAAGGGCTCATGCTGTATTGTAATGTCGGCAATGTCTGTTGAGCTGTGGTGGGCAGAACTGGCGAGTATTGAAAGTACTGTCCAGGAGACTGGGATTGCTGTTCTGCCATGTTTCCAGCAAATGGCTGAGGCTGCCAGTCTAGAGTCTGATGCGCAGACCTTTGATACTGCTGCAAGCTGTTCAAGGGGAGGTGCTCTATGAATGGCGGGGAGGATTGTGGGTCTGGAGTAGAGAGAACCTCCGTGTATGATGGAGTCGGCCCCGGAACTGTCGAGCTCCGGCCTTGTTCGTCTTGTGTAGTCGATCCTCGTTCTTCCTCCTGCTGAATCGATTCTTGCCCCCGCTCTGCAGCGGACTCGACGTCAGACAAGTTACCGTCTGGGCGCGACATGATGTTGGAAAGAATGGGTAGTTGCTATGTCGATATCAGGTAATATGGGATCGACATGGGAGAAAGACAAGCCTAAAGAGAACAGGAACGGATGCAAGTGTGCTGTTTCGAGTGTGGTGAACTTGCTTGCGAGGTGGAGGATGGATGTGGTTAATGGACGTTCATCCGTGACAGCCCTTCATTACTCTCATCCACCCCATCCTAAGCCGTCGCTGCCATCATTACCAGTACCTGCTTTTTCACTGACACAAAGGACACAGGGAAGGGACGGGGTTCCTAATGATGGACGTGGAACGTTTCAATTTAGGAAAGTAGCTTTCTTGTGAGCTGCTATTGAACTATGAAAAAAAGGGAAAGAGAGAACCATCGTTTTCGACCGGCTTTTATATCCCAAGGCCCAGGTACCAAACCGCGACACCCTTAAACTGCAAAACCCAGAAACCCAATTCGCATAATACTCTTACTAGACTAAGCCTACACCATCACACACTCAGGCAGCCGCGGCGAGGGTGGTGGGCTCGACGCCGACACGCTCCCTGCTGAGGATGTCGAGCATGAGCTGGGTGGGGCGGTTGTCCTTGAAGATCTTCTCGCTGTCCTTGAAGAGCTGGACGTTCTCGAGGTACTTGTCGAAGAGGTAGGAGCTGTCCATCGGGCCGCCCTTGGCCTCGGGGTGGAACTGGGTGGAGAAGATGGGGCGGGTCTTGTGCATCATGCCCTCGTTGGAGCCGTCGTTGAGGTTGACAAAGTACTCCTTGAAGTCGCTGGGCAGGGTCGACGAGTCGACGGCGTAGCCGTGGTTCTGGCTGGTGATGTGGCACTGGCCGGTGGTCAAGTCGAGGGCGGGGATGTTGTGGGCGCGGTTGCCGTACTTGAGCTTGATGGTGCGGGCGCCGACGGCCAGGGCGAGAAGCTGGTGGCCGAGGCAGATTCCCATGATGGGGACGGGGGAGGTCTCCATGAGGCGGGCGAGGTTGTAGATGGTCTCCTGGCAGTGAGTTGGGTCGCCAGGGCCGTTGGAGATGAAGACACCGTCAAAGTTGCTGGCAACCTTGTGGATGGGGTAGTTGTAGGGGAAAACGGTGACGGAGGCGCCACGGCTGACGAGACTGCGAAGGATGTTCTCCTTGACACCGCAGTCGATCAGGGCAACGTGGAAGCGGGCACCGGGGGACTCAACCACGAAAGGAGCCTTGGTGCTGACGCGCTTGACCAGGTTGATGGCGCCGGGGTCGATGAAGCTCTCGTCCTCGTCGGCGTCGTACTCGTCGCCAATGGTAATCCTAGCGAGGGAAGAACCCTGCTCACGGAGGTAGGTGACGATCTCGCGAGTGTCAACGCCCGAGATGGCGGGAACACCCTCACGGGCGCACCAGTTGCTCAGGCTCTCCACGGCGGTCCAGTGGCTGTACTGCAGGGCAACGTCGGCGACGACGACACCGGCACACTGGATGTGAGGAGACTCAAAGTACTTGAGGAGGTTCCACTGGTCCCTCTGGTTGGAGGGCACACCGTAGTTGCCAATCAGGGGCTGGGTGAAGACCAGAATCTGACCACGGTACGAGGGGTCGGTCATGGACTCGGGGTATCCCACGAGGGAGGTGGTGAAGACGGCCTCGCCGGAAATGTTGGAGTTTGCTCCAAAAGCGCGGCCGGAAAAGACGGGACCATCCTGTGATTCTTTGTTAGCAAGCTCCGTCTACGGCGAGGCAAGACATGTTGGCGGTGACATACGCGGATGGTGAGGGTAGCATCGAGGTCGCTGACGGGGCTCGTGGCGCGGGTCTGGGTGGCGGGCATCTTGCGGCCCTTGCTGCCAGCGGCCTGGCCGGAGAGGAATCGGGACTGAACTCGGAGGCCGGAGCTCAACCCGGCGGCGCCCTTGGCCGCGGGCTTGGAGAAGGCAGCCAATCGGGAGAACATTCTGGCTGGTGTTTAGGAAGTGGTGATGTAGAGTTGGTTGCGAGTGGTTTGGATAGACACTTTAGGGGCTAGCAGCCTTCCACAAGTGGTCTGTTGGAGGCATGGTCAGTCTGGGTGCTCTGTGGAGGGGCGGTGAGTCAATCGAGGGCATTCGTGCTAACCTGAGAGATAATCCTAAGGAAGACGAGTCAGCAACCGAGATTTTCCAATTTCAATGACTTGAAGCAGCAATCCCGCAAAGTGCAAGCGGGACCCAGTAGCCTCAATTGGGCTATGGGCACCAGCATGAGACAAAGTTTGGCAGCGGGGTTGGGGAAGGTATCACGAAGGCCGTGAGCGCAGACCGACCCCAACCGAAGCCGGACATTGATAAGAGAAAAAAGTAGTAACACAAAGTCGAACGTACCTGAGAGGTGAAGACTGAAGGACGCCCGTTCATAAGGGCAGCTTGCGAAGGGTCAATCAGTAGAAAAGGGTAGTGAAGTTGCTCGAAACGAGTCGGTAGTTAAGCTGGAGGGATTATGGCCGGAGATATTCTGTGACAGGTTTGGTATGGCAGGATTTTTGTGAGAAGGGAAAAAAAAGGAGGGAAAAGAGAGGACGAAAAACCAGGTGGGCGCAGATCGGGTAGAAAAACCAAGGAGCACGAGCGCCGGCACACGGAGTCACACTCGACTCCTCCTGCTCCTCCACCAGGGCCACCACCTCCAGGCGTCCCCGTCCCAAGTGTCAAGGGCCGCCCGGGTCACAGCCAGCAGCAGTGCTTGGGATGAGCAGGCAAATTTTTTTGGGCAGCTTGTCATTGGACCCTTTTGGGCAAGGTCGGCGCTGATACGCCCCAGCTATGGGGAGATCCATTCAACGGGGGCCCCGTCTTGACCGTCGCTGCAGGGGAAACTCTCGCCGTCAAAGAACGAGCGCTGGTGGTGGACTGAACTTCTCAAGCTTCCCCCCCCCTCCCTCCTCTCTCGCCTCTCCCCGCCCCAGCGAAAAGGCGCGCCCGCCCGTCCAACCCGCCGATGTCGTCCCTTATCGCGGGGCATTACATAATTCGCCCAACTACTCTGTTACGTCTCTGCAATTTCGCCCTTAGTCGCCTCCCTAGCTCTTATCAGCCCTGTTGACCGAACATTACATCACCAGGCGCTGCAAGCACTGCGAACCCTGCTGTGCCATTGAGCCGGCAGTTGGCTGTGGGAAGATAGCCTGAGCCCTAGGATCGACACTGCCGCTGCCAGAGACGGCCCAAGACTTCGTCTCGATGCTTCGTTGCACTAAAAAATTGACGCAATGTTAGAGTTGGTGGGATTTGTGCGAGAAATATCTCTCTCTCTCCGCCTGCTTCCAAAACCCGCCGGGTTCGGAGTCTCCACCTATGAACCCAGCCTGCCAACAATGCGTAGCGCTGGGGTCTCCCAGCATACATCGTCTAAATGCATCTCCAAAACGCGGCCCAGAACTACCTTATCAAACGGGGCTGTCAAAAACGGGGACGCGCCTCCGCCCGCCGGCCTATCGCAAGCTATGAGGCCCTCCCAGACCAACCTGCCAAACCAAAAACGGAGGCGGGATTGGAGACTCTCTCAGTTCTGCTTCACCGACTCGAGTCGTTGCCCTTGTTGTCAGTCCTTGAAAGGAGCCAGACGCACCGTACCCATGCTGCACCATCCCCTCGGAAACCCCGGCTTGCTCAAGGGCGGTCTGTCTTGTTCCTCCAATGACTCCAATCTAACAAGCTTTGAGCACGCAACCACGACCTAACTGGGGGCTGCTATTCTACCATTTCCTACGCCTGCGAATTTTAAGTAGGAAAAAAGTGTGAGAAATACCACCTTGACTGCAGGTCTGGACTGCCGAATGGCTTCACGTGTGGTCTCACCGTATTGACAGCTACCCGTCCGAGACGTTTGCTTGCATGCCAAGAATGCAGCTGCAAAGTCTCGCCTTCAGCTGAGTCACCGACATCAGAGCCAAAGGAAACTTGCTTGCTGGCAGATGGGAGGCAGAGTCGTCCTGGGGTATGGAAGTGCTCATTAAAGAGAAAACTGCAGTTCGACATTGCAGAATGAGTATTCAAGTGAGGTGGTCAATTGGAATCAGAATTCTCCCAACCAAGTGGTTGACATTCTTTCCATGAGCCTGGGTTGGGTGGAGCTGGCGTCTACTTGTTGAGCTTGATTGACTACTACAAATATCATGGTTTGGCCAAGTCTGCAACCCTCGTTTTGACCTGAAGTCAGCTCAAGTTCGGTGACCGAACTCGAAAGGAAATTACCGCTATAGTAGGATCCTTATTCCAACAACATATATCAGAGTCAACATCGGGGAGGCGTGGGTCGCGGTTAGCGTCTATACAAGTTTATCGAGTCTTGTACCGTTTTTCATTCGGCTTCTGTGCCATCCCGCATCGCGTACCTCGCTGAAACCAGCGGTCTCTAGATTAACGCTACATCCATAAAACGCCCGTGGCAGAAGCGCAACTATGGACTCATCCTCTCAAAGGATATAAAGCCGAACCTTCCTTCCCGTCCCTCTGCCTCGTCGAGCAATCGCTTGTTCGCTCTCCCCAGCACCCGCCTCATCAAGAACACCGTCCCGATGCAAAACGTCGAGAACATCATCATTAGCAAGAACGCAAGCAGGTACCTCGGGCTATCCTCCGGTCTGAAAAAGTACGGGCTCCAGATGTTGCCAAACTGCGCCAGCAGACAGATAATCGCCATCGCCGCCGCCCTCTTCTCCGGCGTCTGGCTCATCACGCTCGCAGACCAGCTAAAGATCAACCCCGTCGACGCGAAGGCGCCGGGGAGATACAGGAAGCTTGCAAAGTACCGCGCGGGACGGTTCGTCGTCGCGGCGGAGATGACGAAGCCCAGCATAGCGACGCAGACGGGGCCGACGATGTGCAGGCCGCGGTCGGCGCGACGGTCCGAGGAGACGGCGACGGAGAGGGCGACGATGGCGGCGAGTAGGTAAGGCGGTGCCGTGAGTAGGAGGGTGGCCGTATTGGAGCCGAGGCGGAAGCCCTGCACGATGGTTGGGAAGAAGCTGTTGAGGCCGTGGGAAGAAACGTAGAAGGCTTGCATGCAGACCTGTTTGTCTTTGTCAGTCCAATGTTCTTTGTCACACACGGCCCTTTCAGGGGAAGGTCTCCGAGGGGATCAAGGCTGGAGACGACTCACAAAGATCCACGTCCTCTTATCCTTTACTGCGAGACTCAGCCCATTCCACACCGTCGCCTTCTCCTGCGGCACCGACACCCTGTCGGCCTCCATCCGCTGCGCGGCGACCTGCAGCTCTTTCTCCGACATGAGCCACGAGCACACGCCCGTCTTGGACCCGACATAGTCCGGCAGAAAAGCAAACGCCGTGAAGGCCGACGCGAAGCTCCCTGCCCCCTCGATGATGAAAAGCCACTGCCACCCGGCTAGCCCATGCGCGCCGTCAAGGTGTGCAAAGATGGCAGCCGCGATGAGCCCCGAGAACGCCGTCGCTATGAGCATGCCCGAATAGAGGATCGCCGTGCGGAAGGCGAGCTCTTTTTGGGTGTACCAGCAGGAGAGGACGTAGAGCACCTAGTGACGAGACATGATGTCAGCTGGCGATGGGATCTGGAAAGGGTGGGAAGGACGGGCGTGGCTTACACCAGGAAAGAAGGGCGCCTCGACGACGCCAAGCGCGATCCGGATAGCGATGAGGCTGTGGAAGCTCTTGGCCGCCGCCGTCGCCGCCGATACGCACGACCATGCCAGGACACAGCACGGGATGTAGACGCTCGGCCGGACGCGGGTGATGAGCATGTTGGACGGCAGCTGGGCGATCATGTACCTGCACCCGGAATCAGCAGCGGCTCATGGCCGAACGAGAGCTGGAGGGGGGGCCTTACCCAATGTTGAATATCGAAACCGCCGTGTTGAACTGGTTCCCCACGAGCCCGAGATCCTTCTCGAAATTGTTCAGCTTGGCCTGCCTGTTCGCCATCCGCACGTCAGCGCTCGGCCTTCTTTTGCCTCGACATACAACTTCACGACACCCAGGGGTTGGTCATACGCAAGGTTGTTCCTGTCGAGGTAGTTGAACATGTACAGTGTCCAGATGACTGGCATGAGCGTCATGTCCAGCTTCTTGACGAGCCGCTTCTCGGCCGCCTTCCACTCAGGGCGGGCCATGGCCACCTCGTAGGGTGTGCTGAGGCGTGGTGAAGACGGCGAAGGCAAGGGCGACTCGGCGGGGCCTTTTTCAACCGTTTCGACAGAGACATCTTCGCCCGCGGGCGTGATTTGGCCCATGGTGACGAGGTTTGCTTTTCGATAGCACGCGAGAGAACTAAGTATTCTCAAAACTGAGGACTAACAGGGGTGATATTACGCAGGGTACAACATAAACGAGTGGTTGCTTCTTCTCCGGCGAGGCTCGTTCATCGAGCCGTCGAGTTACATGAGACTCACACGCTCTCCTCGAGAGTCGAGAAGGGCATGCTCCAGGTCAAAGCATATATATTCCATTGTCCCTCTCCCCTCCCCGACTCGGATTAGCAAGCACATGGAAGAACGTCCAAACAAGCAGCCAAGATCTCTCCGAGCCGAAAAGCATAAAAAAAGGATCCCGATAACGAGCTTGATGGCCAGGCTGCCCGTTGCAGTTAGGCCTCAACGTCGGATGTGTGCGTGTGTTTTCGCCGTTTTGAGCGACAGAGGCACTATCAATGTTCCAGGCCGAAAAGTCAATGTACCCAACGATCGCCTTGGTGCGCTTTAAGATTCAAGACAACCTCCATGAACGTTGCGCCTGCTACATGGGGTAAGCATGCAAAGCGTCGGATGTGTGCGTGTGTTTTCGCCGTTTTGAGCGACAGAGGCACTATCAATGTTCCAGGCCGAAAAGTCAATGTACCCAACGATCGCCTTGGTGCGCTTTAAGATTCAAGACAACCTCCATGAACGTTGCGCCTGCTACATGGGGTAAGCATGCAAAGCGTCGGATGTGTGCGTGTGTTTTCGCCGTTTTGAGCGACAGAGGCACTATCAATGTTCCAGGCCGAAAAGTCAATGTACCCAACGATCGCCTTGGTGCGCTTTAAGATTCAAGACAACCTCCATGAACGTTGCGCCTGCTACATGGGGTAAGCATGCAAAGCGTCGGATGTGTGCGTGTGTTTTCGCCGTTTTGAGCGACAGAGGCACTATCAATGTTCCAGGCCGAAAAGTCAATGTACCCAACGATCGCCTTGGTGCGCTTTAAGATTCAAGACAACCTCCATGAACGTTGCGCCTGCTACATGGGGTAAGCATGCAAAGCATGCATGACTAGGTGTGATGAGGACGAAGAGGGGGGAGAACATAGCCACAACTCGTCTTTGACAACGCAAACGCAGCAGCGCAGAGAGCACGGGCTTCGCGCTGACCAGCTCGAACCCGTCTCCTGACGACTTTAGACTTTTGGAGGTATATGGTATCATTAGACGGTTCACAACTCGACACCGGCCGACGAGCGCCACCGCGGGTGCCGCGGGGATCAATGTCGTCACAGTCCCTTGGAACGATTCCGCGGGCTGCTACATTAGTCGAAGTTGAGGCGAAAGGTCGGCGCGGGAAGCTGACATCTCTACGAGCTCTACACGGGATTCCGAGAGCAGTGAGACCCTTGCGGTAACTGTCGCCATCACGTCTGGTTTGCAAGCGCACCTTGGCGAAGCTTTCTCAAACCATCGGGATCCGGAATCTCGCACTTTGTTAGCGCTCGGTAGGAAAGCAAGGGTGTGGGGAGTGACCATCAATGCTACGCGCATGTCTAAATGCTTTGAACTTATCGGTTTAGATTCCCTCGCGTCGCGCATCCGCTGTGCAGCACACCCACAGCACGGCGTGGCATCAACGTTGAGGGTGTTCCGTTTCGTGGACCTTGGAGTAGCATGACCCCGTTCACAACGACGGCAGCTAACCCGCAAGCAGTCATTTTCAAGCAACGCGCTCCGGCGAAGAACTGAGTCGACAGTCCGTCATCGGCACATCAAGCAGCATAAGGCCGTGGAACAATAACATGCCCTTCCCACTCTTCTCGACTGTGCAAGCGCTTGGTAATCGGTCTTCCGCCTCTCCTCCACTTCACCCCATCGGGAGTCGGGGACTCCTTTGGCCCCCAATCATTGTGAGGCTTTGAATGGTCAGTCGTGGAAATAGACTATCCCAGCACCGACCAACATTGCCGTGCCGTTTCCGAAATGTCCGAACGGCGAGCTGAAGCGGCATTACCGCAGCACTACCGCACCAGGTTCAAAAGAAAACCTCCACAATGTGGGGATGGGAATACACGGCACTTGCGTCATGGAAGGGCAATAACAACGGATATAAACACTTGGGTCTTGGCGGCTTTTTCGGAAGGCAAGTGTACTTGTTCTTGTTTAGCTCATCCAGACTTTGCCAGAAAACTAAAGCCTAATCGAAATACCTTTATTCATTGGCTGAGATATTAGACATCTTTGAGCAACCTTGAAACTCTCCTCGGACCCGAATCCGACACGGCCGGCTATTCTCCAAAAAAAGTCCAATATCAGAATGTCGTCGAGTAGTAACAATTCGGCCCCGGTCTCGGCCGCGACGAAGCTGAGGCGGCGTCTCAACGAGACGGACGACCTGATCCTCCTGCCGGGCGTCTACGATGGCTTCAGCGCCAGAATCGCGCTCGAAGTCGGGTTTGATGGGCTCTACATGGTACGGTTCACTAATCTCCGCCTCACTTGCACTTCAACACGACTCTGGTTCACCCACTCACCTTCGCCGAACTAACACGCAACCAGACCGGCGCAGGAACCTCCGCCTCTAGACTCGGTCAACCCGACCTCGGCTTCGCGACCCTGGACGACATGCGCTCCCACGCCGAGATGCTCGCCAACCTCGACCCGTCTGTCCCCTTGGTCGCCGACGCCGACACGGGCTACGGCGGCCCCAACATGGTCGCCCGCACCGTGACGCAGTACGCTCGCAGTGGCGTCGCCGGCCTGCACATCGAGGACCAGATCCAGACGAAGCGCTGCGGCCACCTCACGGGCAAGCTGGTCGTTGACGTCGATACCTTTGTCTCGCGCATCCGCGCTGCGACGCTGGCCCGCCAGAAGATTGGCTCCGACATCGTCGTCATCGCGCGGACGGACGCCATCCAGACGCATGGTTTCGACGAAGCGATGGTCAGACTGAAAGCTGCCGTCGCCGCGGGCGCCGACGTCGCTTTCCTCGAGGGCGTGACGTCCGCTGAGGAGGCCAAGAAGGCGTGCGAGGCCCTGAAGCCGACACCAGTGTTGCTTAACATGGTTGAGCACGGTGCCACGCCGTCGTGGACGGCGGCCGAGGCCAAGGCGCTGGGATACCGGATGATGATCGTGCCGTTCGCGGCCATCGCGCCGGCATACGAGGCCATTCGCGACTCGCTGGTAAAGCTCAAGGAGACAGGTAAGGTCGGGACGAAATCCGACTTCTCGCCGAGGAAGCTGTTTAGTATCGTCGGCTTGCAGGAGGCTATGGACTTTGACGCTGCGGCGGGTGGGAGCTCGTATAGCAAGGTGTGAAGCTGCTGTGCCAGATCCAGTTCCGAGTTCCACGCGCGGTAGAAACAACGAGATGAAGGATAACAGAACGTTGTCCCAAATTCCTGCTTGTTTTAGGCTTTCGTGAGGTTGACAACATCCGTCCGGCGCAATGTTTATGTTAGGCTTTTGTGAGACAAACCACAATCGTCCGGAGCAAAAGAGAGTTGCACAAGGGCAAACTCAAAGTCTCGAAGCAAGGATAGGCCGCATACTTTGACGACATCGATATATCACCTCTCCAAGTCGCTAGTTGGATTTGCCAAAAGTACGCGCCTTTCCCATGCTGTTCCCCGGTTCTCGCTGCGGGAAGCATCCTTCTCGATGTCCCAAGATCAGACTTTGCTTTCCCGTTTTGTCACAGGTAACAAATCATTTGCTGACTTACGCCCAATCCCTTTTCGAACCATCCCTTGGGCCTGAGTCTCTTGAGTTGTCCGCAGCCGCCGTTTCAAGGCTCAAAAGTAGACCGGTGCCTGATAACACTGCCCAACTAAGTCGGGAAAGTCGGTGTTTTTGCCGAAGATGTCTTACGGTCTTAAGAGAGGTTAGTCACATATATCAGCTTGCTTTTCGTCTGACCGTCTAGCAGCCTGTCAGCGTTCGTCCTCAGTCACAACGAATACCCCTTTATACAACGGGCCAAGCCTCCACTCAACTCAAGTAACGGACAGCGCATCAAATAGTACTCAAGAAGCATTGTAGGAATAACAATCCCCGTCTGTCTCCTCCTGAAGCATTAACGTGAGATATGATGCAGCTTCAAGCTTAGCAGGCCTCTCCACTATAGACCACCAGCGGAAGTGGACAGCCTCGGAATGTACTGTGACTGGTGAGCAGCGACGCAACGATGCAGCACATTCCCCAACGCACTTCCCTCCAATCACGTCTGAATGGTAGAAAAGCCTTCATCTGAACCGGATCTATTGCCATAAAGTCTTTTCGTATTGGTACATGCAATTACACGCCCTTTACAAGGCACCGAGCTCCTTGAGCTTCGCAACGAGGCCGTCGACGTCCTCGACCTTGCCACCGCCCTGGCGCACGGGAGGCTCTGTAGGCAAGGGTCAGCAAACGCTTCTTCGCCAGTCCAGCTTTTGCCAATGCAACCCCCTGGCATGGAGGACGATGCGGAATCAATCATGCGCGACTCACCGGTAACCTTCAGCACCTTCAACCGCTTCTCGACTCCAATGCCGTAGTCGGCCAGCTTCTTCTTCTCGAGCGGCTTCTTCTTGGCCTTCATGATATTCGGCAGACTCGCGTACCGCGGCTCGTTGAGTCTCAGGTCCGTCGTGATGACCATCGGCAGCTTTCCCTTGACCGTCTCGACGCCGCCGTCAACTTCGCGCGTGACGCTGACGCTGTCCCCCTCGCCAAACTCGACGACGCTCGCCGACGTCGCCTGCGACCAGCCCAAAAGGCCGGCCAGCATCTGGCCCGTCTGGTTCGCGTCGTCGTCGATGCTCTGCTTGCCGAGGATGACGAGGTTGCTCTTGTGCTCCTCGGCGGCCTTGCGCAGCAGCTTCGCCACGCTCAGCGGCTCGAGGTCGTCGCCCTCCTTGGTCTCGACGTGGATCGCGCGGTCGGCGCCCATGGCCATGGCGGTCCGCAGCACATCGACAGCCTTGGGGGGGCCCGCCGAGATGACAGTGATATCCTCGACACCGCCGGGCGCGCGCTTCTTCTCGCGGATGCGGACCGACTCCTCGACCGAGAGCTCGTCAAAGGGGTTCATCGAGTGCTTGACGCCGGCCGTTTCGACGCCCGTCTGGGCCTTGTTGACGCGGGGCTTGACCTGTTGTTGGGTTTCGGCTTCCCGTCAGCTACGCCGATCACAAGCCAATGGTGCTCGGGGAGGGAGGGATGGGCGTAAAGCTCTGCGTCGCACTGGAACGACGTACAGCATAGTCAATGACCCGCTTCACGGGCACGAGGATTCTAAGGGCGGACATGGTGAGCTCGCTGCTGCTTCAATGGCCCGGTGTTGATGTGCGGAGGGGTTCCTTTGGGAATTCGGGAATTGGGAATTTGGAGGTCTTTCTCAAAGTCGGGTCCGTGTCGTCACTGGGGAAAATGGGACCTCCGTACGCTATAGCGATACCGGCTAACCTCGGGTCATCGCCCCACCTTAAACCCTTTTCGGTCATTCAAAGAGACGCCGACTTGCCTGCACATATTCCCGATGCTTGGGCGGCGCCAGCGTCCGACGGCATTTCGGCTTCCACACTACCAAAGCTACCTTGTTTGCAATGATGTTTAGCATGGTAGTCTCGCACGGAACCAACAGCCATGGACAATTACCCAACGGTCACCGTGCAACATAACAACATCTATGCCCAAACAAGTGAAAATGCAGCTCAAAATTGATATTCTACCACATGCAGGCCTGCCAAAGCACGACAAACACTCACTCAACCCGGCTCTGTTCTCTAATCACCAACAAACGCCCCTCACGCTCACCAGTCATCCCAGCCCTCGTTGTCTTTCTTCGCCGCAGGTGCCGCAGCACCGCCCGTCTTGCCGCCCTTGCCCATAGCAGCGGTTCCGATCGAGCTGCTGCTGTTCCCCTGCCTCTGGTCCGCAAGGCTACTGAAACTGTCCCAGAAGTCCTTCTTGCTCTCATCCAGCGGCGCCTGCCTCGACGCGCCACCGTGACCGGCGCTGCCGTTGTTGGGCCCGCCCTCGACAAACCGGTTGAAACCCTCCTGGGCGTTGCGAGCGCTCTGCTGAGCGACGCGCTGCGCTTGCTTCGCAAAGTCGGACTCGGCCAGCTGTTCAAGGAGGTCGCCTGATTAGCCCAGAGTTCCTCGTCCGGACCGGCGCGGGCGGAGATAGAATAGAAGGATCACCCACCTGTTTCGCTGTGGGCTGAATGTAGCCATCGTTGACCGTTTTGGCCGTCTTGGACACTGTGCTTGTGAACCAGCCAAAGCCCTTGGTCAGAGCGGCCACCGGGTCCTTTTGTAGATCGTCGACGGTCGGGATGCCGCCGTCCTTCTTCTCGGGCATAGGGCTGCTGCCGAAGCCCGCGTATTTGCCTCCCTGGCTGGGCGGCAAGTCATCAGGCCGAGAGGCATTCTCGGCACCGAGCTTGGAAAAATACTTGTCGTCAACCTTGACCTTACGGCCGGGGCTGGCTGAGCGGCTGTTCGTGCTGCCCAGCGGCGTACCCGTCCGGCTGACAGGCTTCGGTGCCGCTGCTGGCGTAGGCTTCTTCTCGCCCGGAACGTACTCCTTGCCCTCGACCTTGGCCGAGAGCCTGTCTTTCCATTCCTCGCCCACCTCGCCGCTGTATCGCTCCGCAATTGTCGCGTCGTCCCACGAAATGCCCCTCATCTTGGTGTCCTCGTGCTGCTCGAAAAAGTTTCGCCAGTTCTCGTTGCCGCCGAGGCGCATCCGCTCGATCTCGACCTGCTTGAATGCGTCCATCGAGATGCTGCGTACGAAGGAAATGTGCACACCGAGACCGCGGTGGACGCCGGCGCATGACAGGCAGATGAAGACGCCGAACTTGGGGGAAGCCCATTGCGGGGATGGGGCGTTGCAGTCGCAGCAGACGTTGTTCTTGGCCTCCTTTTGGATCGCGGCCAGCTGGAAGGCGAAGGGGGGTTAGCGGAGGGCCACGCGGTCGCAACGAGCCGTATGACGTTCAGAAAGAACTCACCTTGGCGCGCGTCTCGGGATCAACCTCCCACATGGCCTTGGAAGCCATTGTGGGAAGTGTTCAGTCGGGTAATGAGCGAAAGGTGTCTGGCGGTAGAGGGTAAATCGAGGTATGTTGGAGGTTGTCGCAGCGAGAAACTGTGGAGGGGCTTTCCTGATGCCGATAAGGGGGTTTGCTGGCTCCAGACCAGGGTGCGGGAGTCTGGGCGTCTGGGCCTGCACGCTTGCCCTGCTCTGGATCTAGTGTATTTGATTTTCTTGGGCCGACGTGGACACGCTGGCTACTAGATCGCTTTCAGACTGTCGTGCCTAGATTTGTACAGTCCTGTGAAGGATTCCTCAGATGGAGGAAATGCATTCAACAATTGGAACATCAAGACAAGAGTTACAGCAATAGATCCGCCAGGTATGGCTCAGATACAGGGGACAGCAGCATTTCATGGGGTTATGTTGGAGACTTGGGCATGACACACGAGGTCTAGACTACGTTTTGGTACACTTGGCTTTTGGGGCTATCGTGCCATCGACCAATGGCCTTTCTCCAACCGTAGATATGCACCACTGAAACCGACCACACTCCCACTGAATAACAAGGTGGGCAAGCATGCCAGCCATACCCAAGGAACTCGATACCTTTTTTGTTTGCATGGTCATTATGCGCAAAGTGGCAGTCTAACGTTCAGACGGTTGCTGCGAACCGGAACCACATCACAAAACCTTAATCACGATTTGCGACCGAGACAGTCAGAACAAGTTCTTCCTTTTTTTTTTTTCTTGGTGTTGCACCGCCTTTCATTCTTAACTGCAAAAAGCTACCCGATTTTATTCGTTTTTGCGCCAAACTTTTCCTCTTCCTTCCAGACCGCCTCCAGCTAAAGCTATTGTACAACCCAGCATCGGGTGACGGAGAAAATGGAGGTTAGGTAACAAATACAGAGGTGGCCGGTAAGATCATGTGTATTAGTTTAGGGATGATGGCAGCCCTGAACACCTTGTTTGCCCAATCTACCGAGAACGAGTCTGGTCAGAAGGCAGACGTAGATGTAATTGGCCACCTGTCTTGGGGGCACTTCCAAAAAAAAATTGAAATCGTCGTAACGGGTACCGCATCATGAAGCTCGTAAAGGCAGTATCTCCGAATGTTGGCTCAGAGACACATTGCCGGGGCTGTAGGTTGGTCGCCTACATTTAGGCGGTGGTGGCAGGGGCAGCAGGGGTGGCATCCGCAGTAGCAGCGGGAGCAGCCGCATCCTCCGTGGCACCGGTGCCGTTGGCCTTGGTCTCCTCCTGAGTCTCCTCCTTGGGGGCGTTGGCCTCCTCGTCGGTCTTGTCAGGGCTGTCGATGGCGACCTTGACAGCGATCTCACGGCCCTCAATCTCCTTGCCGTTCATCTCGGAAACGGCCTTTTGCTGGAGCTCCTCGGAAGCGAGGGTAACGAAGCCGAAGCCACGGCCCTTGCGGGGCTCACCGCGGGCCTGGAGCTTCTTGATCATGAAGCGGGGGATGGGGCGCAGAGCGATCTTGGCGGAAGAAGGCTCGTAGGCGGCGAAAAGCTCCTTGAGCTGTTGGGATGTGTCAGCGTGTGGTCACGTACAACGCACGAAGCGAGTAACTAACCTTCTCCTCGGTCAGGTCGTACGGCAGGTTGGCGACCATGACCTTGGTCTTGGAGGCAATGCCATCAGCAGGGGGGCCACGCTCGCGGCGCTCGCGGGGAGCACGAGCCTGGCCAGGCTTCTCGGCATCGCTCTTGGCGTCCTTGTTGGTGGCGTCGGTCAGAGGAAGAACCTCAGAGGTGGCCGGGGCACCAGCAGGAACCTCAGCAGCACCCTCAACAGCGGCGCCGTCCTCCTGCAGAATGTCAGTAGTTATCCAGCGATTTGAATGGGGAATTGACTCACGCGGCCACCGCGAGCACCACGTCCACCGCGGCCACGGCCACGTCCACGGCCACGGCCAGAGGCGCGGCGGCGGTTACCTTCGCCAGCACCCTCACCGTTGGCACCCTCGGTCTTCTCGCCAGCGGGCTCAGGCTTGCGGGCAAGCTGAACCGAGACCTTACGCTCGAGAATCTCCTTGCCGGAAAGCTCAGAGATGGCGCGCTCGGCCTCAGAAGGAGTGGAGAGGTCGACGAAGGCGTAGCCAACCGGGCGGTCGGTGCGAGGGTTCTTGGGAATGGAGACGGATTCGCTGTGGAAAAGGCGGGTCAGTATGAGCTGGCATGCGTGACGCAGGCGGGTGGGAATTTGCGGGGCTGGTGAAGGGAGGAGAGGCCACGCTGCAACATCGTGACAATAGAATGAGGCGGTCTAGGCAGCGAGTGCAGCGGACAACAACATGCTGAACTCGACGCCGACGCGATACATTTGAGACGAAGCGATCGAGCAGGCAATGGTATGATGCCACAGACTGTGCTCGATAGCCCATTGTGGGGAAAAGCTCTCTGGGAAAGGTGCAGCATAGCCCCAGATCAAGCTTCCGGTAGAAGGTGCAGGGGGGGTGCCAAACAACGGTGGATAGAGATGACGATGAGAGTCGCGCAAACTTACACAAGGTAACCCTTGAAGAACTCCTTCAACTCCCCCTCCGTTGTCGCGTAGGCCAGGTTGCCGATGTAGAGACGACGGCCCTCAGCAGCGCTTGCGAGGACGGCATCGTTGTTGGCGGCAGGCTTGTCGGCGGCCTTGTCGGAGATAGTGGCATTGCTCAGAGCATTGGTAACGTCATTGACGGCTTCGGAAACCTTCTCGACGACAGCAGACATTTTGGCGGTATTGGTCTGGTGGATGGAGATGGAGGCTTGGGTGGTTTTGGCTGCGTTCCGGTGGAAATGCGTGATAACAGATGACGTGCGAACTTGGACCCGGTGACAGGAACGAAGATTCGGATTGAAGTAGAATGGAAGTTCGGTGAAGTTGAACTCTGAAACAATGAGGGGGAATTTTCTCAGGGTAGCTTGGTGCCCTAGAAAGCTTGAAAAAAATTGACAGACGACGTTGCGTTGCGCGGTGACACAGGATCTTGAAGTTGTGATGTGGAGGGAAAGGAGAGAGGAAAGGGATGGCTCGAGCCGCGCGACCTCAAATACAAATATTTTTTTTCTCTTGGTGAGCAAGGGGGACCAACGGACGAGGGTAAGCGAGGCGCAAACCCACCGAACAGCAGGCGCGGCCCACGTTCTGGGGACCTTGGGATGGCAAGAGCGGGCTGCTGGCTGCTGTGGCGGTGCGAAAGGACGAGGGTGCGGGTGGGTACTTGCCTATTGTGTCTGCAGCAACCGTACAGGGGTTTGGGGGTTTGAGTGGAAAGGAGGAGAAGGGGGAAGGCACGAATGGAAATGATGGCCAGCCAGCGTAGGCAGCTTTCCACGTCCGCTCGCCGGATGACGAAATGGCCCTGTTGTTCTGTCGTGATTACCATATATTAATCAACACAATGACGGCATGTAGACAAGATGTGTCTGGCTCTGATTGCAATGGTCTCAGTTTTCTTCGTGATTTCGTTCACACCTAATATGGTACGTTCTGTACCGTTGCAAAACATCCTCTGCATCCGATGGTTGATGTATGTTGCCTCCTGCCACACATCTATTGATGAACCCCCTGAGGTTGGGGGTGGCAGACAAGGCCACTTTGGGATGAAAGGCGGTCACGTAGTGACCCAGTGGGAGAAGGTGCCGCGCTGCGTATCCCCGGGAGGCAAGGGCGATAGAATGCCATCCAGAACGGACCCGCCCGATAGTGTTGGACATGGCAGGTACATGAAAGGCAAGCCACAAGCACGGACATTTGGTGATGGGACACACGATACCCCTGCAAGTGAAGAGAACACAGTACTTCGTCCAGCAGTGGCAGGGGGGAGGCTTCTTCATTGCTTCTTCTCCCATGCCTTTTTCGAACATTACATTTGGCCTTGTCAGCCACATCATCAACAACAACAGCAGCAGCACGCGGTTGTTACTCTCTAAAATAACTTCCTGTGCGCTGCTCAATCGTCAACAAGACATGCAACTCGTACGGGAAGAGACCTGTGTGATCTGCCTAGGCGGCGGCAACGGCATCAGCCTATCAGTGGAATGATATGACTCTTCCCCCGCAAATTGGTCGCGATGGGATCCCAGGCAAGCCAGGCCTGATGCGGTGTCCACCCGTTGATGTGCGTGTTCGTGGAGCCACCGCCAACCGGGAATGCGACAGAGATCTCGGCAGCTACGGTCTGTCCACCTCACCTGAGGCGTGCAGAACTTTGCGGTCGCTGCGTCTATTTGAAGGCCCGGGGCTCTTTACTCGGCATTTAGCATTTCCAGCGCGAACAAACCTCTTCCGATCTCTCATATCTCAACTACGGTTGATAAAATGCATCAATCATCGAAAGCTTCCCTTCTAAGACCCCGCCATGGTCGGATGTGCTAGACCATGCTGTGATGTCGTCCTCTTCTATTGTGTCCGGCGCTTGTGAATTTGACATACGTTACACCCAGTAGTTAGTTATTCTTGCACAGAAGCCGCGGGCCCGACCTGGCTTGACCCTTTTTGACTTCTCAGTGGACGCCGGCCTCGTCTATGGCGAAGCAACCTCAATCCGGAAGCTGGTTCTCGATTTCCCATCGGCCAATTTTTTCCAATGAACCGTTTCTCAATTTCTCTATCCAGGGATATGGTCCGGATCGCTCAAACCGTTCGCGAAATGAGCCAAACACAATACCTCGTGTCTGCCCTTTCTACAGTACGCATCCCCCCCCCCCCCCCCCCCCCCCCGTTCAACATCAGGACCGCTTGTTGTTACTCTCCCGCCGATGGTCACGAGAGACATGCGCCGGAGATTTAAATCCAAGGGTCCACCGGGCAGACGTCCACCGATTGAGTTAGGTCTCACCCTACTTACAATAGGTGCCAACGCAGTCTGGCTCCCCGGGTTGCCCGCTTCCTGCAGTAGCTTGCTGGTCAAGCCGTCTGATTTGCTGCAACAAGACCAGACAAGGCAAAACACCTGGCTGTGTGACAACACATCAGCCATCCTCATCCAGCCACAGCCATGAGAGGAGGGTACAAAAGCAAACTCGATGGCTGGACAGGCCGGCCGTCGGGATGGCACGGGCGGATGCCCATTTGGGCCGAGTACGGGTAAATCGACATAGGCGAATTGGTATTTCGACATATCTAACCCCTTTCGGCAAGAAAATCCACTGCCACAGCCACACAGTGAGACTGCCACCAAATTCGAATGTACCTCCATTTTGAGGTACAAGGCAGGGGGTCGCGTTGTTATGAAATGCATAGTTAGCAGTCCGCCATTCGTGTCAAAACGCAGGTTTTCAGGGCAAAGTTGCATTTTTGGGGATATCGTTGAATGTAGGGCAAAACGCGATTAATTAAAGCCTATGGCTGCGATTGAGGCCACATCTGTTGCTGCCATGATTGCCACTGCTGCTGATAGGGTATACGCTGAGGAGTCTGGGGTTGGCTGGCAGTGTGTAGAGGAGGCAGTTGATAGGGAAACTGTTGTTGGCTGGCGAATGGCTGGGGGGTCAGTTGGTTCGTAAACTGCTGCGGCTGCCGGGCCCCGAAGTCTGCCAGCGCCCGCCGCCGCTGCTCAAGGCTAGCTTCTTCGGCTGCAATCTGCTGCCCCTCTTGAAAAGCCACCTTATTGTAGAGCTGACTAACTTGGGCCTGAAGGGTAGTAAGTTGTTGTTGTATCTGTTGCTGTTGCTGTTGTTGTTGCTGTAGTTGCTGTTGCTGTTGTGACCGCGATATCCGACTACTTCTGGCTGACGTGGCCTGACTGGCTATAGTAGAGGACCTTGCCCTACTTGACTGTGACGAGGCAGGTGTATCTAACCTTTCTTATGCAGAGGGCTCTTGTTGAGTATCATGGAGGTTAACGATTGGCTTGGCTTTTTTGTTGGGTAATTGTATAGGCTGTGGGAAGTTGTGACGGCGGCGGACCACATCGGGATCAAGTTCAAGGGTCCGATTCCTGAGGGCGACAAGCTCAGGCTGGAGATATCAGCAAAAAGCAGTCCAGGTTTTAGAACAGTACTCACGTTAGTCTTATCTAGCCACCAGTGGCAGTTGACGTCGTTTCGCGTAAGCACCTTATTGTTATTGTAACTCTGGAGGCGGCGGAGTATCTTGTGGCGGTAAGGTAGGCCCTACTGCTTTGTAAAGCTGCTTGTACATAAAGGTAGACTTTTGTGTTGCTTAAAGGCCTTGTAGGCAGGTATATACTGCTCGTATAGTAAGTTAAGTGCCTGAAAAGATATTTTATAAGTAAGGTCCCTTAGTAAGGGATATTGTTGTGTTTTTTTGCGGCAACGGCGGTGCTTATATTTAAATTGGGTATTGTATTTTTTTTGCTTCTTGTTAACTATCTCTAATATCTTTTTGTGGAGGGTATATAGGTCAGATAAGCGATGGAGAAGGTATGACTTTAGCTTGTGGTGGCTGCTCTCGGTGAGCGAAGTTGCTTTGATATTATAGTTGCGGAGTTGTTTGATCTTGAAGGCAGCGAATTGCGGGTAAACAGGCATATAGGTAGTTCGGAGATACTAAAGAATTGCTGGATAGGTCAGCAAAAGTTGCGAAAAGGTGAACTGACTTACTGGGTTGGTCCGCGAATTGATGTTGCAGAGAATCCCACGCCTTTCAAAACGCGGCTTCTGTTGGCGCGTAAATAACTGCCTTCCACGCGGCAAGAAGCCCATTGGTATCGTGGGTGTAGGTTACCTCATCAGAGGCAGCAGGCGCGTTGTTGGTGTTGTTATTTTCAGATTTGGTATGTTGGAAAACTTGGGTTGCGATTTTTTTGCTGTGGACCTCGGCTAAATCTTCTGGCAAACTGTTCTTATCTTCAGCATTGTTCAGATCGTTAGCATCTTGAGCAGCAGCTAACCCCCCCTTAAGTGGACCATTCTACTTCTTGTTGATGTGCAATACTGCGTTTTTTAGTATATGCTAAACACAAAGTTGCTGTGCTGCTGTTGGCAGGATTGATTGAGCTGCGTTTTTTAAGGCCTTGTCGAAGTCGGTGATGATAATGGTAGGATGGGGTATTTTCTCCTTTGCTAATAGTGCTTGTAGCTGAAGCAATACCCATTCGAAGGTATCCTCATCTTTGCTAGATACGAGGTAAAAGTAGGCGTTAAAGGTGGTATGTATAGCAGTAGTGCCAACAACTTGGAAAAGGGGCATTTGAAAGCGGTTAACCTTGGTAGAAAAAAAGGTCAGTAGTAATAATGGCAACAGTAATAACAGTAACGGCAATAACTAACCTTATAGGTATTATTTATCATCAATAACCCAGGATATTGCCGCTATAACTCAAGGCAAGAGTTATACGTCCAAAAAACACTGTTTATTTTGCTGCTTTTGCTATGGCGAATAGTAAAAAAGGGGATATTTTCGCTTGACTTCAGTACGTCAAGGAAGAGTTGGGTTGAGGTTAGCGGGCCGTATTTCTCGTTGCGAAGCTTCCTTTGGAGATTTCTAACGTCTTGGGCAGTAACCATTATCTTATCCTGCTTGCGGAGCTGACTTGCGATATCCCGTGACTTCATACGCGCTTTCGAGAGCTGCTCGACGCGCTTAATTGCTGATGGCTTTTTTGCCTTGATATCTCTAGATGCTGCCTCGAACGCATCCTCTGCCTGGCTCAGATTTCGAAAGGCGGAAACAGCCATCAGATTACTCGACTGAACAGGATCGTGGTTATGGGTATCATGGCCAGGAAGGACCTCCCAGATCCATTCTTCAGTCTCAGGCAGGAATCGAATCTTGCCAGCGAAAGGGCAGCCACAGAGCTTGCTGCTTGTTTTCCTCGTCTGCGCCCTTGTTGTGTACTTTCCTGCGCGATCGCATACAATATCAACACGTTGCCTGCTTTGGTGTGATTGCCTTTTAATAAGGGCAATACCCTCATCGCGATACCGCTGGCGCACGCGAAGGTAACACTCGTCAAACGTTGTGGCTTTGATCGTTGACATCGTTGGATTAGGGGTTGATGAGCGATTTGCGAATCTAAGGGCCAAAAACAAGGGTATCTGCATCAGCAAGCAATGCGTCAGTGTTTTCCTTTAGCATAGGCTAGTCAGCTTACTGGCCAACACTGCTAGGCGCGCTGGCGTGGGTGCTGACCCCAACAACCGAAATTAATTTGGCTGGGCCGCCAGCGAAAAATATTGTACCTTTGCGAAAGGGTACTTCGAGTAGCAGGGCCCAAGGTGGCTGCGTGGCGAAGCTGCCGAAAAGGGTTAGATATGTCGAAATACCAATTCGCCTATGTCGATTTACCCGTACTCATTTGGGCCCCGTCCTCCGTCCCCGGTACACGCCGTCCTTCCGTATCAAAGATATGGGACCGCGGAAAGCTGCTTTGGCGTCCGAAATTGGATCAGAATTGATACAATTTCCCATGGCCCACTGGATTTCGCGGAGCGCATGAAGCCTTTGGGGAGGGCCCCTAGCGAGCCACGCTAAAGCTCCCAGGGTCTCAACGGCGCCATACAGGGGGCAGCACCGCAAAAAGAAGGGACGAGAGTAGGAGTCCCCCCTTCTCCCAACTCCTATCGTTCATCCTGTTGTCTGTTGTCCAAAATTCTTTGTCAAGGCTCACGCTTTATCTATGCGGTCAACAACGCCAATCAGCAAAAAGGGGGATTACATATCGCAATTACTGATCCATGGGCAATCTCCCCATTCTGTGGCCGCCGTGCAAAATCCACTCTTGAGCAATAGCGCAGATGCTGTTCGGCCATCGTAGCTGTGAAAGCCACTTCACCTGCCTACCACTTTGGACCTCGCGTGTCCACGAGTCTCATAAGAAGGGGAATGCAGCTATGTCGGCGCTCTAAGGGTGAGGCGACGACCTGAGTCGCGAAGCTCTCCGCCAACTTCGCCTTACCTGTCCCTGCGCGCTAAGGGAGCCTCAATCTTCTCCACAGTAGCTTCTTCAGAACGGGGCGCTGTCACTCGCCTTGCGTTGAGGTGACACCAGCGCCGGCCTCCCGTATCCGTAGTGGTTGCAGCCCAGCTCGCCCAGCCATCGACTATGTAACTCATATGCATGACCCAGCACGCCGCGTCTTCTGGTGGCTCCATCTCCCCATTGCCGCCCTAATCCAAACATGATTAGGTACTGACTGAGTCCCGGCGGCTTGGCCTGCGTATCTTCGATACGATTCTACTCGGGGACTGTGGCGCACATTGACCTCCGGATCTCGGGAGTGATCCATGCCTGTGGCTGGACGTCACACAGACAATTCGTACCGCCATTCTGCATGCCCCAAGCAACAGGCATTCTATGACGCCTCGAGATTCACTTCTTAGTTTATATCGTTTGATTTAATGTATGTTTTTGCTCGTGTTATCTTTTTTTAGCCCAACTCGATGTTTAGGTCGCACATCAGACTATGTGACAACACGTGACTCTCTGGAGGGCATTTGCATCTCCGCCGAATGGCTCCCCGCGGCTCCGATGCCGCTTGGGAGGCAAAGAAAATTCCATCTCCGAGAAGCTGCACCACTGCGCTAACAGACCCCGGGACCGCAATTCATGAGAGTCACCACTCTACAGGCGACACTCGACCTCTACCGGCATTGCATCAGCACTAAAACACACCATCTTGCCGCCTTGATTTTTGAAGACTTGACAGTGAAGAAGGATACCCCGCTTATGAACGAAAGTTCAACTTGAAGAGACTGGACAGGAAGATGGCAACCGCAGAGATCGGCCCCGAGCCGGCGCGGGTGGCCGATTTGCCCGGCCGGTCCATGCTGATCCTCTACGGCTCGGAGACCGGTAACAGCCAGGACATTGCCGAGGAGATCGGCCGCAACGCCCAGCGACTGCACTTCAAAACCAGGGTCGACGAGATGAACGGCGCTCAACTGGTGAGCTACCTTGACCCCGATTCCCTCGGCACCTTGACTTTGGCGGATTGGCATGGAGAGTTTGCGTGCTTGTGGCTCTTGCGACCGCACAACCAACCTAGCGTTTAAAGGCCGAACAAAATATTGACTTGCTCGCCCCCCTAGAGCACACTTCTGCAATATACTCTTGTCGTCTTCGTCATATCGACGACTGGCCAGGGTGACATGCCCCGCAACTCCGGCACCTTCTGGAAGAGCCTCTTGAGGAAGAAGCTGCCCCCGGGATGTCTCGGTGCTGTCAGGTTCACAACGTTTGGGCTTGGCGACAGCATGTATATCAAGTATGTTGACCCTCACCGGTGCCTGTTTTCTCCGTGTTCGAAGAATACGGTAGTCCTACGTTCTCTCCATGGTCTGACATTGGCAACAGGTTTAACTGGGCTGCAAGGAAGCTCCATAAGCGGCTGGAGCAGCTAGGTGCCGTGGAGTTTTATCCTCGGGGGAAGCCGACGAGCAGGACTCGGATGGGTGAGTTTTTACTGTTTTATTGCTGTCAGGTTGTTTGTCTTTGTTCAGTCTGCCAAGTGGCAATGGTACTGATTGCAATTGCGTGTGACCCTTCGCCTGGCCCCTGGACTTATACTGGTTCGTCGCCATATCTTTGCTGTATGTGTTGGATCGAACCATCGGTTCCTGTAGACGTGCTTCGCATCTCCCCCGCGTCTTTGTGCTTGGCACGCCCGCGGGGCGCTTTTGCTACCCAGATGGTATCCCTGATCAACGATCTGGTGTTTGTTCGGATTGCATCCCCAGTCAAGCATCAATGGCCAACATCCAAGCTATCACTACAATCCGTTACCAGGACTGCTGGAATCGTCTCGTCCCGCTCATGCTTCTGTCCCCGTGCGGACGGATATCCCCCTTGGAGCATTATAGTCGGAACTACCTGGCATCATTGAAGCCCTAGCATATTGCTCCTAGAAAATGAGCTGAGCTATCAGAAGTTGAAATGAAACGAGCTTGTAGTCTACACGTCTCGCGCCCAAGTGGAAAGAAACGCTCTTCTCTTCATGCTTCTTCGTCGCTCTCGAGTTCTTACCCTTTTAACTCGGTTCTTCTTGCAAGCAAACTACCTGGATTGGCTGCCGCTGTTACTCTGCTTCGTCAACACGGGTTCTACCATGGCATTGGCCGCATTAAGACCTTTCCGCGAACGCTACTAACATACCTCCAGCGTAGACGAAAGATATATGCCATGGGCGGCAGACTTGCGCAAGAAACTGCTGGATCTGTACCCCCTGCCCGAGGGACTCGCCCCTATCCCAGACGACGCCTTACTACCACCCAGATACACCGTTACACTTGCATCAAGCCTGGACACACCGCAGAGCCAGAACCAAGATCAGAGTATCGGAGGTTATACGAACGGTCATGCCGTAGGACCTGCAGCCCAAGAAGCTCAACCCAAAGATACCCAAACGACGACCGCAGTCGAGGATTTGATCCAGAAAACAACCTCGATTACAATCACCGAAGACCCTCCACGAACAAACGGGGCCAAAATCCCGTCCCAACAACCACCTGGAGCCGGGCAGCCGTCGGAGACCCTCCTCCCCATCCCGGGGGCCAAGACGCCTCTCTCGAGCTCAACGAGCGGGTAACCCCTGAAACCCACTTCCAGGACGTCCGCCTCGTCCGTCTCGCCATCGACCCGGTCCCCAACGGACCGCCCACGATACACCCCTTTGACAGCCTGACGATTTACCCTAAGAACTTCCCGCAAGACGTCCAGAAGCTCATAGACCTCATGGACTGGTCCGCAATCGCAGACCTACCGCTTTCCTTCACGCCTGCCTCCTCTTCCCCCCCCTCTTCAGGACAGCCGTCTCTCCCTCGCGGCCTCCACATCGACCCCTGCCGCCCGACGACGCTCCGTGACCTGCTCACCCATAACCTCGACATCACCTGCACCCCGCGCCGCAGCTTCCTTAAGGACATGTCCTACTTCTCCTCGGACGAGTACCACCGCCAGCGCCTCCTCGAGTTCACCATGCGCGAGTACACGGACGAGTTCTTCGACTACACCACGCGGCCCCGCCGCACCATCCTCGAGGTCCTCGACGAGTTCACCTCGGTCCGGATCCCGCTCGCCCACGTCCTCGACATGTTCCCCGTCATGCGCGGCCGCGACTTCAGCATCGCCAGCGTGGCCCGCAGGCCCTCGGGCTCGCCTACGTCTCCTGACCCGTCTTCGCCGGCACCGGCACCGGCACCAGCAGCGACGAAAACAAGCGTGACCCTCCTCATAGCCCTCGTCAAGTACAAGACGATCCTCCGCAAGATCCGCCAGGGCCTCTGCTCGCGCTACCTCGAATCCCTCACCCGCCCCGGCACGCCCCTCCGCGTCACCCTGAACCGCAGCTCCGCCTCCCTCCACGGGCCGACCCACGCCCGCCGGCCCCTGTGCGCCGTCGCCACCGGCACCGGCGTCGCGCCCCTCCGCCTCTTCGTCGAGGAGCGCCTCTCCCACGCCTCGTCGGGGGCCGCCCCCGTCGGCGACACGGCCGTGTTCTTCGGGAACCGCAGCCGGGACGCGGATTTTCACTTCCGCGACGTGTGGGAGGATCTCAAGACGCGGTACGCCGCCGCCGACTCCGCGAAGACGCAGGATCCGGCCGCAACGGGCGGTCGCTTCGACGTCCACACGGCCTTCTCCCGCGACCCCTCCGCCCCGCGGCAGTACGTGCAGGACGTGATCCGGCAGCACCCGTCGACGATCCGCGCCATGGCCGCCTCGGACGCCATCTTTGTCGTCTGCGGCGGCAGCCTGAAGATGTCGCGCGCCGTCAAGGAGGCCGTCAAGGACTGCCTGCGGGGGGACGCCAAAGCCTACCCCGACGACGCGGCGGTGGAGGCTGCGTTTGCGAGGTTGACGTGGTGGGAGGAGATTTGGTGAGCCGGGGGGGGGGGGGGGGGGGGGGGGGGGGGGGGGGGCTGTTGGGGAGAGTTGGAGATGCGCTGCTTTGGGCGCAGCAGGCCTGGAGGGAGCCGGAGGAGAGGGTCTTGGATGGGATGTGATGGCGAGGACGACGATGTCTTTTGCGGCATCGGCGAAGCTCCATACAAGATTGGAGGTTTTGTTGGGACGGCCCGCTGGATAGGATAGACTTGAATGGAGGCGTCATGACATAAAGACACTGTGGACCGGATGCCCACCACCAGGACCGGGCATGGTGATCAATGTTGAATCACGGACGAAGCGGGACCCTTGTGTTGTCTTTAACGGATTTGTCTCTTCTCTATAGAGGAGTTGTGATGGTCTTAGCCTCACGATATGTGATAACATGTACACATGATGATAGTTCCGGGAAGTCCACCCGCCGGCCCCACCCACCGTCTCGTCCATCGGTACCTAGATACCGCCTCCCAAGATGTTCCAAATAGCTTCCTCCTGTACGAGGCCCAAGGCTTCCCCATCTTGATTCTCGTCGCCCCTGTGTTCGTTCTTGTCTTTGATATTCGAAAACATTGCTCCGGCAAAAAAGCCACCGCCCAACGACAAAAGAAAAGATTCAGGTCCCATTTTGTAAAAAGATGCCCAGACGCCCAAAAGGTTTGTTCGCTGATGTCTCCCAGCCCATGTTTGGGGTTGCCCATTTGTCCCAAACTCCGTCGCTTTTTGATCTGTATGGCTGAGAAAGAAAACAAGGTTGAAAAGAAAAAGAAAAAGGCAAGAAACGAAAGTGAAAATAGTGTGTTGCCCGCTCTTCTGCGCAGTCAGACATTATAAGTGGTATCGTATCGATGAATGTCAAATGGTTAGATGGAAGGACTTTGCCGTCTTCAGTTCTCCCAGCTGTAACGCCGTTCCGCCGGTTGAGGAATGTGGATGAACTCGGAGCCGTCGAGGCGGTGAAGGCTTCGCAAGGAGTCCGACTCGACATCCTGGCTCCTGGCCTCCTCTCGGAGGCTCGCCTGCCTAGTCAGCTCTTGCGCCATCAGCTCCTCCTCGAACTCGGTCCAGTTGCTTCCCAGGGTGTCGGTTGAAATTCGATTCGCGGCCAGGACCTCGGGAATCGCTGCGACAACGGGGCTCACTTGGGGACGCACCAGCGGAGCAGGAATCGCTGGGGGCCCCGGCAAGGGGATGTTTTCCGGCAAGGGACCCAAGCAAATCACGTTGGTGAATTCAATTGGCGTCCTGTGGTGAATCGGAAGAGGAGAGGTGGGTAGAGAGGCAGGTGGAATAGACGCCGGCGTGTTGGAGTAGTTTGAAGCGCTTGGTATAAAGGCCTCGCTTTCAGGAGACACTGGCTGAACCATGGCGTTCCCGGGGATGTTGTGCGTGAAAACTGGTGAGTGGGAGGACGGGCCCTCCGTCAACGGGGACGGGAGATCCGACGTGCGGTTTGTCCATTCTCCTCCGCGCGGGCTCATTGGCGATGGTAGCGAGCCCCGGGTCGATGACGGGTTGTCACGGTATGTGGGAGACGATGGAGAGAACGACGATGTCGGTGATGAAAACGGCAGCGACCCAAACTCTTCGGGTCTAAAGGTGGCCACAGGACTCATGTCCTGCATCGACTTCTCTGCGGGTGGGATGTCTGCGGGGTTTTCGGGAGGGGTATACGCCGGCGCAGGGCTCTGGAGCCGAATTTCCACGTTTCTTCTTGCCAGCTCGTACGCTTCGAAGGGATTGGTGTCATCCGTCCCGAATCCTCTATGCTCAATGACCGACTTGCCGTCGTCGCAGTCCATTTCGGCTGGAACTACCGGTACCGGCAGTTCATATACGGCGTGGTTGGCGTCGGCCCCCACTTCAGCAGGATGGGAAGTGCTTCCCATGATCTCATGTGCGGAGCCTCTTTTGGCCTTCTTCTTGCCAAGGAGTTTGGTGAACACCTTGGCCACCGGGCTCCTTGATGGTTCTGGCATGATCGAGGAGGCGGCGTCCTTTCCGTCCTCCAATGCTCTGATCGCTGCCCTCGACTTCTTGTGGCGGCGATAAAGGTACCAGCACACGAGCATGACCACGCAGGCCGCAATCACCCCCCCCGCAATGCCACCCATCTGCGCCGTTGAGAGGCCATCATGCGAGTTTAATTGAGCCGGTGGCGGAAAGGGGCTGTTGCTGGGCTGCACAATGTTCTTTAGCTGCAGGGAGTGCAGCGGTGCATCCGGGAAGAGGGCCTGGTGGAGGGAGAAGACGCCACTATCGTATTTGGTGATCAAGTAGGCTTCCTGAAGGAACGATCTCCCAATGATAAAGGTGTCCGTCAAGTTGGATGCTCGTCGCAGAGGAAAGTAGGGAACGGCGGGTTCGCCGTATTGGATCGTCTCGCTCTGGAACGGGTACCGCAGGACCTGAGCGAAGGCTGCGGCAGTAATGGTGATATTGACGACGCCGGGAACCGTGAGTGGATGGCCGAAGTCGTCGCTGTTGTCGTGGCTGCTAAAAGAGAAGGTGAACGAGTAGGATGACGAGCCCGACTTGAAGTCGGCGTACTGGTCATTAGTGACTGTGTAGAGATTAAATGTGCTGTTGTAAGTCAGGTTGAAGGCTTGGGCGAACTGGTCGCAAACGACGTCCGGCAGCCAAAGATAGGGAGTCGAGCTGTCGATCATGGCAGTGAAGGAGGTTGACATGTTGGACAGGATCTGGGTGCTGATGTTCCAACCATCCGGTAGCGGCTTGTTCTGACCGGTGGATACTTGAATGCCGCGGACGAGGGCGTGAGGTAGTCCATCGCTGGGATCCAAGGTGAACTCGTTGTTGTGATCGATAAACCGGCTCGCATCGTAGCCTCCTAGTGTTACAGAACACGGCGTGCCAGCGGCGCCCACTGCATACAGTCAGATCAGATATTGGGCGAGGACGACTTCCGCACTCACTGTAGTAGGCTCCAGCAGTGAAACCATAGCTGTAGCTGGGAATCCAACCGTAACTCTTGACGGCTTGCGAGAGGGGCGACTCGGCAACCTGGTTGCCGAAGCTGCCTTTGGTGACGCCGAGGCCGAGATATCCAAGATAGTAGTCGGTGCTGTTGAGTGACGCAGTGATGATGTTGTCCATGCGCATTCCATCGCCCGTCAATAGAGTGGTCGAGAGCGTGTCCAACCCATAGTCACCATTTCCACCGTAGCCGAGGTATTCCAGGCCCAGCTGCCATGCGCCCAAAGGGTTCCAGGTTTTGGAGTCGGCAATGCTGAACACGTTACCTCTGGCACTGGTGCATAGCAGTTCGTCTTGTTGTATGTCAGCAAGAGCGTTCCGGCCGCAGCGCGCAGATCGGCATATAAACGCCGCCGGGGGATGGTGGGGAGGAGAACTTACTTGCAAGGCAGCCGCCGGCCCCAATGGCCCAGAATTCGGACAGAGACGTGCTCGGGAGAACGTTGACGGTCTGCCCGGGCGTGCCGACTTGGAGTCTGATTGTTGACCAGTTTCCATCGACACCGTACCTTGGAACGGTTAGGATGAGAAGCGCATGCTAAGCTCGAGCGGCACATACCAGTCATTGGAAGGAGTGAGAGCCATGGCGGATTGGCTCTGCGCGGCGGCGATGCCGGCAAGCACCATTGTAACGAGAGTGGTTGATAGCATGTCGTCGATGTCGAGGCGGAACCCGACCTGTGGCTCATTCAAGGTGCGCCGAGTCACCACGTCGTCTCTGCGATTTGCATGAGCGTCCCGGAGGAAGGCTGGCCGTGCGAAGGTGCGTCTCCATCAACGGAATCGATTGTCAAATCCGTCTACACAATGCGCTTTGTATACGCCGATTTCCTGTCCTAGTGCCCCACGGGTTGGCAGAGCGAAAGAGCAGGTCGAATTGGGTGATGGAAGGCCGTGAAGGAGCAAAATAAAGAAAACTCAAAATTGGAGCAGATGCGGAGGGGGGAAACGTGCAATTGAAGACTTGCGGGATGATCAACAGGAAAACTCACTTCTGCCATTGAATCGAGTGGGTGGCAGCGGAAGTAAGATAGCGTCCATGCCATGGCTATCCAGGGCAAGGACGGGCACAAGAGCCAACTCTGAACAAGGGCTGTGCCGCTCTCAGCGTGCCGAAGCAAGGGAAGGCCGGGGGTGGTCGAATGGCACGACGGGGGAGTGAGACAAGGACCAGGGCGCCGTCCAGCACCGGTCTGGTGGTCCTCCTCGTCTCCGTCGACATACCTTCTTGGGAAAGCTGGGGGCCGGGGTACAAAGCAGCGCAGCCCATGTTCAGTCGTCCCCTGTCTTGTTATCGACATACAGTGCTTTTGCCCGCTTCTGGTCAAGTGCGGCGGAGCAGCGACAAGCCACCCTTTTCAGCATGGCGCTGTCGCCGTCCCCTCCCTCGCGCCTCGTCGGCAACCATGTGTCCGCCCCCAAACGACCAAGGCGCTGCTGAGAGGAGGGAGGAGAGGGGGGTGATGTTGACGGCCTATGCAGGTTTGCTGCCATTGAGGGGGTTTTGATATTGACGATTGGGTTTTGTGCCGGCAAACATGGTGGTGGTAAGATAGTGGTACTACTGTTGAAGGGAGCACGGGGAGAGGTTCTGTTCCTCCCTGGACAGAAAGACTCGAGTTAGACGCGATAGACGAGGGCAGCGGCGGGACCTCATCCACAGCTGTAGATGACCCCCAAGTGGAATCGACAAGGGACTCGACGTAGTGACGGCGCTGTTTGCGCTCCAACTTGGCGCGCCTCTCGTCTGTTTGCGATGAGACAACTCTTGGCAGCAGGAGGACCGATCCAGCCCACGGGTCGTGAGGTGGCATTTTCTTCTTTTCCTTCCCCGTCTTTTTTTTTTTTTTTTTTTTGGTTTGGGCCATTGGCATAGCCGGACGCTCAGCTGGCACCAGCTGCCAAAGACTGTCGTAGCCGCCTAGAGATGGTTTGATGTGAGGTAGAGTTTGTAGGTCGTGTACGATGAGTTGAAGCGGCAGGAACCCGCCATCCCGCCAGCTGGGTCGCGCTTGGGCAATGGAACGCCTGGGCCTCCTTTGTCTGTGCGGTCGACTCTCACTGCTCCGTCGCATTCCAAGGGGCAGTCGGAGTCGGGACGGCCGACAGACTTGCAGGCCAAGACAGACACTAGATGAGTCGATGGATGATGGGGGGCCATGTTGAACTTTTGTTGCGTGTCCAGCTCTTTCGCCAAGACGGCCGATGCCTCGAAGTCGATGGCGTGCACCTCGCGGTCCTGAACAATCCCATTCCGGCGGGTGTTTTTTGGGACAGTGTGGCTGGTTATGGAATGCCATTGCAGACTGTTCCTTGCCAAAGGGCCATCGCGCCAAGGCTGCGGAAGCCGCGCAAGCGAGGCAATCTACATACTACTTGGAGCGCGACGAAATGGGAACTGTATCAAATGGAGCTGGTGGTGAGAAGCGTGGAAGACCCCGGTCTCTCGTGCCGGACTAGTCTCCGGTAAGGATCCTGAGAGGCCTCTACTGTACCTGTACACTACTAGGTATGTACTATGGTAGACGCATGCATACTGTAGTGGATGAATAAGAGAGAGCATGGCAAGGCATTGGGCATGACTTGGGATGCCTGTCAAGCCGACTTCCAGAAGCACTTGCCGTACACTACTATGTACCTCAGATGGGCAGGAACGAGACTCGAACCTTGGCCATTGGTTGACCCGTGCGCCATGCTGTACCGTACACACATAACCTGGTCTGTAACTACCGCATTAATCTATCACCAGTTGGCCGGAGTCTCCGTCTCCCAACTCCTTCCTCCTGCATATTGCTCACCCATCTTCAGTCAGCCTAATGGCAGATCGTTGTCTCTCTCGTCTCCGTCTCCCTCAATCCTCCTCCAAGTGACGCTCACGATAAACCGGAATGACCGCCATCGGTCTACAATTCACCCCTGTGCCAAGTAGAACTGGATGCAACCAAGTCTCCCCGTCACCCAGATCTCCAAACCCTCCCCCCCCCCTCCCCAGCCGATTGGCCTAGAGACTGGGCATGCAGGTCGCGACCACGGCCACGCACACGGCCTCACGACGTAGCAGCAAACGCACATCAAGGTCCCGCAGAAGCCGTTGGCCTCGACCCCAATGCAACGTGGGCCACTGGACGGATCCTCAGCGTCGAGTCCCTCTGCGCATACTGCATTCATCGTTGATCGTCAACAACCAACCCCACAGCTGAACGAAGACCCTGCGCCTTACCACCCAGGCCGTATACCCGCCGCCAAGGTTGCCTCTACTCAGGGTTCACTTCCCTCTTCCGTACAGCCTCGGAGCTCATAGTCGAGAGTCGGCCGTACTTCTCCAATTCGTTCCATCCGTGCCCCGTGTCTTGTACGACCAGCTCTGATAGCTCCCGCTCAGACATGCCTATAGGCATGCCGCCATCGCAGCCACGGCTACCGCCTCTACGATAAGCTTGCCCTTCTCTCCGTTGACAGTGACGGTGCCTGGCCGTTCCCGTCCACCGGATCAATGCCGGAATGTGGACGCTCGCTTTGACCCGCCACGCCTTAGCCCCACAACCTGTCGGTGGCTTCCAACCTGGACTACACTACACTGGACATCGGCTTCTTCGGGGCTCAGCTCAGAGGGTACCTAAATTGAGCTATAACAGCAGCTATAGCTCACGACCGATCGGCATGCCAAAGAAGTAGCAACAAAACAAAGTTTTCCTCTCAATCCATCGACCTCAATCAACCTGACACGCCCCATCAGCCTGGCCAGGCACAGCATCGCATGCACAACCCAGCGGCGTGGACGGCACTAGAATAAGACAAGCGGGACAGGCTGGTCGAGACTCGAGACTCGAGAGCAGCGGCACGCTGGGCAGCGCAAGTATTCCACCCTCCTTCGACCCGGAGAATGCGTCTTCCCGACATGCCCTCGCTTGCCGATCTTATTGATTGGGGCCTGCGCGCTGTCAATAATGCTGGTTTGCGACAGCAGCAGTGGATGACTTCCAACTGTGAGAGTGTGGGATGGAACTGCTAACAATAAGCATGCATTGCCAACACAGAGAGACACCGTCGAGCCGTCGATGAGGTTCCGGTCGGCACTGAATCATTGCCTCAAGCCAGTCGTCAGTGCGTGGACATTGGAGATGGTCATGGCCGCCGACTTCGTGCCGACTCGTAACATTGCCATGGCTTGGCGTTTTCTCATCGTTTAGAGGTGCCTTGGTTGGTCGCAACGTCTTGTTTTCCCAGTCAACTGAGGCGATTACGGCTCAAAAAACGAAGTCCTATCATCGTGTTGCCATGGTCTGATGTCGGTCGTCACCGACACTTGATGTATGCAAGTCGGAAATGGCGAAGAGCTCTCAGACTCCTACAATGCCCGCAACATCCTCATCCCCCACGTGCGCCGGTACGCTAGACGTGGCGGCCGACCACGGACGCATCATTTGTCATTTTGCGAGAAAATATTCGGGCGGTACTCGCCAAATCTCGCTGCAAATGCCGGGCGGGGAAGGTACGCTAGGCCCGTCTTGACAGTCCTGGGCTGCCCCTGTTCATCCACCACGCCAAAAGGCTGACCAATGTCGATGCATCAAGGCCTTGGTATATCTTTTGCATCTGAATCAACACGCCGTACTGGTGGAAAGTCAACCGCTTGGCACGGTGAGGTGTCCTGCTCGTCAGCTTGTGCACGCCATCTTTTCGTCAGCCCTACGCCGTACATTGTCAAACTACGTGTGTCTCGATGGCGTTTGTGGTTTGTGGCATTTGCTAGAATTTCTACCTCGGAATGCAACATGGAAGTCCACCGTTTCGGGACTTTGTCCTAGCACCGAACATACCACAACGGTTATTTGGGCGCCGCCGATGACAGATACATCTAGGTAGGCTGCCCTCTAGGTTGGATGGTCCTCAGGCACCAAGCTCATCGAGCCCTGCGTGTATGTCCTAGACATTTCACACACATCATGTCTTTGGATGCCCATTTTCCGGACCCACGGTGGTTGCACCCGTGTGCACTAGACTTTGTTGAAAGCGGGCCACAGGAAACTGTCTCAGCAATGCTCCCGTCATCGTCGGCACATGTCTGAAGTAGGAGCGGGAGGTAGTAGTGCAGCTAGCTGCGGACCTAGAATATAGCTCGTCGATTTAGGTACTAGGCTAGAAACGCACCGAGAACCCGTGTTTCCTGGGGGGATCGTCCCGAGATATGGCAAGCCGTCGATCAGTGCTCACCTTCCGGGCACAATGTACTTACTTTATCCCTCGTGCGGGTCAGCATCCGAACAGTTCTGAGAAATGCCGGCTGCTTGTTGTCGATAGCTTTCGTCAACGCGAAGTAGGATGTCACCGATGTTTGACGAATTTGCCTTGGCTGAGCTCATCTTCAACATGGGCCGGCTTGTCTGAGACCCCTTTCGGCTTAATAGTTAGCATCCTTTGAGATCTTCGCAGCTAGGCAAGTATAGGTTGCAACACGTTGTATCGCTCGAACAATGGCCTCTCTCGGGACTTACCGGCCCCCCTCCTTCGCATCTGCACGCCCTCGTCTTCCATTCGAAGCCACCGGGTCTAAATAGGACGCGTCCTTTTCACAGACCATGACTGGAGGCCGAGCCTGCAACTATGAATCCTCCGCTGCGACTCTAACAGTACCCCGAGGCTCGCAACGACGCAGCACCAGCTAGAGCTCCGATGCACTCTGTCGCGTCGGTCCCTTGTCCTTGAAAAGCAGCCCTTGGTGCTTACTACGACGCTACAGACCCAAGTGAGGCAATTCTCGGTTGAGGACAAGAAGGTTCGAGCGAACAATCCGAGCCGTACATCGAGGTGCAGTGGTCCAAAAACCAGCAGTGTACGGAACCCCCCTTGTTCGCTCTGGCTGTGGGCGGCGTTACGTTTCATCGACCGTTTTCCTCCTTTCTGCGGGCCCATCGAAGCTCCCGTTTTCACCCTACGTTATGAACGTTGCAATTTTGCGATGATTTTGGGCGTTGCAATTGACCGCCCGGGACTCACAGCTTTGTGGATGTTGTCGCGAAGGTTCTCACATTGCGTGGTGCGCTGAATGTCGAAGCGGGCAAGGATGTGCGGGAGATGGACAACGTGGGATCCGGGTCGACATGTCGACATGAAACTCGTTAACTTTGCGCTGCTGTTCCTGGTAATGTTCTCGAACACGGTCCATGCGACTTTTACAGGTGCGATGGTCTCCTCTAGAAGAAGCCTTACAAGACATTTGAGGATTGACGAGTAGCAGCGGGCCGCATTCCACGCGCTCCGAGACAGGTTGTCGTGTTCAACAACAGCACATCAGCATCGACGTCGGCAAGCGTCCCGTTGCAAGGTATCTCTTCGTCTGCAGTATCATACACGCAGGAGGCGACGACTCCAGCCAGCTTAACTACGTCCAAAAGTCTTACAACTCCATCTCCCAGCCAGCGATCGACACTCCCAGGATCCCAGGTTCTAGAAGAGAGCCTATCAGTGACAGGAGAGCCAGGAACAGCCGGTTCGCGCTCGGGGACATCAGACGAAACCAGTTCGCAGATCGCGGGCACTGAAAATGCAGCAAGGTCAGTCATTGCATGGCCTAGAACACGGCCGTCGTAGTCACGTCAGAACTTACAGAATCAAATTCAGTGGAATCTCCACGTCTATTGAAGTCTTGACTTCCCTGAACAACTTAACACCAGCCTCTACGGCAACGAGTTTCAATGTCTCAGCCTCAAGTGTCCCAACCCGAACGGCGGCCACAACGTCTCTATCGGCAACATCTTGGAGTATCAAATCGGCTGTTTCTAAAGGCAATGTCTCAATATCCGCGTCACCCAGCGGTAATTACAGCAGGGTTCTAACCAGCGTACCTGGCTCAGTCGAGGGAAGCGGCGATTTTATGACATTAACACTTACCGCAAAGGAAGGGTTTGAGCCAGACCTTGCTTGCATTTCAACCACAGACGGTGCAATCCCTACGACATGGTCTATCGTATACACATCGACGACGACATTCGTCGGAGACCCAGTAGAGTACATCCCGCCCGAGCCGGACATCACAATCCCGATTACCTGCAGCCCTTTGGCCCTGGGAACAGGCAAAGGGGAGTCGGCAGCGCCCGAGGCTGTAAGTTGTTCTTTGGTGGATGGTTTAGAGACATGTACGACTCTCGAGCCTCAGCCGTCCATCATGCGGACTCTGGCGCCCACGTTCAGTTCGTCAAAGGTGCGCCCCGAGACGACTTTCACGTTTGTCACGACGGCCAAGAATCCGTCCGTCATCTTTTCGCCCGTCAGCACTCCCCGGTACGGTCATGACTCTGAGACCAAGGCCCTGCAGGACAAACAAACTGCCGCGGAGCCCACCGCCAAGCCTCAGCCGTCCAACGACCAGAGGCCAACGAACCCACCTGGCTGGCCACGTGAAAGCGCCAAGGAGCCACCAAAGGCCACTTACAAGGTTACCGTGGCGCCGACCACGGTCATTATCAATGACCAAACGTTCAAGCAGGAGAACCCATCCGAGACCAAGCGGGTGACGGTGAGCGGCGCCGAATTCGTAATCAACCCGAGCGAGGTCCTCGGTGGAGGGACGGTCATAGACCGGCCTGGCAACGTTGGTCGCAGCACCATGGTCCCTTCCAGCACCGAGGTGGGAGGGTTGCCGGTGGTGGTCGCACCCGCAGGGACGCAGGACGTGGTCGTGGTCGGCGGCACGACGCTTCAGGTGCAGGCCACCCCGGTGACGATCGTGGTTCGAGGCCAGAAAGTCACAGTCCAGCCCTCAGCAATCGTTTTTCCGAGACAAACCGTATCGATCAGCCGCACCTCTCCAGCGCAGACAGAGATTGTCGTGGCCGGCGGCGAGATGGTCTCTGCCATTGGGCCGTCGGTCGTGGTCATCCGGTCGACGACCTTTACGTACGGCTTGGTTTCATCTACAATCACAAAGGTGGTGGACGATGATACTATTTTGATCGGGCCCTCAGGGGTCTCTGTGCGAAACGTCACCGTCGGCGGGCCCAATGCGAAGACGTCCGACTCGGCGTACGAGATCGTGGGCGGCGCGACGGTGACGCAGGCGGGCGCCTCGGTGGTGGTCGTGGACGGCACGAGCTTCACAGTCGGACCGGGGCGAGGGATCACGACAAAGGTCTTTGGCGGCGAGTCCATCACGATTGGGCCGTCCGGCGTCGTGATCTCGACCCTCACGCTTGCGTACCCGTTTGGGCCGACGGTGATTACGAGCGTCGACATCGACGTAGCAACGACGGCAGCGGCCCCGTCGCCGGTGCCGTCCGTGACGAAGAAGAAGAACGGTGGTGCGGCCGCCAGGCACGCGACGTCAAACGCAGGGATCCATTTTGGTTTCTGCATAGCGATCTGCGCCTGGGTCCTGGGGCGCATGGTTTGAGACACGCAAGGGACATGACATGCGCGCGTAAGGGCAAAGGCGTTCGACGGGCTTCTCTCCTTCGGTGACGGAACACACCAAGTGCTTCCATGCAGCAGGTAGGGCGCAAACAAGGCAGGGCAATACTGTTTTGGAATATGGGGCTCTGTAATGGCGGGAAGGGCTTAAGTCGTCGACATGGGAAGGGGAAAGAGGCTATTGATGTGTAACGCGATACCCAAGAGGGCCAAAGCAAACCGGGGGTCCCACCCGGAACGTGGGGGTGGTTGGTTCAACGGGACCCTCCTGGACTCCATGGCGAACCGTATTTCTATTAAAACTACTCTAGTACTATGGTACTAGGTGTGCAAACATAGCTCATGCTGCTATCAGGGCCCCCAGCAGAGGGGGCCCATGGAGCGAGGCTCTTAAGACCAGGCACATATACACCACGGCCATCTGCGGGTTACAGACCTTTGACCTTTGCCGGTGGGGGGGACTAGCTGTCCGTCGGCACCGACTGGCCGCAGCAGGCAGACCGGGTGCCGACGGATCCAAGAAATAGAAAAAAAAATGACGCGCATTGCATCTCTCGCCTAGCCTGTCAGATGCCGATCCAAAGTGTTCTAGAAAAAGGGGCGCCGTCGATGTAATTGGCGAGCGCGACCCGACTAGGCGAGCGGCTGAGGGCGGTTTGGGGCTGGAGGCGAGCAGAAGTTCAGATGATACACTTGCACGAGTCGAGGCCTTGAACACGCTCAGGAACGGTACGGTGCGAAACTAGCCGAGGAGAAGTTGGAGACACTCGGGTGACGAGACAATATACCGCTTACTGCTGGGCTGGGCTTTGATACTATCGTGGCAGGTCTCACGTGCTCAACCAAGAGAACCTTAATTACTGCTGTTCCTTTGACTTGGTCTATCTTTTGATATTTCTCTCATCTTCCGGGGGACCTTGGCTTGGACCTGTTGATACTTCACGACCGCGAGGCTCTATGGTGCCATTTGGCGCGTCTCTTTCGTCTTTCCGTCGCCCTGGCGGGAAGAGCGTGGAGGGGTAATGAGGGGTTTGCACAGGGTCCGCATTCGCACATGGGGGCCCCTACGTCACGGTTCCCTGATCTCGGGGAGGACGAAGGTGGTCCGTCGACCCCTGGGTTCCTCGTCGGTGTGGAGACACCCCAGCGTGGTGTACTATGTGCGCGCGCCACACGCACGCACAGGACAGAGCAGGCAGCGCAGCCCAGGCTGGGCTGCGCTTCCCATTCCCAGCCTTGGCGGCGTGCAGCCGATATGGGGCCCGGCACACGGGTCGCTATCGACTGGGGGGGGGGGGGGGGGGATGAATACGCGAGTGTTATCCCGCGACCCTCTCGTTTGTCGCTCCCCGCGGTGGCCGCAGCGGGTGCCCGTGAAAGAAGGCCGAAATCGCCGTGGCCCGCGCCCTCGCGGCGTCTTGGCCCGCGCGGGAGGGCACAATCTATGCACGACCCGGTTTCGAACGCCAAGGGCCGCCGTGGAAGGGCAAACCATGCCCGCGCTGCTACGCGTTTCTGTCTGGTGAGGGTTCTCATGTATATGGAGGTCCACGCCTCGGCATCTTCAGCCCTGTGGTCCTGTACGCGCGCGCGCGTGTGCATGTGTATGTGTTCTCGACTTCACCCGCAATCTGGGAGCGTGAATGTTTCCCATTTCCCTTGAAAGTTCCCCTGACGATCCTTCCTTATGGGGCAAAGAAGGTTCGGGCGGTCGACGGGGGCATGAGACGGGTAGTGAGGCCGATTATGGCTTGATTAATTTGCTCGCAGACGGCAGAATGAAGGGTGTCATTGGTGGTCGCTGCAGGTCCAGAACGTCTCCACGCGGCGGAATAGCAAAGCCGAGAGGGTGTATAGAATTAGAGTTGCTTGAGTCACCGACGTATGGTCATCGCCATATACCTCTCCGACTAGTCACCTATCAACGGCTTCGAAATCAGATGGTGCTCCTTGTTCACTATGTCCCCGACGTGATAGCGAACTCTAGTCTGAAGGCACGTGTCTCTGAAAAAAAGGGAGGCCGGGCTGCAAGTAGAATGAGACGCGTACACGGCGGATAAGCCGTTGTATTGCCACGCCAGTTGCCTGGCGGGAGGCTCGGACGGAGTGGTTCGCGGATCGGAGTGACGGATGCTCCGATTCGGCGTCACCCCCGTGGTTGGAATGGCAAGGCGGATCACATTGCTGACGTGCCCGGGCCGGTCTCTGGAATGGACGTGTTCGTGTTCGCGCGAGATGCCAGCCCTACGGCCGATCTTGGGTTGTTGAGATACTCGCGGCATCTGCGGCCTAGAGCTTGCGATCGCCATCGTATGTCTCATGGAAGCATGCTGGCGTTGTATCTGACTGGTAACAAAGTGATCGTGAGTCTCGGGGCTCGCCGTGTGGAATGTTGGGGGTGGGGGAACAAGCTGAAGGGCTGGAGGGCTTTGGTGGCTTGCTTTTTGTGCGGGATGCTGAGTTGAACAGGAATGTCGAAAGACGACTGTTTTGGGTTAAAGAACTCAAGGTGACGGTTTAAGGATATTAGGCATGTGAAGAGCGTCATGGGCGTATCATGGTTGATGTTTGTTGGCTTGCTGAAGTGAGACGGTATTCGGGGAGGATCTCCATGATGTGGAGGAAGACTTTAGAGACATCAGCGAGCTCGTCATTGAGTAACAAACAAAAACAAAAGAGGTCACGCTTCGCCAGCTGCTGTCCTATCCGTAATACTCTCTTCACTCACTTTTGCTATTCAGATGTACACAAGCTCATAGAGGACTCTCTAAAACCGTTAATGGTATTTGTCTTACTATCCAGAAGGTGTCTTGCGATAGCTTGCCATCGACCTATTGTGTTTGAAAGCAATACATTCTTTCGTCGACCCTTGGGCTGGGTACTCCGAAACTGGTAGTTCTGGTCCGTTGGATCTACTTCTGCCACGGATTTATGTGGTGTTTTGACACCTCGCGACCATCAAGCACTCTCGTCTGCCTTACTAATCCCAAACCACTAGTGAACGGCCCTCATCCCAGAGCTTCCGAGCACTGAAGGACACAGATTAGTACTATCAGAGTGATTTCACGGCTATGGAACTGCTTATAATGAGATGCAATTTACTGGCAATGAGTCGACCAGGCCAAGAGATGGGAGACCGTGAGAGGTCAGGCCGTGTCGGTGTACTCTGCCAGCCGGCTTTCTGCCTGGTCTAGTCGACACCAGTGACTGGTACAGAGTGTGCCGCAATCGGTTGTGCAGATAAGAGAGTTCCGATTCTATAGATGACTATTTGGTTGGCCTCTAGCTGCCGTCTGGACCCTACCCTCCATCAATCTCGGGCTCGCCGAGTTGGTTGGACTCACCCAAGTCCGTTGGATGGATGTCTCCGTCATCATGGCGGATTACGAGGCCGGATGCTTATGGTCACGCCTTGGGGCCGCATTCTGAATCTTAAAGTCCTTGACAGAGTGTCTATCGGCCGGAAAATCTTGGGGCAAGTTTCCGCGTCGATTTGAACCAGTCAAGACGCGCTCTGTTCGAGATACCCGTCCCAGACGAAGAAAAGTCGCCGATTACAACTGTTCCTGTGTGACTGAAGCGGGCAACGGACTGTCAATAAAGCTTCTGGATCTGCGTTGCATTTTTCGTATCAGCAGCTTCACGGTAACCAGGGAAAAGGGCAATTAGATCAGCAACCACGTGTTCCGTTGTGGAAAAATTCATCGTTCACTCTTGATAGAGACAAGAGACCTAGAAGCGAGGTAAGGTTGGCTCACAGTGTGATATTCCCGACCATGTGTAAGTTCCACCGACGGTGGGAACAAGCGTCTACATTTTCATTACAAATGTAGACCGCCTGAGCATCGCTTTCCTTGTGCAACCGTGCCCTCCACCTGTCCTGTCAGTTGTACCCACCACTAGGAGATTTAGAGATGCCGTTGACTTCCTCAGCCAGGCTAAGAGGGTGATGTGAAGGATTCGCTAGGTAGGAGAATCTTGTCATTGACGCAAGACAGATGGCTCATTCCTGGGTTATTTGACACTGATATCGATGATTGTCGAGAAGAATGCAAACCCTGAGTCCGGCGGTGGTTTGCCCTTCGCCAGAGATCTCGCGATGCCTATCGGAAGAGGTCAAGGGCAATGGCCAAGGAGGCAATATCGAACGATGATGAGACTGCCTGATCTTACAATCCATCCCCGGGACTCAGTGCCTTCTGGTATACATGCCCTTTTAAAATGGACCCATTACTCAAATCGTGCCTGTTCTTCCACTTTGACAAACAGTGTTGCCTGTTGCGCGAAAAGTGAAATTGCTCAGAATGGACCTCTATAATAACCAACGACTCGATGAGTTCCATGCCGGATGGTCCTCACACATGTCCACTTCACCCCAAACTTGCAGTCCAAGCCCACAGCATCGCCAGGGTACGGCCTGGCAACATACAACAACCCTTGTACTCGTTGATGCTGTCTGGATAATGAGAACAGAATGCCCGAATTACGGTTTCGAGCACACACGTTTGGGGGGTGATTTCCATATTTCAAGCACCATATGAAAGTCACCCCTGATATACGAATTTTTCTCTTTGGGGTATTTGCTCATTGTGACCTTGAGAAACTTCACCTGACACATCTTACGCAGGTCGATGGAGTCGCTGTCTCTTTCCTAATCGTTGAGGCGGCTTGGTAGGGAGAGATCACGAGCAGATAGCAGGTATTGCTAGGTAGCTCCTATCTCATTCAACCATTGAAGGTCCGAGGCTGGCAATATTCACATTAGCCGTATTGGTACCAGCAAAAGACGCTACGATCACGGTCACATTACTAGAATTAAAGCCCGCTGCATGTCATTGGTATCGCTCAATAACTATATGTTTTGTAAGGCTCGCAATAAACTTTTACCTATGGCAAGGAGCCTTGACGAGGGCAAGCAAAATTGGAATTCCGCTTGCGACGAAGTATAATCAGAAGCATTAACTGCAGCAAAGCAGAGGAAACGAAACATATCGGACCATAGCAACCACACGGAACCAAGAACAGCGCAGCAACCAAGCACACTCTCTCACATCTTGCCTTTGCCCTTGCCCCTAGTCTCCAACATGGGAAACTCTTCAGGCTGTATGCCAAGACCCGTTTGGTCGTTGACAGTAGCTTCCTGAAGGCTAAGCTTCAACGCCAACTCCAGATCATCATCTCTGGGCGTAGCGTGACTAGCAGATCCGGCACTGCTAAGCCTCAGAGCCAGTTCGAGGTCGTCGTCTCTCGGCGTGGCTCTACTGGAGGAACCAGCCTTGGAAGCTGCAACCGGCATATAGCTTGCGGACGGCGATGTGGAGGGCGATCTTCTAGTCTTCTTTGACGGCTTTGGCTTGTACTTGATGGCAAAGTCGAAGTCACCAGAACTGTTCTTGCGCGGTGACTGCTCCACATCATTGGTGGCCTCCATTAAGGAGAGGCGAAGCGCTTGCTGAAGTTGCTGCTCGTACTCGTCCTCTTCTTCGACAACGGGAGGGGGCGGAGTGAAGCCAGTGACGCTAGGCTCCGGGGTGATTGTGTCCACGGTGCTCTCGCTGAAGGAGGAAGCGGTATCGAAGCTGGCCTCGGCGGCTGAACCAGTGTCACTGGCACTGGTGCGACGTTGCTCCTCAAGCAGAAGGGTCTCCTGTGAAATCATCTCTGCGTACTGGAGTGCCTCCTCTTCGGTCAAATCGCCAAAGGCGCCAACGCCGAATCTGTTGCGCAGCCATGCATCTTCCCGAACCTTCTGTTCTTCTTCACGGCGTAGCTCCGCAGTTTCGGCAGCTATATACCCTGAGACGTTGCCTCCCTGTCGACGAGTGGCCAGTCTGCCGTGGACATCAGCATGTCGAAGGCGACGTTTGCGGCCCGGCGGTTGGCTGGTTGCGCTATAGGCCCAGTAGCGAAGGAAGGCACCAAAAGATGTGATACCGCGCAGCACGGTAGGATCAGGGTCGAGATAGATGGCCCGCACAGCTGAGTAGGTATCACTCTGAAGAGCGGGATTCATCGTCATCATGTGACGCGGAACGCGCCCATTCGATCGGCCGTTGAGTGTGCGGAGAGGTTCAAGGGAAGATGCCAAGGGATCCCATGCTTGCACCAAACCATCGCTTCCACCATGAACCAGGTACAGCGCCGTCAAGGCCAAGCAACTGATCTCTGGTGAGTCTGTTTGAATCACACGGAGTGGCGCTACTTCTGTAACGTTGCGTTGATCGCGACAATCCCAGACGACAACGGATCCGTTCTTGGTGCCAATTGCCAGCATCCGCGTTCTTCGACCAGGAATCTCCGCCATGGAGTCTGCAGTAAGGGGACTCATGGTGGGAGTAGCAGCAGATTTGTGATCAAAGTGGAGGGGATCCTCCAGTAGCGTAAGGAGGGCGTGGGATGACAGATCGAGAGCAGACGCAGTGATTTCCGACGTGCCGTAGCTGCCAAGTGTCATTGTCGCAACAGTCCACTCATCCGAAGAGTCGAGTGTTGCCTGCGGAGTCAGCGAGCCCGACGAAATGGGTGTGGCATCGCCCACTGTCGGAACAGTAGCGGTCGTCGACGCAGTCTCAGGATGATAATCTTTGCCAGGACCGAATATTGACTCCGGCGCTTCGGGAATATCTTGTGCGAGATCAGTCGGACCATCGGAATCCTCTGGTCTCTGTTGAGGCGTTTGGGAAAAGGCCCTGGTGTAGCGAGTAACTCTCGGCGGGATGGTTTCGTCGAGGCCGCACTGGATGGATACAATGACCTCCCCAGCACCGCTGGCATCGTCGTTTGCGAAATCAACCTCAAGTCTTCGTCTCATGTCCCAGCCTTCGCAAACCTTGCGAAAATGGGATGGCTTGTAGCGCAGAAACTTCTCAATCTCGCGGGCTTCCGCAACAAGCTGTTCCTTGCTCAGCTTCATGGCGTCGGCTGGCGATCGAGGAGAATAGGCGCCTCGGAGAGCATGCTTGTCAAACTCATCAGGCCGAGCTTGGCGACGTGTTTCGTCGACAAGCCGCCAGTAGACCGAGCGAGCTGCGTACCACGCATTCTTGGTTACATCTTCACCTTTGGACCGATTCAAGGTGGTTTTAGGCGTGTCGACAAGGTAGTATACCTCTCCCAGAGCGTTCAGGGCAACGGCCCAAATGCGTTGAGCAGTCTTTCGCTTTTGCGTGTAGTGGTCATCGACCTTGATTGAGATGATGGGCACACCAGGGCTGAGGACCCATCGCGCCGTCATCTCGCCGTTCGGATGCCGAGGACCACTCCCGTCTCCATGGAGAGCATATGATGTGATGATGCCGAGTGTAGAGCCCGTCATGATGCCAACCGTCGAGTGCGTCATGTTTGGAACGGCGGTGGATTTGGCAATCCAGACACTAGAGATTGCTTCCGACAGCTCCGGGATCTTGGGAATATCGGGGTAGGTGTCTACCACACCAGTGTCGCTGCCAAGATATCTACCATGCAATTCGTTGATCGGGCGATAATACGCACGGCCACCTGGAAAGCCCTCACCAGAGAGCACGCCGTAAGGATGGCTGACGTCCATGATATTCGGGCATGCGGCAGGACCATCTCCTAGGCCGTATGGCTCAAGATTGGGGAACGCCTCGTCGAGCTGAAGGATGGAGAAAGGGTCTCTGAAGCCCCATTTCTCCACTTTGCCGATGAAAGGATCGCTGAGAGTTGCGACGCCCAAGTCCGAAGCACCGTGAATAACTCTGGGGGCCTTCTTCGCAGAAAAGTCGGCATGGAGGTGGGTTACAGCCCATGGCAGCTTCGAGTTGTACGTCAAGACGGCGCTGGTCTTCTTGCCACCTCGGCCAGATGCCCCGATTCCGCCAGACTTGTTTCCTGGTTTACCTCTGATGAGGCCCCGCAGAAGACGGGTTCGGAGCAAGTATTCGCTCCTCCAGGTCGCAAGGGAAGTCAGACGCGAGAAGTAGCGCGCCTCAGACCGGACAAACTCCGACGGGTCATAGTCCAACGGTCCCGACCGACTCTGATCGGTCTTGACAGCCATACTGTCATGGCCCGGAAAGAATCGCAAAAACGCCATTCGCCACGCATGTGGGGTCGTAACGAGGGAGTAGAAGCGCTTCGACACAAGAGCTATCGCCGAGTGAGAGTCGGGATGCAGGTGAGAGAGGATATGGGTCAAGATTTCTACAGCATGTATGTCAGTCCATGACCAGCCCTGAAGATTCTGCAAAAGGGGCGTACCATTGGGAAAGTCCGTAAGCTGTACGCCATCTGGTCGAGCATCGGATCGCTTGATGACTTTAAAGCCCAGGGCCTGCCGAGGCGTCGACGGCGTCAAGGCATTCTCGTAGTCGATCACTCGCTGACCAGCAATAGCTTGGTGACCTTCGGGACACGCTGCATAGGGGACGCTCAACCGTCGAAGCCTCTCGTCAAGTTGGGAGGCGCTGACGGCATCGAATGAGTCATGGCGGCCGGCGTCTGGGACAGAGCGCGGGGATGCGCTGCCCGGGTCCTCGCGGCGAAGTTGAGCGACGCCGGTCGGCTGGTGGGGTGGAGAAGAGCCATGCTGAATTGAAGGAGAAGATGTCGAGGGGTTGTCTTGTTGATGCTGCGTTTCTGAAGACTCAGTCGGCCGATGTTGCATAAAGCTGTGGTGGGGGAGGTCGTGGGCAGGTTGCAGGCGACTGTGCAAAGACGATGTGCACAGTCTTTGGGTTGAAAGAATGATTTGGAAGACGAAGATGCGCGAGATGCGTAGAGAGTATGCGATGCGATTGCTTGTGAGGAGTAACGTGTCTATGTCGTGTAGAGAGCTCAAGTATAGCCTTTGGAAGTCGCGTTTCGTGACGAAATGACCGGGAGATTGCGGGCGGGCGCTGGTGGAGGTGGAATATCCCCGGGCCGGATTCTTATCGCGCGTCTTCCTTATCACGCCCACTTACTTTCAATGCCGTCATCAGCAACACTGCGAGAGCATATCTTCGTCCACGTTTGCGTCGTACTCAAGATGGCATTGCTAGTATTGATATCGCACTGAAATTCCAAAGGCTGCAATTCTGCGTAAGCTTAAGATCCCTGCCTCACGGTACATGCTTGCTCGCGCATGCTGCATCTCCAAATCGGGGTGGCAATTCCCAAGCAAAAGTCATCACCAATGACTAACACAGTTCAGTCGGTGATATATGTATTCCTTCCTGAGGGGAGGCCAATTGGTGCATGCGTATGACGAGGCAAAAGACCATGCAAAAAGCAGTACATCTCGTCCTCCACTCAGCCAACCGGGCCTGGTTGAGTCGGGCGATGTGGTCCGTACCCACCAAAACCTTTGCGCAAAGGACAAAAGATGAAGATGCGGCCAGTGTGGATTGAACACACGACCTTCAGATTAAATGATTGAAGTTGACTTCAGTCTGACGCTCTCCCAACTGAGCTATGTCCGCCACGATCTTCGAGCTGAGATGCCAAAGATTTCGACTGAGCTGCCCTAAGACCCCATAGTGAGTGGAGAGCAATCTCTGATGGTTGATGGGTGGATCCCTACGAGTGTAGCCCTTGCAGAGTGATGGATGGACCGCTGCTCTTTACTTTTCTTGTCTCGTCACATCAAGCAAACTGCCCGGCCCTGCCAACGCCGTCACTCACGAGAATCAGTTGTCCTGAGCGTGTAAATTAGGTACAAAGCGAACCGTCGGAAAGAACGGAGGGGCTGAGTCAAGGTACCACAAGCTTGCCGTCTCCATTCCACTTCCTTCGCGGATTGCTTCATTTCTCCTTGTACAAACTCTCTGGCTGCGTTGCGTGTTCGAGGCAGAGTCAATCAAGACCACCCGCTGACAACATCCTGACTGACCCGTTGACAACCAACGAGCCAAATCGAACCCACTCGTGCCTGAGGTTGCCAGGGTCCGAGTCGAGCTGAGGTTCAGGTCCGCCGTTCTGCCATCCTATTCGGGAGTGTTCAATTTCGTACTGCCATCGACTCCTATTCAATTTGAAATAGTCTTAACCTTGCGATATTGTGCAGCTAACCTTTACTGTCTATTACGTATGCTGCGGAAACTAGCAGCTGAAGCGCCGGTACTCATCATTATAAAGCAGACTATTCATGGCAGGGTACAACTGGGCGGCCGACGATCGACCTGGGCCGTGACAGCCACCGATCACAGCCGCGCGAAGTGACTTTTACATCGCAGTGAGCATCCGGAACACCCCCAAGACGGACCAGCCCCGATCTCAGTGCCTCGGCTCGACGTCCTCCTACCCCCAAGAGCGGCCTCCGAGAATCCATCCCTGGTCTTGCCATCATCTGGTCAAGAACACGACCAACGGACCTAATCACTCACTACCCTAGGCGTCGCCTCTTGGCTATCACCATTTTTCTTCTGTGGCACTGACAAGCACCCTGGCTGAGCATCATGGAGAGTCATCAACCTGCCGCGTTCCCGCACAGCATGAGTCGCGCGTCCAAGGCAGAACAACATCAGCATGTTCCCGACACACAGGGTCGTGGGATGGGCCACGTAACAGTGTCATGAGCCCATGGCGCCTTCTCCTCCCCTTTCCTCCTCTCTTTACACCCCTGGCTCCATGGCTCTCTCTAATCTTCATGGTTCGGTGACGCCCTATGGAGAACGTGAAAAAGGGCCCTTGTCTCGTTCCCCGAAGTCCAGGGTCTTCATTCCACCCTTCCCGCATCCTTGACTATGTCACTTTTGAGCCTCTGGGTACAGAGTACAGAGCACAGAGCACGGATGTGCGGATACCTGCGACAATCTCTCAAGCGGTCCAGTTCCGTTTCCGCGCTCTAGCCGTGCCTCCACTCTCGCACGACCAAGGGATATGGCGCCTCAGAGTCGATTCAGCCGACCAAGCCTGCGATCGATACATGATGTTAGGTTTGCTGCTGTTCTGGTTCACATTGACATCACTACGTTACCGAGTGCGCCCGAACGCCGCGTCCCAACCAGGTCCCATGCGGACTTAGCTCAGCCCCAATTCCCGTCTCCCGGCCCCGAACTTCTTCGCGGATCACTCACTTCTCACAAAGGCCGTGCCCGAGGCGCACTGACTAGACAAACCAAAAACAAAAACAAAAAACAGATCACGAACTCCCGATGTCCGGGCCCGGCTCCGGAACGAGTCAGACAAGCAACACATGGGAGCCCGGGGGGGTTGAGTTCACCTTATCCACCTCAAATCCACTCATAAAAAACCACACCGAGTCGATTCATGAGGGAGCAATTTCGAGCCACACTGACGTAGGTCTCCGCAGAGTCACCCGTCTCCTTGGGCCGCGCTCTGACAGTGCCAGAGAGGCAATCGTTTCGCTCGGCGTCCCCATTCATCCGCGGACGAATGGAGCAACCTACAGCAACAAACGCCAAAAAGACCCCATCGGAATCTCTTTTGCGGCCGCAGTCTCGTAATCCCGCGCGCCCAGGCCTCCTGAACACTGGACGTATTGACAGCCAGAGCTTTTTGTAACCCTTACATGGGGGTGAGGTGGTGAGAGCACCTCCCGGCGTGTCGGCCCAGACGGCCAGCGGACCCAGTCTTGCCCGTTGTCGCGTTTTCCCTTCCAGGTCTAGCGTTTTTTGGGGGCTAGGGCCTGTCAAAACGGCTGTCAAAAGTCAAAGGTGACTGTCATCTAAGAAACTTCTCATCGTCCAAAGTTTGCGACTGTCCCTGGCAACAAGTCCCCAGGGGGAGGGGGGCACTGGGATACCTATTCCCAAGTGTCCTTGACAAACTTTCGAGCGCGTGGGATCGCTAGCATGGGCAACTGAACCTACCGTCTTTTCTAGGAAACAAACCCCCAAGAGGCGCGGTCGGAATACCACCCAAGACCCTTCAGTTTGATGAGCAGAAAACCTTAAGCCCGACCCTTCTCCTCGGCTTATGGCTCATAAACCTGATCATCCCATCAACGTGGTAGGCATCTAGCACAAAGGCTTAGTCCAATTCACCACCCACGTCCCTCTACCATGGTTGACGCCGTGTGCCGTCTCCCGCGGTCCGCTCTCAAGGTCCAGATCAGGCCAGAACCCCCATCCCACGAAACCATCCCAAGGTTCCTGGATCCAGGGGCTCGCAGCGGTCTTCAGCGGCGCGGCATGTATTCAGCACAACTCGCGGCATCGTCGATCAGCAGTCGCGAAGCCAGTCACCTACACGCGTCGCAGGATACGACGACCTCATGCCAGTGTACCTAACGGTCCCGAAAGTCTCAGCACCCAACCCAGAATCCTGGCCAGTACGCGGGCCCTCCCGCTCGCCCTCTCCTTTCGTGAACTCTCTCTGGACCCAGTTCGGTTCCCGCACGCCCTCTCCAGCACCCGCCCTCTCGCCATGGCCAATGATGCCCAACGTCCAGCTCCACGAAGCCCGAAAAAAACACCGGGAAACCCTTCCTCGTCATGCCAAAAAACAAGAAAATTGACAACTCTCCCTTGGTCGCTAATATTGTCGGGTTGCAGCGCGCGGCGCGGCATCGCATAGCCACCAGCAGAGAGCAACCCTAACGTGCGGCGCACGCGGAGTAGACTCTCCCACACCCCCCGTCGAACACGGCGCAGCGCATCCAACACATACGTACGTACTGGTTTCTATTTCTGCATCCCGGCCGTCCTGATGGCCACCACGAAACCATACCAGCGCCGCATCGCCTGTCATCGTTGGCACATCATTCGTTGTGGCCTCTCCGCCCATAGAGAGGGCGAGTCCGCTTCTTCATCCACCCCGCGGGACAACCACGGCTCATATACCGCGGCTCTCTGGCGCATCCCCCGGCCCTGGACGACGTGGACAGTGCAAACCCAACCCTCCCCCCCCGAACTCCTGTCCTGTTCAGGCCTTGCAGGGCTCATCACTCATTAACCACTGGACCTGCCTGGTTGGGCACGCGCTGCAACATCCCAACGGCCCCGTCGAGCCGCGGCGCGCTTGGCAACTGCGAGCTTGCGCTCCAACGATGCTTTGAAACGGCCCCGCTGGGAAGACTCTTCCAGCTGCCTTCGGGGCGAAGGCCGTTGGGGGGGGGAGGGGGGGGGGGAAGGCACCCCGGCGTCGGCGTTGCCAGCTCACGTAGGCTCCGCGTTCCTCCTATTGGCTCGCGAGGCAGTTCATGACACCCGCGCCAACAGAGACGACACCCCTTCAACGCCTCGCACGCCTACCACCCCAAACACGTTAACCATTGCAGATTCGCATATGCAGCGTGACGGGGAAATCGTTATGGCAATCGTTATGACAATCGCCCCGCTACCTGGAGACGTTGGCAATCACAGGCCTTCTCTTGACAGCCCGCTTGGTCAAGTGGTATTCGTCAATGGCGTTTCGGCCGCCTCTCGGGACAATGCGCGACGTCTTGCAGCCTCCGCAGGGCACTCTAGGCCGTCGCCTGCGTTTTGTCTTTTGCAAGAGTCGACTTTGAAGGGGCAGATTTCGGTCGATCAGGTCCTTTTTGTCGGCATAGTATGATGTTCCTCATAGGTATCAGAATCGCAGGGGCAAGATCGGGGTGGCTTGGTATCGTCGGGGAAGCCGCGAGTATGAGACTATTGCAACCTTGCGTGCAGGTGTCCTCGGGTTAACCGGCAGCAGCCACACCCTGGGACCCTAACAACACCGTCGCCGTGGCTCTGA